GTGTGTTCCCTGCATTTTCATTCTGGTAAGTTGCACGGTTTTATTTTATAGCCTACATTGTTTCTTTCCTTCAAAGTTGGGATCTTTTACGGGAAAATAATAAAAACGGCAGCGGGAAAAGGCTCAAATACGTGAGAAACCCGGAGGGTTGGCAGTTAACGTTACTAACTACACCTTTGAAAGATATAGCAGCTAGTTAAAAGTACATTACATGCGTGAGTGGTTGTTAGCACTAGCGGTTAGCAGTTACTAAACTAGCAGGTTCCAGAGCCCGTCTGAGCACAGCTTACCTTCGTACGGATTACTGTGTTCCCACTGTTTGCTGGCTTTATGATCTGCAGCTCCTGAACCCATCCATTCATGAACTGCACATGAGACTTGTAGCTTCGGAACTGTTTTGAAGTATAGGCGCTCACTCATTGGTGCTCCACTCATTGTTTGGAACTTCAAATGGATCCAAATTATTAATAATGCTGATTTTGTCAACATACCGGTCTGTGGCTTCTCTATTTAATGTGTCCCGGTAAATTGCAGTTCCTTTTCGGGATTTTAACATCTTTTTTCTCTCTACTTCTACGTCTCTTCTTTCAACAACAACGTGTTATCAGAGCTATGTTTACATTCGCGTAGCCCTCAATATGGCCACCACGTCCCACAATGCAACACGGATCCCGTGCCCTATTAAGGTAAGACACAGGTGCTGAGTCGCAAATGTGTGAGATTGACTGTCAGAGAGGCAGCTTTGCAGCATTTGCACAAGAAGAAACTAGAGAAAGAAAGAGTTACCCATCAGAGATCTATGGACTGAGCTGTACTAAAGTGAGCATTATTGAATTGAGTTTTTGAAATAAATGGTTTAATGATTTCTTCTGCCACCCCTCGAACCAATCTCATGTCTAAGTCATCTATGTCACGTGACTTTTTGTTTTTACATTTTTTAACTACACTCAAGACCTCTTTTTCATTTGTATTGAAATTATTATTTAATAAATTACTGCACCGATCATCTTGAATTGGAATTTTCCTAGCAAGATCTGGTCCTACATTAACAGAACAATCATTAAACCCATCTATCTACTCGGATATGTAATTTTGTTTTACTTTCGCAGTCTCCAAACAACATAAACTTGGTTTGATCCAAATTTAATGAAAGTTTGTTATTATCAAACCATATCTTAAGTCGACATAATTCAAAGTTTATATCATCAGCTGATCCAAATTATCGCCTGTCCAAAAGATTTTAGTATGATATGCAAACGAAAAAAATTTAAGTATTTTAGAAACTTTGCTGATGTCATTAATATAAAGGATAAATCATTTTGGCCCCAATACTGACCCCTGGGGGACACCACAAACAATTTCCAAGCACATTGACTGGCAGTCAACCATTTGCACAAATTGTTGCCTGTTTCTAAGATATTTTTTCATTCAGAGTAGTACTACTCCCTGGATACCATAAAGCTTCAATTTCATAATTAATATTTTTATATTTATTGTGTCAAAAGATTTTTTTTGACACCAATAAATACACCAACTGCAGATTTGTTATTATCTAAGGCGCTGGTGGCCACTTCTATCAACTTAAACACAGTCATTGCTGTAGATCTTTGTGATCTAAATCCATACTGACTTTCGGAAAGTGTCGTCTATAATTCTCTTCTTGACGACTTAAAATTGAAGCTATGTTTTATAAAAATTCAAAGTTCTTAAAAAGCAGAAAAAGTCTCAAACAGAGATCAAAAAATTGAGGCAGAGGCAGCTGAGTCCGGGTCCAGTGTGTTTATTGCTAAACACAACACATTCACACGGAGCTGGTCACCGGTGAGCCGAAGCTGAACAAATGGTGAACACAGCTCCCTTTTATACATTTCTTATTGGTGGAAAACCCCCTTCAGAACATATTTCAGTCTTTGGTAAAGGTCACATTGATATTTATTTGCAAAACACGATGACATTCATAGACACATCTCATTCTTGTGAGAGCAATCTCTCAGGCCATGAAAACATCTGGTGCATTCAAATCAGAAACTTATGACGGTTTAGTCACAAACATGTCAGAACACATCTTTCCCTTGCTTCAAGCCATGTCAGTCTGGCCTACTGCTCCCCCCTCGTATCTTAGTCAAAGCATCACCCTTTCTGGGACCATTTCCGCTCCGTGTGCCTTGAAAATAACAACTCTTTTTGTATGGCCAAATTTTGCTGAGCTGGGCAACCTTGAGATGTCAAATATTTCATTTTTATTGAGTGTGCTTTCTTATCACTAAGGGGCCTCAACCCTGCGTTGTCCTGCAGACTTCACTCCTATTGGGGCCAGGTGCAATAGTTACACATACTCACTGCTCTGCTTTTCTCCTCTCTGGCCTTGAATGGCTCCATTCATTGCTCTGTTTTTTTTCTTTTCCTTTTTGGCCTTGAATTGCTCTTATAACAGTATTTGGGAAAACAACTTTAAACTTATAAAACATTAACTTTATTTTATCTTATGATTAGTGCAGATTAATACACAACAAAAGCAGTTTATGTTTATTAATGAATATATCTAGTCTATCCACAAGTACATTTCCCCAAATTGTGGAAAACTGCAGAAGTAGAAGACAAGCCTATAACTTGTGAAATGGTGTCTGTAATTTTCATCTTTTCTGGAAATGGTATAAACGTGACCACATCAAGTGTTCGTTTTGTAAAATTACAATAACAGTGAAAAACAACCTACTGTTTATTTTTGTGTCAGATGCTGCGTCCAGAAATGTCAGATTGCAGATGTAAGTCAGAGGATAAATAATTTCCTCAATTACCTTCTTAATTACTGCCACATCAATGCCATTATAGTAAGTTGACCTCTTGTTATAACATTTATTGACGATATCTATATTTTCCCTTTCTCTCAGGCTGTGAGAAACATTAAATAAGGATTTCTGTCAATTAATGTTTCATTCAGAGCTGCAGTTGAAATTATGAGCGTCATTAATGTCCTCAGTATTGTTATCATTATTTACAAAAATTGGGAAAATTAAATTTTTCTCGAGTTTGTCTTGATAAATTATTTAAAACATTCCAAACATTAATACATTCCCTTGGAATATATACTAAAAAGCTTTCATATACACAACTAAAAAGCTTTCATATACAATACTAGAGCGCTTTCATATTTAATATAATTTAATATGTGTATATGGAAGTTAATTCTGATTTATGTCCCAGCTCATATTTTGTCGTCCAATTTAAACATGTCACATAAGTAGAAATCACATAAGTAAAATTCCATAAATGGGATCAAATGAACTGGAGCAGTTACGGAAAGCCAAATGTGCTGTATATTTCAGAAAATAAAAACTAGAAAGATCTCTATTTTTAAATATATTTATAAATATATATTTTTATATTTATATTTATACACACACACACATATATATATATATATATATATATATATATATATATATATATATATATATATATATATATATATATATATATATATATATATATATATATATATATATTCATCATTCTGCTTCATTCTCTCTCTGTTCTCCTATTCTGCAGAATCTGTTAGTTCAATCTCTAACCTTCTGCTCTCTCTGCTTTTCCTCAGAGTAGCTTTGCCTCATCTGTTCCTGTTTGGCTGTGACGTCATCCTGGAAAGAAACATCAGCTGTGCTGCTTCCATCAACACCCTTGTTTATAGACGTTGGAGATCGGCCTGTTTTCCAATGTGGTCCTGTTTCTCTTACCGTGACTGAGTGGATGTGCTCTCTCCGTCCTCTGGCATGGGAGCTGCCTTGGAGCTCGTCTGCCTGGCTGTGTGTTTCCTGGACGGGGCCGCCTTTTACAGCTGCTTTTTGTATCTCTGCTTCCGTCTCCTTGAACCCCAGTCGGCCCCCTGCAGATGGCTGCTGACACTGAGCCTGGTTCTGCTGGAGGTTTCTTCCTGTTAAAAGGGAGTTTTTCCTCTCCACTGTCGCTACAAGCATGCTTAGTGTGAGAGATTGTATTTGAGTCAATGAGTCAATGCAATCAACTGGTTTTCCTTAGATAGAAAACTTTGTATCAATTTGACTGGATGATCTGGTTGAACTGTAAAGTGCCTTGAGATGACATGTGTTGTGAATTTGGCCCTATATAAATAAACTGAATTGAATTGAATATATATATATATATATATATATGATTGTTAAATCCTTGAATGAGGTCTTTAATAACTAAAAAAATATTTAAAAATATTTATTAAGTATATATATATATATATATATATATATATATATATATATATATATATATATATATATATATATATATATATATATATATATGCATATATATGTATATATATATATATAGAATTCTATATATAGAATTTTGTACCGCGCCCATCCAAGGCTGTCACCTGGCCTGAAACCACCTGTCCTCTTTTCTTCAAAATCTTTTTTCCAAAACATGACGGTTTCTTCCCCACTGCCATTAGACTGCTAAATGTTTTGTAAAATGGGTTATTGTATTGTATTTTATTATATTTTATCATTTTATTAAAAAAAACTGTTTTTATATATATTTTTTATTATTTTTCAAGGCTGCATTTTTTAAAAAGATGAATTTGTATAGAGAGGTGTTCCAAACAAAATTTCTTTTTGTTTTACACTTGTGTAAACAAAATGACAAATACATCTGTCTAAGTCTTCTGTGTTTCTGTTATATTGGTTTCTCCAATATAACGATCAGAGCATTCCTCACTGCAATGAACTGCAATCACCACTCCGGTCTGAGGGTTTTGTCTGTAGGATGCACTAGCCTGTTTTTAAGGGTCTTGTTTGGTTTGAAATGTACTCGGATTTTGTGTTTGGAGAAAATCTTCTATGGTTTAGGTCCAGCTGAGGGGCCACAGCAGTGACCAAAAGGCAAAAAAAAAAAAGGTTTAGGTAAGACATTCCTTAAGACACATCTATGGAGCAGCAGATGTCAGTAAACTGACTTGACATGAATCCCCCCCATGTGGAAATAACTGTGCAGTAACAGGAAGTGCTTCTCTGCAGACTTTATTAAATTATACGTTCTAAAATCTAGACAAACAAAATAGGGAAAACTGAAGCTGAGTGAACGTATAAAAGGCATAGCCGTCTGTCTTTGGCTTGCAATGAAAAAGTCATTTAGGTAGCTTGCCCTGCAGGTAAAAGACCCATGAACATTGCTCGCTGTGGCCCTTGGAGCGCTGGCTGCTGACGGTCAGCTTTCCAGACCAGGAAAGCTGAGCAGACCCTCCTGGAGGAGCTTCAAAGGACACCAGAATGTTCTTCCTCTTTTTAGAGGGGATGCTGTCCACCTCTTTCACACTGAAGCAGGGATTGTCAACCTAGGAGACAAACAAATACCCTAAATTAAAAGATATGCAGAGAGAAACATTTTAAAAAATTAAAGCAATGGTAGAGATGTGAGGAGAAGGTTAACAGCAGGCAGCAGGAAGTGACCAGCATGACCTCAGCTTAAGGATTCAGTAAATTCCCATGAGGGGAACAACTGTGACAGTTAAACCTGTAATCTGGCAAAATATGTTTATCTGCATTTTAGTTGTTTCTTTGTTTAGATTATGCACTATATACTATAATGTTAACACTAAAGGAAAACATAAAGCTCAATGATTCTAGATTTATGTCGAAATCCAAAGCCAAAAAAGTTAGCTTCCAGATGTCATACTCCAGGCCTTGGGTGCAGGCCAGGCTTTCTCTTTCTCTCTGTCTCATCAGCAGGGATGGATGGGCAGGTGCACTACATCTGAGCTGATTACCACCCTTCTTAAGGAGCTGGAACCAGGAGGAGGGCGTCACTTCGTTGACGCCTCTGCGTTGAACCTTGGACTCTGAACCTGAAACCCAGCCTGGAACCACAGACCTTGGATCCCCGTCTGAACGCAACAAGGAACCCGAGTGTGATCTCGGACTGATCCACCGCTCATCCCTTCTACCTGCGCTCACCTGCCTGTCCACCCTCGAACCATCAACCAGGGAGAGAGTACTGGTCAGAACACGGACCACTGGAGACACTCTCCCCAAAATCGGACCCCAGCCTCTCTCCAAAGCCCAGAGGAACCAGACCAGACCAGACCACACAGCTTCTTGTTCAGACCCACTATCTTTTTTCAATAAACATATGGCATATGTAATATGTTTTCTTTAAATCAGGGGCCATTAGAACTCCCCCCACCCCAACATAAAATGGTTTGACCAAGACAATGGCGGGCTGCAAATTTTAAAGTTTGTTTCACTGCAGATTAAAGAATGATTTATACTCAGAAACCAGGACGTCTGTGTGTTTCACAGTGAATGCAAAAGTACCAGACACTCTGCTGCACCTCTCCGAAATCGTACTGTAGGTGACCGCAGACAGTGTCCGAGACAGGAGGTCTCTGATTGGTCAACTCTACATCTGCTCTACACTATGCGTATTTCCTGTTTGGTACCTTATCAGCTTGTTTTGTTTGTATGATCGCCATTTTGGAAGTTGACTCATTAAGGTGGACTCGCTAGAAGAGTGAGGTGCGTTAGAACGCAGGGACCCTTTTTCGTACCTGGATCCCCGCTCTTTTTAACCCTCATGTCCCTCTGTTGTCGCACTAACTTGACCCACAGCTAGTTTGTGACTGTCTTTCTTGCGTTGTGGCATGGAATAACATAGCATAGGCCACGCTTCAATGTTGGGCATAAATAAAAAATATCTGCGACAAGCTCACTGCGACACACTGCTGTGGGAGTAGCAGCCCTTTAGAATGTCAGGTTTTCAGAGGTCCGGCGCACAGAAAAGGGAAGAGAAGAGAAAAGGGGAAGAAGATGACACCAAAGGCTTGAAGGATTCTATGAGTAAATATTAAAAATAAACTGAGGATGAGGGAGGAACAGGTCCAAGAAGAGAATTGCAGAAGAATGATGCTCATTCAGAGCCAGGTAAGAAGAACTTGAGCTTAGTGCCAAAAGAGCAGAAAGATGGCATGGGTCCAGGTGCAGGGTGAAAGAGAGCGGAGCAGGAGAGCCAGCTGAGGAGGGACGCTTGGTGGAAAAATAGAAAATAGGAGACAAGGCAGTTGTCCAATCACAGCTTCAGTAGCTGTAAAGCGGGGGAGGGTAATGTGTTGCTTTGTAAGCAACACATGAATTTTACCTTCAAATAGAAAGTGGTTGTTTTCAGGAACACGTTCTTGAAGGGAATGGTGATGCTGCCACCCGCCATGATGCTGAAAGGTCCCTGAGGTCTGGGGAGAACGCAGACGCCACACAAAGGAAAGACGTACTCCCCTCCATCTTCTGACGCCAGGCTGAGCTGTCCCCGCACTTCCCCAAACTGATGTGGCTCGAAACGAACTTCCACCATGACCTCCGACCCTAAAGGAAACCCGGGCGAAGCGTGGACAGCGCTGTCCAAGCTAAAATCAGGACAGTCCGTCTGCAAGAAAGACAGAACAACAGATCAATAAACTACTGTGCCACTGGTAAGGGCTGTATCTTTTTCTTACAGTGTTCAGTGAAAATATCACAATGCATCGCAATATCGCAATAAGTATCATGATGCATCGTGATAGAATCGCATCGTGGCATGTGAATCGTGATTCGAATCGAATCATGACTTCTTTGCCAATACCCACCCCTAATCCAACCAGACAGATTGGTTCATTGTCATTTGTTTTCATTTGGCTTTGTGGTTTCTTACCTTACAGGTGTACGTGGTGACGATGGGGGAGTAGTTGATGAACTTAACGGGGATAGAGTGGCAGGTACCCAGAGCAGCCTGGAAGTGGACCATCTTTTCTGCTGGTGGGGGCAGAGCTTTGAGAAGCAGATTGTAGTGAAAATGACCCAGATCACTACTGAACAGGGTGAACCGAGAGGTAGCCTCCCCAACATGAAGAGGAAGATATTCAAGTCTCAGAACATCCTGAGGGGAAGATATGCAGACATAACCCTGGTCAGCTGTGATGTTAATCCTGTCTTCCAATTAAAATAAATGTTTTAGGCTCACCTTGGTCTGTCCTGGGAGGGTGAGCTGAGGTAGGACCTTAATGTCGCTACATTTACACTCAGTGGTGAAGCTGGTATCTGTGGTCAGGGGGTTCTTCACATCTACAGTAGCTGAGGCTACCCGACGAACGGGCGTCTCCATTTTGATGGTGGACAGCACCCCTGGAGGCCTAACTTTAAAGTAAATGAGGTAAAACAGGTACTCACCTGTTACCTCATTACGAAACGTCACCTGCGTAGAAATATCGAGGTGTTCAGTCAGGGCCAGATTCAAGATGTTGTCTCTATTTTTTAGCTTATGTATGTTGGTATATTTAAAAAATGTTCTTTGTTGTTTAAGTTTGTCCCAACCTTGGTGTTGTAATCCCCCTCTCTATATGCAAAGAAAGACAACTTATAGTCTTTCTTTGTCAAAGCAGGAACCTCGATGGACTCGTGTCCCTTGAGGGACACCGTAGGGTCTGTTTTCTCTGGTTCAACAACTTCTAGTAGCACGGAGAAACTGAAAATAGAAAACAAAAAATAGCCTGCATCTTAAAGGAACAGAATTTCACCTCCAGATAAACACTACAGATGTATATAAACCAGATCCGTTTCCAGCATGTGATTTTTAAGTGGACCCAGCATATTATTGTAACACAGAAATTCACACCAGATGCTGCCACGTACGCTCCACAGCAGCTAATTTATGAGCATAGAAGAACTATTGTAGCATTGATAAGTACTTAAGCCAGTAGTATCAGTAGTACTACACATTTTGAACTTGCATTTTATGCATCTAGATCAGATATTTGTACTAAAATGCTGGCATTAGTGCAACCCAAGCAGGAGCACATACTATTTCAATGTGCTTATACACTGTAAAGCATTTGGTGTATTTTATAAGGACCTGGGGTCCGTTTCATGAAGCAGGTTTACCGAAAAATCTAAGATGTCTTAACCTGAAAAGAGAGTTTGCTTAACCTCTGCTTCTGTTGCCATAGTAACATTCTCACAGGGCCAACCTGGTCGGTAGCAGGTTTCCTTCTGTAAACTCAGAGCGTCCGCTGTCTCCGCTCTCCTTACTGCCAATCACGTTGTTTTATTTCCTGATATAGTCAGATTTTTGTTGTAGTTTTGTGCAGAAAAAAAAAAAATCCTTCACAAGGTCCATTACATATACAGGTTTTAAAAACGAACATTGCATGATTGTTTGATTAGGATCTTTTTAAAGTCCTAGGGAAGTCATATTTAAATGGCAAATCATTCTGGCTTAAAAGTGCATATAAATGTACTCTTTATCAGACTATATTGTACCTTAATTGAGAAAATTTCGATGTAAAAAAAAAAATCTGTCTTAAAATTTGTGTTTTTTTTCCCGTTATCTTATGTAGGCCAGATAGTTAACGTCAGCTTGTACACCTAAATTCAGCATATCAGATATCAACGTTCACCTATTAATCAAATTTTTTCGGTCATAGCATCTTGATTCTTATGTCGCAGCTAATATACACAACGGTTGAAATAAGAATCATTTACTTTCCCATTGAGTTCTGTCCCAGTGTTCACGGGGATGGACGTCTGTGTCTTCAGCAGGCGTAGAGCTAACAGAACTGGCAGCGTTGCGAGGCAAGGGCTCAAACATGTACGGCTGGAAGCCTTCTACCAAACCTTGGCGTCCTCTTCCACAACATCTTCATCCCTACTTTCCTCCTCTAAATAAAAAATGTATGACGGAGGAGACTCATCCACGACCTCCGACACAAAACTCTCCTCCTCCTGCATGTTTCCGCTGTCCATAGCGTTCCTTGACAGTGTCGTTTCTGAGTCACCAATTTAGTGCTACTTGGTCCCAATGGAATTTCCCATTGGGAACCTACTAGCACTAAGTTGCTAACTGGTTAGCAACTTAGGTTAGCAAGATGCTTCTGAAAAACCGGCTACTGGTTAGCAACTTGGGTTAGCAAGATGCTTCTGAAAAACCGGCTACAGTCAAACTTGCTTGCGAACCTTCGCTACAACAATCCCGCCATCTTGATAAATTACCAATCACATTCACTTTATTCACTCGTGAAAAGTTGTGCACCACTCAGGAGAAATGCAACAGTTGGAATGGCAATTTCCCTACGACTTTAAATAATGATCGGAACTTTTTCACAGCGAGTTAAATATTTATAGGGTGAGGATTCTACAACTCAGTTGATAGGACATGAGATTGCATGGTTTTGGTTTGTTTAATGTGAGCGAGATGCGGATCATTTTATTTTTATTTAATAATGTTTACAGCACATGAAGAGCTACTTAAGTTATTTTCAGATTACACATAAATAGATTATTTACTTTGTGGCGGAAAAGGGCCAAAAATGTCATTTAAAAAATGAATAACTACAGTTCAGTCTAGGAGTGTGATTTTTATCAGGAAGAATCTTATTTTAGTGATCTACAAACGGAACATGGCAGGCCATTTTTAAATGTAAAAATGGCCTGCCATAGCCCACTTCTTCTTCTTCAGCATTGTCCCCTTCTTTGTAGCTATAGAACTCTTTCTCTGTCTTTTAAACACATTCTCCTTTTTAATTTTTTAGAATTTCTGCATTAAAATCTATAGTTCCAGTGGGGTGAAATAGGCACTTCCTATTGTTAATTTAATCAGGCATATAAGATGACCTGCCAATGGAATTAGTTTTTTTTAACTCTTAAAATGAGATAATTAGGTAATATGCACATGAAATACGACAATGCAATTGTTTTTCTTACTCCAAATGCAGATTGTCTTGTTCCGTTGGCAAACTGTCTCACTTACCTCCTCAATTCAAGAACAAATGCACTTATTTCAAGAAAATATGAATTATTTAGATTTCAACTTTTTCCAGTGCAAATGCATTTGTAAGCAATCTAAACCCCTTTTACCTTTAAACAATGATGTTTAAATTGATTTTAAAAAATGAGCCTCCAGGCTGGCTGAGTCAGGTGACCTTATATGCCCTCACATGCATATCCTAATTTGCAACAAGTGAAAAGACTTTATTAAGGAAACTTTAAAAGACTAATGGAAAGTCAGACCTCTTAGATGTAAACAAATAAATGAGAGATTTCAGTTTGGCAAGATGTATAAGATAATAGATAATATATAAGAGTTACATAGTTTTACCTCTGTTTCTTGGAGAGCCAGTTGTTGACTTCAAGGACCTGATCGTGTTTAGTTTTGGCAGGCAGCTCACAGGTGATAGTGTCCTCTGCTTTGGGAGGAGAAGCTGTTCCCTGCAGGTTGAATAGCATTCCCCTTCCAAGAGGAAAGGAGAAAAAAACTGATCCCTGTGAAAAAATATCACAACTCTGTTTTTAACACCTTAACACAACACATTGGATTTATTATCCATGTACACAGAAATATTTTCGTTGAAGCATTTCTTCTCGTTACCAGGTGTTTTTGGCCATCAGTGGTTACGGTCAGTGGTCTATATGTGATGTCAAATGTCTTGCTTTGGTTGGGTTCAAAGGTCAGAAGGAGAGCAGCACTCCACTGCTCACCCGTGATGACAGGTCTGATGGTACAGTGCTCACTGGACGGGTTGGTAACGGACAGGCTCTGAGTTTGACAGCTTCGAACGCGACAAGCAAAATTCAACCCCTGAAGAAAAACAGTAAATACAAACAATACTTCCAAGATTTTTCCTTTTAAGGTTTTAATCAATTATGCATTAATCATGTATAACTCTGATGCTCTGACACCTCAAACATGAATAATAAGGGCTTAAATAACATAAAAATAAAGCTTAAACAGAAACCCCTTAATATCCTGTGAAAAAAAATTGCGATTGGAGAATAGCTACGTAACAGTGCCCCCAGCAGGTAGCAGCTACCTTAACCACGCTGTGCTTGCACAGTAAACAAACAGCTACTTTCTCCAATCAGAGAGGGTGTGTATTAGGCAGAGCGAAAAATCAGCTCAAAGTAAAGGCAACGTGGCTACAGCAGCTAATCTGCTCAGGTTAGCAGCCTCTCTGACTTAGCTAATGTCTGACATATCAGAGACTTTATTGATTTCTTGAATTGGTGAGATACAGCGGTGGCGTAAAATGGCCGCCACCCTAACAGATGAATTGGTTTGGCTTTGAAGTCAAGTGAAAGAAAACAAAAACATGAAAGCATAAATGGACCCTCCTTACCCGGCCATACACTGTATGATTTTTTCCAATCGTTGCACGCAGCTACAGCTCACACTGTACGACGAAACCATAAGGTTTAAAAGTTCACAGCTCGCGATGTATGTTCTCACACTGTGCAATCTGACGCTCTGATGCGATCTATCTGCACACATTGTCTAAAAACCACGTCGGACTCAGCTCCGCAGTGAGATGGCACTACTCTGACATGTCTATCCAGACGCCAAAAGAGTAGAAGAGAAATATGAAGCTCTCTAGAGTGAAACGCGCTGCCTTGGCAATTTGTGCAATTTTGTGCTGAAAAGCCCTAAAAAGAAAAGTGACAAGGTACTTGGACAAAGACATGGCTGAGTTAACGCGGCTACTACGGTCTATCAATTTCACAAAAAGAACTCCATTTCACTCGCACCCCTGCCATGCTTCTGTGTTTTCGTCTGAGAGGAAGAAGAAGAATCCTTGTTTGCGCACTGAGCGATTTTCCCACGATGACCTTACGACAGCCGACTAAATTTGAAACATGTTTGATTTTCTCCTGACCTCACGATTCCTGATGGGGAGGTAGTCGTGAGAGGCTGATCGCCCCACGTTACCCCCTGTTCACTACACGACACACTACAGTTAGAGTCGGCACAGGCCGACTTTCAGGCTGATCGAAAAATTCTCGGACGACTGGAGAATCGGCCCGAAAGGGGCAAAATATCGTGCAATGACGCTCGGCTTATGAGTTTTTAACTGGATTATGTTGAACCTGGAGTGTAATAATTTTTTCCACATATTCTTACATTTCAAATGGAAGTAGTTTTAAATGTATTCAATATGTTTTTTGTTTTTTTTGCCGTTTGACCATGATCAGGCTGGAATTAACTCTTTCAGCTGTTAACCTAACAGTCATTCAAGCAACCGTTCACTAGGGGTGTAAATAATAATCGTTATGTATCGATGCATCGATCCAACAGCCGACGATCCGATGCATTGATACGTCCGCAAAAGTATTGATTCATTTTTTTTTCTTCTCCGGTCTATTTTTATCCATTTGCTCCTCGGCGTAATTCTCCCTCCTGTGCTGCGGTGGCGCTAAACCTATTTTTCCCTCCTACCTCGCTTCTTGTTATATTCTTGTATTCTTGAGTATCGAAAATAATCAAATCGTTGGGTCAGGAAATCGATACTGAATCGAATGGCCATGGTGGATGTGATATACACCCCTACCGTTCATGGGACAAAATATGACTAAAATGTTAATTCATTAGATATCAATAACATTAATGACTATAAGTGCACAACAGTCTACAAACAAGCAAAATTAAGAACTAAAAGGCCTTCATGTCATTTAACTAAACTTTAAGTCTCTCAAAGATAGAAAAAGTGAGACAGATTTGACTCTAACCTCTTTGTTGATAGAGGCTGGAATGCAGGAGCCTGTGACAGTCAGGTCAACGGGGGAGGAACCTTCGATGAAGCAGGACAGATTCTCATATCGTATGTCATCACTGAGTTTCACAGGGGCAAAGGTCATCTCAAAGGTCACGTCTTTGTCTGGGAGGATGTATCCTTTCATCGGTTTGATGGACAACTCTGCCGGTAAATCTGTTTGCCAGTGAAATCTGTTGGCCGGAACAAAAGCAGAGAGCAGATCCAGGCAGAGCTGGTGTGAGCTTCTTTGGACATTAGGTGGTTCTGAACAACATTAGTATTTCACTTTACCTGGCTGCAGCAGCACCGGAGCTCATCATGACAATCTTGGTGCTGGCCTTGCAGTGCTGGACCACAGCTCCAAATGACACATGGTTCCTGTCCAAATGGACTTCCACCCCCTGGCAGTTTAATACAATGAATTACTAACAAATATTTATTTAACAATAAATATCAAAGGAGTGGCTTTCACGGTTCAGTTTGGAAATATTCAATAAGCAGTTTAGGATGTTTGGCCCAATCCCAAAATGCCTTTAAAAGAAAAGTCCAGTCATATTCAGAATTCAAACTTAAAAATGGAATTTTTACATACTGTTCAATAAATGATAAGTGTTTCTAATTAAGAGTAATTTTCATTTGAAACACTACTGCCACCAACTGGTTAGTGACGTCATGGTGCAGTATCGGCTGTTGATGAAGTCCCAGACCGAAATTATCCAAGTCATCTTGAAAACATTCTTCTTCCAAATGTTGGCTACATATTACGTGTTTTTTTTCTGGCCAGAAGTTCAATGGCGAATCCTCCCTCTTCAAGTTGGCAAAGCAACGACGAGGATCATGAATCAGAAAGATGAAATAAATCTTTTTTTTTCTTCTCACTTTTATCCAGTGTATTTCAACTGCCATGCACGTGGGCATTGTCAGTTTCACTATAGCTCTGGTGGATTTCAATGGTGAATTCCTCTGGAAATCTTCAATAATTGTTGTTGATTGCAGATGTATCTAGTAGTTCCCATTGATTTTGCTTGTAAAGTGGGGAGATTGGAGCTAGGCTTACCGCATCGTGACGTCATTGCCGAAGTACGCTGAAACACATCGACATACTGCGAGTATCTATGCCAGCGTATGCAAATACGTGGGGCATAAGTTACAGCTAAGTTATCTGATCGTTGAAATACGTTAGTTACTCACAAGTCGTGGCGTCGTGTCAGGAGTGAGGTGTTACTATATTTGGGCAAAAATGGTGCTCCCGGACTCGGTGATCGTCACTAACAATATTGTTTCCATGTTTTTTACTTAATTTTTTTTACTTACTTTAATTTTTTTAAGTCAACTTGAAAACATTCTTCTTCCAAATGTTGGCTACATATTATGTGTTTTTTCACTGGCCAGAAGTTCGGTGGTAAATCCTCCCTCTTTAATTTGGCAATCCAAAGATGAACCCATCCGTGGAGGATCATGAATCGGAAAGGTGAAATTACTCTTTTTTTTCCCACTTTTACCCGATGAATTCCAACATGCACCTGCCATGCACGTGGGCATTGTCAGTTCAACTATAGCTCTGGTGAATTTCAATGGTGAAGTCCTCTGGAAATCTTCAATAATTGTTGATTGCAGACGTGTCTAGTAGCTCCCACTGATTTTCCTTGTAACGTTAGGAGAATGGCGCTAGGCTTACCGTACAGTGACGTCACTGATGGCAGGAGTGAGGTGTTACTATATTTGGGCAAAAATGGCCGCTCCCAGACTCAGCGATCACGACAGAATTATTATTTTTATTTTTTCACTGATTAATACTAAATTCATTAAATCACCGTGACCGTGGACCGTTCAGCCCTGATATACCAAGTCTGCATCAGTGCAGACTCTCTAAAATTTGGCAGCGGGTGTAATGGCAAACTAGTGGTGGAGGCAACACCGGCATTTAAATAAAATTTCTGCTGGTTTGCTGCATCTTCGTCACATTGAGAAAAAATCAGAGTTAGGAAAAAGAAAAAAGATGTCGTTAATCCCTAAATTTAGGTCCTCTTTTTAATAGTTTTATCTCAATGGTTAGATTTATTTTAAACAGAATGGCAAATGTTTGATGTAAACCTGCTCACAGAGCTACAACCCACAAGTGGCGTCACTATGTTGCCATAGGAACGACTTTTTTCCCTTTCGGTTGGAGGGAAGAGGTCGTCCTATTCACGTTTATAACCCCCACGTACAATCCTTCCACAGCTGTGAGTGTGACTTTAATGCAAGTGAAACTTGATAGTTAGTGGTTTGGTTAGGATGCAGTTTGGGTTTAAGGCTTTATGTTGGCAGACTTCAGCTAACCTTGCAGCAGCCCTCGATGGTCAGCAGGGGGTGGGAGAAGCTTGCAAACTTTGCCTGCAGCTCAGCAGAGAAAGGAGGGATGCAGTGCTGTGGTGAGAACTGAATCTCAACATTACAGGAGCCGCCACCAGATTCCAGTATCAGTTCACCTGCAGGAATGATAGACAGGTCCTAAGGGCAGAAAGGCATTGGTTAAACACGGCTTTACAGGACTCCTGTCAAATGTTGCCGTGTTTGTTTCATTACCTTTGAATCCAGGGGAGTGTTTGTCTTTAGTGCCAGAGTGAAAGAAATGTCTAAGAGGCTGCGGTTGATTAGAACCAAGTGTTTGTTCACCTTCTGACCCAAAGTCAAAGATCCCAGCTTCACCCTTTTTTGTTGGGGATCCTTGACTTCCAGCTGGAACAGAAAGATATCCATTATGGTCATGAAAACAGTCATATTACACAAGGAGTAATTTAGAAAAAAATGAGAAGCTGGATCTGAAGTCATTATCAAAGGAACCAATTCAAAGAACATGACTTATACTTAGATCCATGATTCTAAGCATTTACTTCTGCTAATAAGACTCAATATTGACCACAACTGATCAAAACCAACAATTCAGGTTCTCTACCAGTTGGATTTTTTAATACAAGAGATAAAAACTAATGTTATGTTCTATCAGAGAGTGGGAAAGGCTGCTAACTAAGCAGCTCTCCAGAGGAGTAACTGGCCCCTCCCAGGTGGAAGGCAGGCCACACATAGGGCAATGATCCAGAGATAGTATTAGAAAGCTGAGTGGAAGAACGAATTATGATAGAAAAAGGGTGATTGATTCCCTCAATCACCCCAGTGGCTGGAAGTTGGAGGGGATTTTGCTGGGAGTTGGTGGGAAGTGGGCTGCCATTCAGCTGGTGTTTGACTGGGAAGGGCCATTATGAATTGCTGCTACTGTACTGTTCAAAGCAACAGCAGGGCAGGATGCTCAGAGTCCAACAGCTTGACTCTCCTCTCTTACCTTTAAGTCAGTGCCTTGTCCCTCTATGTCCACATGTTTGGTGACACAGCCGTTTAAGACGAAGGTGAGCTTTCGACTGTAGTGACAAGTCCTCTGGGGATAGAAGGTGATCGGTACCTCCATCACAGCTCCAGGTCCCAAAACGTCTGGTTGGAAGTCCACCTCCAAGAATGCCGTGTTTTTGAACTGACATTCGATACTGATTTAAGAAAAATACATGAAAACAGTGTTTAAAAGGGTTCATATTTAACACCATGAATCAGATGATGATTTTTCTACATTGTGTTGTGTCCATTTGTGTGCAATGGAGTGAAAGCAAAGCAATGTTTGGAAATTCACTGACAAATACTGTTCTCTAAAATAAAAGTGACAGTCATTATAAAAGTAGGCTCTACAGTAAATTCAGGTTGTGGGAACTAAACATGCATTCAAAGGTACATACACACTTAAGGCCAGTGACTTTTCAACAACTGTTTATTAACTATTGGTAATTTCTTAAGCACAAAACTGAACCGTATTGGTCTTTAATAAATTTCAATACTTTCAATCTTCCAGCCTAGAACATTTGTTGTGCTTTCTGTTTTTCATGGGACTTAAGCATACAGGCCACCTCGACACGGTGTCATCATTCTTCAGCCTTCACTAGACATGGATATACTTTAGTATATTCTGCTGTAAAATTAGTCTTATATTTTCACTTTTTCACAGGATGCACAGCTTTGAGTGGAAACTAGGTGACTGCCAGAAGGTAAACAAAAACATATTGGTTATTTTTCGGACTAAACCAATCAGCTCGCTCTCTGACAACCAGTCGCCTGGAACGCTCCTTGAACAGAGCATCGCTTTGGACAGAAACGCACAGGTTTCACAAGCGACTTCCTCCCCACACCCCACTCTCTCTCTTTGTGCCTGCTCAATCGAAGTAGTTCTTATCCGCACTAGTTGAATACCTGCATGCTCTCACGTGCATTATTTATTTTTATCTATTATTTTTAACAGTGTCCTGTATGGCGATGTGGCAATAATTGTCTTGATGCCAAAAAGAGCCCAACAGATTTTGCTTTCACAAGTGGAGCAGTACGGCTATCGCCATAGTGTTCCGCTTGATTTATGCATATAAATAGCTTTATTATAATTCATACAGGGAGTATTACAGATTATATGGACATTGCAATGTAGGTAAAACAGGAAAGGGAAAACAAAAAAAAGAAGAAAAGATGGAAGAAAGAGGAGATAAAAGGGAGATAACGATAAAAAACATCTCACTCGATTAAAAAAACACCACCTGGAATAGTCTAAAATCCGGGATAATTTATCCGACTTGCAGGTTTCCATGAACAACTATCGATATCAGGGAGACACTCCGAACTTCCGGCAGACTTGGGATGTCTGCATACCCATAGTCAAAACTCGTTTATCCCTTTAGTTTATCCCTTTAGCTTTGTAAGAAAAATAGACTTGAACTTGAACCCCAGTCGGCCTCGGCAGATGGCCAATGCAATCAACTGGTTTTCCTTAGATAGAAAACTTTGAATCAGTTTGACTATATAATCTGGTTGAACTGTGAAGTGCCTTGAGATGACATGTGTTGTGAATTGGCGCTATAGAAATAAACTGAATTGAATTGAACTACCTCATTGGGCGTGTATCCCTTTAGTCATGTACAAAAAAAATATATAATTGCTTTTTTTTGGTGTTTTTAGAAGCATATGGCAATCTCACCTTAAATTCTAAGGAATAAAGGGATACACACCCGTTGAGGTAGTTTAAAGTCTATTTTTCATACAAAACTAAAGGGATAAATGCAAAACCTAACGTCTTGCCCATGGGTATTGACTGTGGGTATGCTGGTCTGACAGAACACCAGTTTTAGGCACAGTCACTATCCACAGTTAAAAGGAAAATTCAGTGACACTCACCTGACTTCCTTTGTGTCCTTGTTGTGAATGATAAGAGTTTGTGATGATGGCGACATTCCCGGAGAGAACAGGAAGCACTTCCCAAAATCGAACTTGGTGAAAGAGAACTCAACGCTGGGAGCTACAGCTACGCCTTTAATAGAGACAGTAAACGTTGGGCCATGCTTCACCTGAGGGGTTAAATAAAACGGAAAAACAGAAAAAAGAATTAGAGATGGATAAAACAGTGTTAAGACAGTGATTGTTCTTCATCAGTTCACACATTGAGTAGTTCTTTTTTTTTCCTTTAAAGGTATAGTGGAGGATGTTCTTTTCCCAGGTGGATCATCAAAATAAGTTGTTTTCCTAATTGTCAATCATTCTGGTGATATGTTTACATAAGGCCGTCCGACGTGTTGGTCCCCATTTTCACTTACCGGTGGTGAGTCTGACATAGTGGAAAAATTGCACATCTTCTTTTGGAAAGTAAGCTTCTATGAATGGTGCAAACAGCAACTTTTAAACAGAGTGTACATGAGCCCATTTCTCCTCGTGCACGCTCTTTTTAAAAGTTGCTGTTTGCATTGCTCATCACTCTCACACACATTTACTAGGGTTTCCCTCTCAAGAGCAGGTACACGGTTGTGCACGTGCATTTTATATATATATATATATATATATATATGTATATATATATACATATATATACATATATATATATGTGTATATATATATATATATGTATATATATATACATATATATATACATATATATATATATATATATATATATATATATATGTATATATATATACATATATATACATATATATATATATATATATATATATATATATATATATATATATATATATATATATATATATATATATATATATATATATATATATATATATATATATATATATATATATATATATATATATATATATATATATTGAGAGAGAGAGAGACGTCTGTGTTTAATTCTTTTTTTATCTGTTGTCTTGCTTTGGAAATTATGCTACTGAGAAAAAGACGATATTTCAAAAATATTGGATTTTACTTTGCAGACCAGTGATTTGTGGCCATGTTATTGTTACCCTAAGAGCACAATGGGCTCTATGTGCAGCTCCACTACTTTCTGAACTTCAGAAGCTCCTTTGTTTCCCATCTTTCATTACTGGACTAAGCAATTAATCCAGGTGTGTTTGAGCACAGTAACAGTTTAATAGGCATTCCGTCTCAGGAACGAGTACAGGGTTGTGCATGTACATTTTTTTAATAAGTGGAGAGGGCGGGTCTTTTCAAAAATTGGCGAAAATTCTCCACTATACCTTTAACACTATAGCAAACATTTTTAGATTACCACAGAGTAAGAACAGAATATTTTAAGGACACTTAACTCATTGTCTTTATTTATTTTCAGTTAAAAGATGATGTTTAGGGCTGCAACTAATGATTATTTTGAAAATTGTTTAATCTGTGCAGAAATTCAGCTTTGAAAACGTGTAGCTCAGAGTCTGCACTTTATGCTCCACTCTGATGGTTTGCTCCCAGCAGTATGGCTATTCCTGCTCTCGCTACTTAATAAACTATGTGGCTGATCATCCTCTGCCAAGCGTACAAAATCTCTTTACTATCAATATTTTATTTCTTCCAGCTCACAAGAGGTGATACTAAATATTCTTTAATTTCTACCTAAAGGAATCCCTAAATTATATCCAAATAAAATATTTAATTGCATTCTGTTTATTTTTGGATAAAGAGCCAGATAAAAAGGTGAATAGATTTTTGAATATTTCTCTTTTGTTGTTCTTGTTTCTATCTATTTAAATATGATGTAAATGTTTCCTTGTATTGCCATTTAAACATTTTCTCTGTTTTCTTTAAATATTTCAACATTTTAGTTAGCATATCCAATTTAGGCCTGGATTCAATTTAGGCCTGGATTGTCATGGAATTACATGGTAATTATGTAGGTTCTCTCTTATTTCGTTAAATTTCAAAACCCTGTAAATTTAAATCTACTTTGACCCCTGAGCAGTTTCAACAAAGGGGGAAATTGAAATAAAGCCAAAATTGCCAAAGTAGAAAGAAGAATTTTTTTGTTCTTTGCTTTTTTTGGAGCAATGAAGATTTTATTGATCTGTGTGTAACACATAATTCAAAGTAGATTAGGAAGTGTTTGCTTTGGGATAGATACCTTTTATGTCTAAAACCAATCCTTTATTGTACATTTTGTTAGCTTGTCTGTCTGTTATATTAACCAATATGATGTGTTGCACTAGACCCGCTATTTTCATAGCGTTTTGTGAGAGACTTTTGTATAAAGTATAAAGTTTATTTGAATTCCAGTAATCAAAGCAGAACTGCATGGCATCATTCTATATCCGGCTATTGTAGTATCTAGGCTAGAGCTCTCAGTCTGGTAAAGAATCTTGTATTTATTTGAAATTGTAAAGGTTCACTGTTTTTTGCAACATAAAACTAACTAAAACCTTTTTAAGTTTTAGTTGACTAAAACTGACTAAAACTATCACATATCATAATGACTAAACTGTGACTAAAACTAATCTTTCAACCTGAAGACAAAGGCTAAATCTAAGACGGCTACAAAAACAACATTGAGTTGAAACAATGCTCATTGTTAATATTACTGAAAGAATATTTAAGTCATTTTCACATTCCTGAGCAATTTGAATGAGGAAAATAAGCCCATTAAATGAACTACTATACTGGATTGAAAAGCTGGTGGATAATTAAGTAGGTTTATGTTAATTTTACCTTGACAATTAATTTGACATCATGTAGGTTGCAAAGGCTCTGTGGGCAGAAGAACACTGATGCCTGAAGCTGCTTCCCAACCTGGACAGCATCGCTTTGTGGTTTCACCTCTAAGTATTGAAGTTTCTTTCTCGGGCCTGTCAACTCAAAGCTTACTTCCAAAATGGACCTTGAAAGATTGGACACCAGGAAATGATGGATGCCTTGTTCTGAAATGCACACCTGTGGTTGTGATTATAAACCAACACAGAGACGGGTTGATTAAAAACTCTGATGTAATGAGACATAATCTGTCTTTGGCGTGAAGGCATGCTTACCTTTCCAAAGTCTACTGTTTCTTCCTGGTTTGTGAAGATCTCTCTGAGGTTTCCATCTTGCTCCTGAATCTGAACTAAAGCGCTCATGATGAAACAATCAGCCTTAACATTCAGTAAGAGTGGTTCCAACTTCCTCTTTACTGTCAGATTCAGTCTGAAGTTGAACTTTCCCTCTGAATAAGGTGTGAAGCTCACCAACAGTGGTAACCTACCCAGCAGATTACGACCATGTCAGAGGATTAACTTTAGCAGTACTTATATTACTCACTTTTAAAGGAAAAGTCCGGTCAGCATGAATGACCAATGGATCATTATTTGTACCTAAAACTATTAAATGCGGGGTGATTTAATGAATTTAGCGTTAATCGAGCGGCCATTTTTGCCCAAATAAAGTAACACCTCCATCCTAACATCTTCCAGCAGTGACGTCACGGTGCGGTAAGCCTAGCGCCATTGTCCCCACTTTGCAAGCAAAATCAATGGGAACTACTAGACACATCTGCAATCAACAACAATTATTGAAGATTTCCAGAGGACTTCACCATTGAAATTCACCAGAGCTGTAGTGAAACTGACAATGCCCATGTGCATGGCAGCTGAATGTTGGAATACATCGGGTAAAAGTGGAAAAAAGTTATTTCACCTTTCCGATTCATGATCCTCATCGTTGGATTGCCAACTTGAAGAGGGAGGATTTGCCATCGAACTTCTGGCCAGAGAAAAAACCCGTAACATGTAGCCAACATTTGGAGGAAGAATGTTTTCATGAAGACTTGGATAATAGCGCGTTGTGAAAAAGACCAGATACAGCACTGAGACTTGATCAACAGCTGATACCCCACTGTGACACCACAAACCAGTAGGTGACAGTAGTGTTCTTTGACAAACATAGATGCCTCCAGTAAAGCACATTCAAATGACAATTACTTTTAATTAAAAACACAATATGCAATAATTTCATATTTACATTTTTTTCAGAAGTTTGAATTCTGAATATGACCGGACTTTTCCTTTAAAAACACTTTGTGGCGAGTGTTAAATAGGAACCTATTTTTGGGCATCACTGGGCCATTCATGGGCTTCAAACTTAGGCTGGACTGCTGATCTTCAGAGAGAAGAGATGACTGTAGGACGGAGAAGTGGAAAGGTTCCTCTTCGGCATTCACCAGATAAACTGTCTGCTCCACTTCATGTCCTGCCCAAACATAAACACATGATATACTTAGACAACATCTTGGATCGGTCCACAATTCAGACAGCTGCTGCCTCACATCTCATTTTAACAACATAAAGGACGAGTCAGAGATAATATTACAATCATCTCTTACATGTCACACAACTTCTTAAAAGACCAAAAACAAATTCTAAAATATGAAACAAATGGGCTAAAAAAAATGTTCAAATACACATAAATAATGTTTTAAAAAAACAGTTTGAAAAAAAGTTTTGGAAGACATTTAGACAAACTTATGAGAACAAAAAAGCCTTCAGTTAGACACAACATAAATTTACTCTTGACAATGACAAAAATAAATTAAAATTAAAACATAAAATCAATTAAAAAAACAAACTAACTTCACTCTTTTGTAAATTACATTACAACAAACTATCATAATACTCATTATTAAAGAGCAATCCTTTAAAATACTGAATAAGAATGCACTATATAAATATATAATATTTGTAAAACATCTTATAATATAATAATAAACTGTGTGCTTCTCATATTAATATTTAATGGAAAATAGATATATCTTTGCATATATTTCATCCAATCTGAGTTCAGTTTAAATCTTTTTTCATCTGAATAAATATGTTTAATCTAACTGAAAGGTCATTTTAGAATTTGTTTTGGTTTTTTAAGGGGTTGTGACATGTAGGAGATTATTGTAATATTATCTCTTACTCATCTTTCATGTGATTGAGATGAGATCTAAGGCGCCTCCTATTCATTCTGACAGCAGCTGTCTGAACTGTGGTCCAATCCAAGATGGCCGCCCTCTAGGCACGTCGTCAATGAGGCGTTTATGTATATAATGTCTATGGGTAATGCTACGACCATAGCAGGGCTAACATTACTCATCGTGCAAAATGCTAGCATGATTTACCTTAGATGACTTAAACTTGTAATCGTTTTGTATTCGATGAATAATAATAATACTAAAGCTGTTGCTTTGGTCACATACGATGTAACACTTGATCTGGTCTTAGCACAAACAATTCAAATCGAAAAGTATCTTACAACTGAATAAACTTCTGTCTTTTTTACGCACCACAAACTAATTCCCCAAAGTTAAGACGAGGTCTGTCCAGATAGACACGTGGTTCCCGAGCAGCGGCCACACAAAGGAAGGGAAAAGAAAGAGACAGATTCTCAATCAAAAAGCTCCACAGTGACTCCACGGTCTCCAGATGTTCAGCAACATATTCAAAACACATCTGTAGACAAAAGTAGGCAGAACAATTATATATAATCATGTATATTTCTGAATAGTACCCTGAGAATTAAAGTGAGTATAAAAAGAGAAAATCAAGGTACCTCCATTTTCTTCCCAGGTGGAATGGTCCCAAAAGGTGTTAGACAACGTAAAGAACTCTGCGCTGCGTCCTCACACCTCCACTTAAACAAGTAAGCCGTCCTAGTCGGGTTCATCACATTAAAAAACCTACAGAATAAGATGAGCAACTTAATCTAGTTTCTTAGACGAATGCTTCTCACTGTTTCTAGAACTGTCTACAGGGGTAACCAGTTAAAAATCGACGGGATAAAGAAAATCAATAACCAGTACAGTAAAGGTCCGGAGACATTTTATATTATAATCTGTTACTTTAAACATATTTTAACACTGAAATAAAATGAGGTTTTAATGAATCCACGTTATACATTAATCTAAAGTTTTTTTTTAAGTAGAGCACAACAATCGTTCAGTTTGGTATACAGACAATTTCCTGATTCACACATTCTATAAAACACCTGAACTGACCGTTTTTTTTATTCTTTCTTTTCTTCTGGCTTAATGAGAGCAGTGGGCTTTATGCTGCCCTGCAAGGCTTTAAACCTGGTTTGAATGGAGACTAAGCCATTCTAAATATCAAGGTGTTCATTTTGAGCCTGGATCCATATTTATTTTTGATTCTGTTCATGGTGGAGAATCCTGCTTCACAGCAGCAGGTTGAGCCAAACATACTCAACATGTACAGGTGTTGCGCCCTCTGCTCCGATAACTTGGTAGAGGTACGTGGTTTCTTTTGGGTTAAAATGAATAATGGAGATGCTGCCGACGTCTTTACTCACTTTCACTTTATTCAAAAGCACACCACACAGTTCTCTGGTCAGAAGCAATCGATCTAAAAAAACCATTGAACTCTTGAGAAATTGTAAATAGTGTACATAGTAATAATACTTTTAGTAATACTTTCTAACCCTAACCCTACCTTTAAACAATCATAACAAAATTATAATTATGTAATATGAATTATTTTTAACTCTTGTTTTTAAATGAAATATCAGTCTTTTAAACCTGTGTATTTTAATTTGTGTATGGATAACTTTTAAAATATTTTAATAATTTTAACCTGTCACACAGGGCCACTTTGAGCACGCAATTTCACTTGTCTTTAACCAGTTTCCAGCGGTCCACACTGTCTCTGCTTTCTTTTTCTCATCATCTTCTCCTTCTTTCCCATCGCCCGGCTTGCCACAGGTTTGCCTGCTGTGTCTAAAAGTAGCAGCAGCAGCAGCAACCCAGACTGATACAGCTCATTGGCTAATATTCATCACTTGCAGCCTGGTGACGGACGCTCTCGAGGGCTTTACCGTATTAACAGGAGAAGCAGTGCAAGTTAAGTTGGACACTGTCGTTGGAAAACATGCTGTTTATTTAATTTATAAATGTTTAAATCAGATTGGGTCCGGATAAGCTAGAAGGGGGTCTGGATTCGTAGCGCGGTCTGCTATCCGTGACCTCTGGTCTACAGGCTTTGTATATTGAGCAATGCTTTAAACAAAAACTACATTAAAGGAAAGTGGCTAAGGTTTTATAGAATCAACACTTTTGCTGTGCTTCTGAAGTCAGAACGTGGTTCAAGGAGGGATTCACACCCAGTTAAAAGATGATCCATTTACCTTTTTGTTGGTGCTGAAAGTCCAACGGCTTTGAGCTCTAACACCTGAGTGCTAGGGTCCAGAAGTCGGCTGGTGTTCCTGATGTAGTCTGTATCATCTAACTCAAAAAGAACCTCTGGGAGCAGGCTCTGACCAGACACAGTAACACAAGGAACCTGATCGCTCCTCTGCATGTTTGGAATGCTGAAAACAAAAGACGTCCATAAAAAATGGGAACAAATCCATTTCTATTCCAAGGAGAAGTAAATTAGAGTATTGATCAAAAGATGTGGGGGAAGTTTTTCAAATGCTGACCCATGAAAAATGCAGAGCATCAGATGCCTTTAATTACCTGCAGATTAATCTGCCCTGAAACTGAGCTACTTCCACAGGTGAAAAACAAATGTTGAAGTTCTGAGTAACTCCAGGATTTATGGATCCGCTTCTAGGCTCCACGCTGAAGGGAGGAAGGTCTGGGTTTCCAATCCGGGGTGACGTCACACTGCTCCCAGCACTGGGCAGCCCGGGTAAGCTGCTGCAACGGCCGTCTCTCCTCCTCTCCTCTGTCACCAATGACATAAACTTTGGTTCATGCTGAATCATTTTTAAAGCAATAAAATATCAGCTGATATAATCTAACTCGGAATTACAGATAACAAATAAATAATCAGTTTAATTAAATTCATTACTTGATAAAATCTTGATCAAAGCTCATTTTACCTCCTATAGGATCTGCTATCTTGTTGTGCTCATCCATTTGGACTTGCCAGGAGAAATCCACTTGTACAGAGCCCACATTGATAATCTGCAGTCTTTGCACACAGAGAAAAAAGGAAGCATATGTTTGACAGTGGCGGTTCTAGACCAAATGTACTAGGGGGCCAGGAGGGGGCCAGGGTGTTTTCATGGGGCCACAGAAAAGCATGAAATAAAAACAGGGCAAGGGATTCAAATATATTAATGCATGAAGTGAAATTTCCATTCAATTAGGTTTAATTAAAATTCTATGTCTTATTAGGTCAATATACATTCATAATTTAAGAATTTTACATATTTTTGATTTAGTCTAAAGTAGAATGACCATTTTCTATAAAATCCGAATTAGAACTTGAGAAAAACTGATAAATTCAGGTGTAAAATTTGTTTTGAAAAAAACATTTAGCAGATGAAAACTGGGATCCTATCTCAATACCATTGAAGCTATCACATTATGTTTACATATACATTTGCAATAAAGTACTTTAACTGTAATATGCAATTGCCTTCCACTGCACTTTAATTTAGATAGCTTCTGTCCAAATTTTATTTATTCATTTGATGGTAAAACCCATCTGTATATATGCTATTGTACATAACTGTATAAACCTTTTATTTAGTAATTATCCAGCTGTAAATTTAGTTCATAACACTAGTTATCTATATATTATATTCATCTATTAGTAAGATTCTTATTATAATGGTATTCATCTCTATACTTATCCAGTAGAAACCCATGTCCTGTATTTATGGAAGCATTATTTATCCTGCACTTGCTGCTATTGCACTTCTGGTTAGACCTAAACTGCATTTCGTTACCTTGTACCTGTACCTGTGTAATGATAATAAAGTTAAATCTAATCTAATCTAATCTAAATTGTTTTTAAATAATTAGTAAAATGGAATTTGTAAAGAAAAAATAATTAAATAGATCCAAAGGACTTATCAGTAACCATGTGTGTTCCAGCAAATATCATCATTAGAATTTCTTTGAGTGTTATGTCTTCAGTACAGGGGCCATAACAGGGGCCAGGACATGATCTAAAGGGACACTGGCCCCTGTTGGCCCTTTTCTAAAACCACCCATGTGTGTTTGCAAAAAAGGAAAGTCTTATCCCATGAAGTTGAATGTTCAGCATCACACGAAAACATTGAAGTTGCAAGCCAAACTTTTCTGAGAACTAATCAAACTCATATTTGAGATATTTTTCATCAGATCAGTTTTTCAACTTTTTTGTAATTTTTTTTATAATCTTGATGAAATCATAACTTAAAAAACACAAACCTCTGCACAGACATCCCTGTGTGACATCACAAAGTGCATAGGGCTAGACGTAGATCTGGAGTAGTTTGAAAGAGGGCTCTACGATTTTGCGGAAAATCAAAACAGCTTTTTTTTAACCATAATTACAATTTCATTTTGATTTTTCTTTGCACTAACACCAAGTTGTAGATTTTTAACCCCAGGCTTTCAGTTTTAGAAAGCTTGCCCACCCAAAGATCATTCTTAGAGGACTTCACTGTAACCAATGTGTGAAAAAGTGTTTACCTTTACTTGTATGCGTGGATGTGCGTGCTAGCTGCAATTATTTCTACCTTAGTGTGTGGCGACAAACCCAATTCAAGCGTTTCACACTGCCACCTAAAGGGCTGGAGGGAGAAATTTAGAGCCCAACTCTTGTTAAATATAGTGTGATTAAAAGTTAGTGCCTCTGTAATTTGAAAATTGTGTTTTGTTAAATTACAATTATGTTGAAAATGCATTTCATTGCCTATCCCTAGTTTGAATATGACCACCAAAATTATTCAATTCCTACCGAATTTAAAACAGTCACACCCTGATGATTTAGACCAGCGTGGGCTTGATATATAAAAATTCTAGCATACATTGGATAAGTTATGGGTACGTTTTGTATTATTCTGAAACACGCTGGAACGCGTCAGCATACGTACTTCGTATGTCGAAGTTTTTAGCATGCTCAAAATTTTCCAACATATGCCAGTGTATGCCATACGTTGGCCATAAGTTACAGGTAAGTCATCTGACATACATTAAAGGAATAGTACACCCAAAACATGATTAGCCTTCATTTTCTACTCACCCCCATGCTGAACAACACTCTGGAGTACTTTTTTGATATGTCAAATGCATCTGGAGATCTGGGAGGCTTCTTGCTGTCTGCTGCCATTCAAATAATGGAGGTCTATGGTGCCCGAGACAGAAAGGTCCATAAAAGTCCACAAAAAACGTGTCAATATTCCTCCATACTGCTCGTCCAATGTATTCCAAGTGTCCTGAGTGGGTAGCATACAGAATTTACTCGAAACGAAGTCATTTAGAATGTTTTTAGAGCATAAACAGTAGTGTATAGGATTTCCTGAAAGCGCGCACATGCGCGTTCACGAGCCTACGGAAGCCGGCAGACAACAAACATTAGAAAACATTCTAAATGACTTTGTTTCGAGTAAATTCTGGATGCTACCCACTCAGGACACTTGGAATACATTGGACGAGCAGTATGGAGGAATATTGACACGTTTTTTGTGGACTTTTATGGACCTTTCTGTCTCGGGCACCATAGACCTCCATTATTTGAATGTCAGCAGACAGCAAGAAGCCTCCCAGATCTCCAGATGCATTTGAGATATCAAAAAAGTACTCCAGAGTGTTATTCAGCATGGGGGGTGAGTAGAAAATGAAGGCTAATCATGTTTTGGGTGTACTATTCCTTTAAGTGTATGTTACTCATAAGTTGTGGTGTCTAGCTTATCCAAAAACCTATGAGTATGTTCTGCATAACTTATGCGTAACTTATCAAAAACTCTCCAATGCATATCAACATATTTGACGTGTTCCAGACGAGCTCTGAATGTGTTTCTAACTTAGAGCTACTGTATAATGGTGTATTGGCTGTGTTTTGTTATAAAAGGGGGTTCACAGGACTTCTCCAGACTTCCTACCCATCATAGGGTGAGCCAGAAGGTGAGAGTGATGGATCCTCCCTGCGTTCACGCCCATGACCAACAAACTTCCTAGCAGACATGACGCTGAATCTGCTGCCACTGCAAACCTTCTTTATTTTTCTTTATTCTTTTTTTTTGTGTGTGGGCGGTAAACAGCATCTAGTTTAATACAGTGATCAAAAGCATGTTTTTATTGCATCGCTGCCCCTCTCAGGAGCAGCGATGCGCTTGAGGGGAGCAGCTATAACTGATGCTTCATAATGCCCCTAAAATGAAGCACAAGCATCATTTTATAGGCATTATGCTGCCGTGCGTTATGCATAAATTAGGCTATCATTAGACATAAGTTCTACACTCGTTATGAATATTATTAAAATTAAAAAATCCATAGAAAAGTAAGTGTATGTCAGCGTTTTAGGAGATTCTGGGATGTCGGGCGTATGCTAGCTAAATCGACAAGGTGTGACAGGGCCCTAAGTGAGTTTCAGTGTAGTCCAATAATAGTCCATACATAATAACATGCAATCCAATAACATCCATGTCTAGAGACTGGCTATGGAAAGAAGTGTCCCTTAAAGGACGGAATGCGCAGGGAAAACCTCAAATGCTTCATTTTAATCACAGAATGCATCAAGAAACAAGATTCTGGATGTTAGATCATCAAACTAAATTAGGACATGGATAACCTGAACCTTTCAATAATTGTCTGGCACAACACTGTTCAACGGAGCTACAATGAAATGGACAGATACTAGAAATTTAAAGGAAAAAAAAAATGAAAACATAAAATAAAGACTGATTCAGACACACCTAAATACTGAAAAAAATGCAATATTTAGAAATGTTAACAAAGGTCAGATATGAACATTTCTACCTGAAGGCACAAAATACACAACAACACAGTGTAAATAAAAGTTTAAAATACCCTTTGTCTCTAAAATGTTAAATGTGTTTTAAACAGGATCCTAATATTCTCCAACATATTATGCTCTGATACTGTGGTTTAGTTTTACTTACTGATGGAGTGTGGTTTGGAAAAGCAAAGTATCTTTGAAATGAATGGTGTCGCAGCTGCAGGTAAACTTTGAATAATCACAAACTGCTCTGATTTCCAGTTCCAGCTCCGTCTGAGAGCCTTGGACCTGAGAACAGACCGGCTCAGGATCCGTCTCTGTCACCTACAAGCAAACAGGCAAATTATTCAAAAGCAAAAATAAATAAGAACAACTTTAAAATGATATTTTAGGAAATTACATCAAAAAAGGGAAACTGGTTCAAATAGGAGCTAACATTGAAATATTTTTTGTTTATTTTATTGATAATGGTAAAAAGACATAATGAAAAATCAACAGTCTCTTCCATTTTATTTTGTTAACTAAAACTACAATATAAAGAAATATTTTTTACAGAAATCTCAGATTTCAGAAACGTTTGTCCAGGTGTAGTACAATAAATGCACACAGTACTTCGTTAGTCAATTTAATTTTACCCTTTTTCTACTTAGATGTTGGACTAATTTATAAATGAAATGTGAAATTTGTTAGACTCCTGAGCAAATATCAGGTTGTTTATCTCTTTAGACCCAATAAGGGAATTCTTATTTCAATGTCTCTGGCTCTCGAGTGGCTGGGATTACGAGGGTTTGTCTTTGGTTGATGGTTGTTGAAGGAAGGAGTCTTGAATGGTCTCCTGGAAATCCACAGTAAAAATTGTGATAATTCAACCTTTTTCTAGCGACAACTTTCTCCCACTGAATTTCCAGCAACTGTCTGCTGCTCATCTGTTTAGTCAGTCATGTTGTTGGACTAGCCATAAAATTAACATTCTGGAGAAGCTCTGGGTTTTAATAGAAGTAATTCACAATCACCCAAATTAGTGACGATGGTCAGACGGCCCTGAGTAAACCTGCCTGGCTTCTGTCAGAGTGTGTTATATACATACAGGACATGTGTGCATGAATGGGTGAATGACTGGAATTGGAAAGGATCTATATAAGCAATACATGTCATCTACAATTTTAACTTTAAACAAGAGCAAAACGATTAAACATTTAAGGTATAGTGGATCATCAAAATAAGTGGTCCTCCTAATTGTCAATCATTCTGGTGATATGTTTACGTAAGGCCTTCCTACGTGTTTTTCCCCATTTTCACTTACTCACTTACTGAGATATATATATATATAGTCTGATATATATATATATATATATATATATATATATATATATATATGAGATATATATATGGGATATATATATATATATATATATATATATATATATGAGATATATATATATATATATATATATATATATATATATATATATATATATATATATATATATATATATATATATATATATATATATATATATATATATATATATATATATATATATATATATATATATATTTATCCCTGTAGTAGCTATTAAAAATTTCCCCATTTTCCTTGGCTGGTCCCCGACAATTCCTTTTTAAACATCAATCTTTGTACTACAATATTTCTTCTGTCTTCATATGTGGACATTAAGATCTCAGAGAAACATCATCTCCTGGTCAGAGCCTCTAATTCAGTGAAAGAGTGGAGTCAGAGTAAAAAAATATGTTCACTGAGGGGAAGGCCAGCGGCTGGAAGTTGGAGGGGCTTTTGCTGGGAGTTGCAGGGGAAGGGGAAGAGGCTGCCATTAGCAGGCGTTTGACTATTGACCATTTTGAATGGCTGTACTGTATATAATAGAGAGAGAGAGAGAGAGAGAGAGAGATCTGTGTGTTACTCTTATTTATCTGTTGTGTTGCTTTTGGAATTAATTTGTGATGTGTGTTCAGAAGAGATAGAGAGAGAAAGTGAAAGATATATTTTCCTTTCATGTATTTGAACTAAAGCATTTTTCCTGTTCATCAGACCATATCTACCTTTTTACTCTCAGGCTTTTGAGATTCATCAGAACCCGAATTTTGCCGTTTCAGCGCTCGGTGACGGTCATCCCAGTCAGCCACCTCCTCTATTGGCTCCTTGAACTCCACCTGGCAGATTTTACATCTGATTGGCTGCTTCAGAGTCAGCGGCTGACTGGAGGAAAAGGTGACGGTCACCTCCTTAGAACAACCAGAATGAAGATGCCCAATCTGTGCAAAAAACAAAAGAAATAAAAACTTTCAATATCACATAAATACTAATGTTAAAAACAAAGATCATAGAGCACCAGTGTCAAGGTTGATGGATGTTGTTGTGGACCCAAATGCAAAGTAAACGATTCAGGGAAATTAACACTGCGGTGTATGTGTGTCGGACCCCAAAAGGGAAAAAAGGGAAAATATGTGATGATAACAGAGGATTTAAAGTAGATAAATCATAAATCATTTGCTTTCATTACCGATGTGGAAGGATTGCCTGCATGTTTGCTTTGGAATGACAAAAAGGCATTTCCAAGGAAGGCTGCTAAATATGCAGCCGGTCACTAAGTTGGGAGTGAGAGAAATAGTGCGATTGCAGAACTTCTGGATAAATTAGAGGAGAGCAAAGATAGATTTAAGAAGTGGATTGCATCTCCAAACTCCACTACTGCTGCCTATTTTGCTGCAAGATTGGAAAACCGTTCACAGATCAAACATGTAGCGCTCTTATACAGCGATGTGAACTTTATTCCTGTTTTTCCCCAAATCCTCTAAATAAAACGCTGGTGACGGAGGATGTGGGATTTTGGGGTGAGAGATCTCTGCTCTGATGTATGTCAGTTCCTGCTTGGTTCCTCATGACTCAATCGGCTCCTCCCATTAGAAACACGTCCACCATAGAAAGATTTGTTTATCGTGTTTCTATAAATGGGTCCTCGGCTGGTCCCCTACAGTTAATTTTTAAACATCAATCTTTGTACTAAAGTATTCTAAAGTAATTCTCAAGTATCCTCCCTCACCTCATGCTGCTATGTGACATTTGCTCCAGGTTAAACATTTAATCATGAATGCTTATTATATATTTAAGCCCACATAGTCCTTTTCTATAGTGGGATAAAACACTTAGAGCCTGTGTTGCCATATGAGGCTTACAGAAGACTTTTACATTTTCACGTCTCCAGAAAGATTTGTTTTTGCTTTTTTTGGTCCAATTTGGTCTTTGAGCAGTTTGGGTTGCCGACCCCTGAACTAGAAGAAGCTAAGGTAAAAACTTAACAGAAACAAAATGTTCCAGAAAGTAAGATCATTACAGGAAGCCTCCTAAATATAAACAGGAAAGGGTAAAGGTTTTATAACGGGTTAACTACCTACCCACCTTTCAGGCTTTATTTGTTAGAGAAGTTTTTTAAAACATGGATTTAGTGAATAATTGTGCATGTTCACAACATTTGTGATGTAAAAATATTTTAACACAGAAATAAACTATAATGATCTAAATACGATATGTTTCCATCTAATGTAATGTTTCAGAGCTTTACCTGTGGTGAAAACGTGACGTTGGGTTCACTGGGAGGCCATTCAAACCTCACCACCTGGCTGCTGCTGTGGTTGGTCATGGTGAAACTTTCTTGGTATGTACGACCCACATGGCAGTCACCAAAATGAACGATGTCATAACAACCTTTGAAAGAGAATTTTTTTTTTTTGGGTTACACATCCTGCTGTGACCCAACATTATGCAGTAAAATCTCCCTTTTTCTCTCAATTCCCTCCTTTGTTCATACCTCCCACTTCATCTTCTCCATCCTGCCATGACCTTCTGAAGTTATTAAAGGACACAGTACGCTTAACAGCCTCTCCTGTCACGTGTATTGAGCTGTTACTGTACTGGTTGTCCATCACCTGCACTGTCATCGTCGTCTGAAGAGCCAGCGATTGGTCGGAGCAGAAGCTGACCTCAAACCTCTTCTGTTCATTCACGTCTAACTTTGCAGTAGTTCTGTGAATCAAGTGACCCTCTGGAGGAGAGAGAACAGTGTTTTCCAGGAAAGTGATAGAAATAGGAGATGTTTTTGTTACCAGCCTGAAACAGCTTTGGATATATTGAAAACAATAAAAAAGAAATACAGCTAAAATAAAAAGAACATTAGAAAAAGAACAAAATACAAAAAAATTTGAACAACAGAACACAACATGGCTAATAGAAAATATATACCTTTAAGTAACATTTCACAAAGCAAACCATCCATACCTGATGAGTGGACAGAACTGCTGCTGCTCTCAGGAGGGAGTTGTATTTTTAACACACCATGTTTGTCCAGCATGTCAATCTGGACCTTTTGCAATAAATAGAAAAAAATTATAATATTATCCTCCCTTCAATTAATTTTTGCAAAGACCAGGCTGTCATAGTACTTTTAATTATCCAGTATGAACATAATTACAGCTCATTCACATTAGTTTGTAACAAAGAATAACATATTTTAATTCCTCTATTTTCTGATTCAGTTCTGTAGTAATTAGCATGATTACATTCAGTTATGGCTTTTAAAGGAAAAGTCCGGTCATATTCAAAATTCAGACTTCTGAAAGTACTTTAAATATGAAATTTTTACTTACTGTTCAATAAATGATAAGTGTTTTTATGATAAGAGTAATTTGATTTGAATGTGCTTTACTGGAGGCATCAATGTTTGTCAAAGAACACTACAGCCACCTACTGGTTAGTGACGTCACCGTGCGGTATCGGCTGTTGATCAAGTCCCAGTGCTGTATCTGGTGTTTGTCACAACGCGCTATTATCCAAGTCATCTTGAAAACATTCTTCTTCCAAATGTTGGCTACATATTACATGTTTTTTCTCTGGCCAGAAGTTCGATGGCAAATCCTCCCTCTTCAAGTTGGCAATCCAACGATGAACCCGTCCATGGAGGATCAGGAATTGGAAAGGTGCAATAACTCTTTTCCACTTTTACCCGATGTTTTCCAACATCCAACTGCCATGCACGTGGGCATTGTCAGTTTAACTATAGCTCTGGTGAATTTCAATGGTGAATTCCTCTGGAAATGTTCAATAATTGTTGTTGATTGCAGATGTGTCTAGTAGTTCCCATTGATTTTGCTTGTAAAGCGGGGACAATGGCGCTAGGTCAATGCTGGAAGACATCAGGAATGAGGTGTTACTATATTTAGGCAAAAATGGCCGCTCCTGGACTCAGTGACCGCAACGAAAATTATTATTTTTTATTTTTTATTTATTAATGCTTAATTCATAATAACCACAAACATATTAGTTTTAGGTATAGATAATGATCAACTGATCCTTACTTGCTGACCGGACTTTTCCTTTAAAAAAATATTTTTCTTGCAACCCAACAATGAAGTTAAGTGGCAGAAATGTATATACTGTAGCTAGCACTATTTCCCGTAAACCACCTAGCAGCTAAAATGTCCTAAAATCCTCATCTAGTAACTTTTTAACCTGCAAAGAGTGTCACTTGAGTCTAATTAGAAAACAGTATTATCACTTCTATACAGTGAAAATGAAATGATCCCATCTGTGGGAAGATTTTCAAAGACATAGAATTTGGACAATAATCTCTTTAACGTTAACAAGAAGGGCCAAATAATTGACTGACTGTTTGATTAAAACAAGCAGAACAGTGCTGTAGAAAAGAGTGTGCAGCTCAGAGGGTACAGTAGCAGCCATTCAAAATGGCCCTTCCCAGTCAAATGCCAGCCGAATGGCAGCCCACTTCCCTCCGACTTCCAGCCACTGGAGTGACCCCCTGTTATATTTTTTTTAACTCTGACTCCACCCTTTCAATGAATTACAGGGTCTGACCAGGAGATGAAGCTTCTCTTTAGATCTTAATGTCAACAAATCATGACAGAAAGAATATTTTAGTACAAAGATTGATGTTTAAAAATGAATTGTAGGGGACCAGCCAAGGACCCATCAAGGAAAGTGGGGACATTTTGAATGGCTACTAATGTACCAATTAACGGGAGGCCCACTGAAAATCACTGCCTATGTGGGAATGAAAGCTAGTGAAACCAAAGCTCCAACAATCACATGGTAGTTTTAACTGACACAGTGAAGCACAGTCTTTAATCAGGTATTTAATGAGGTATTTTACCTGATCAGCAAACTTTTAAGCAAAGATTACAGGTTTTTATTTTTTTACATCAAGTCAGTAAAGTTATTTCAAGGCAACCAAAGCAAATTAATGTTAAAGCCCAGACTTTCCATGGACAGAGGAAAAATTTGTCAGGACTCATTTTTTTGTGCCTGTGTTTTCTGTGTTTGTCTCCCTTCTTCCACCAGGAGGCGCCTGGTTCTGGTCCGCCTCCTCACACACCTGCTGATGGTTTTCTCGTTAAACGGAGTGTTCTTAAGATGCTGACTGCTACTACTTCGACACCAGAGTGTTTGCCAGTTTAGGGTACTCTAGCCAAGCTGAGTTTGCTAAGTCAAGCTGAGTTTTTGTCAACCTGAGTTTAACTGTGTTTTGTCTTTGCCTCTTGACAGGAAGTTGTCCTGCTAACTGGATCTCTTGGACCTTCACACCCTGGAAGGATCAACTGAGCTTCAAACTGAGCTGGGATTCAAACAGGAGGTTTGGATCCACTTTCCCCAACAGATCGTTTGAGCTTTCACTGAGAAAGGGATTAATCTCCACAACGACCCGTTCAAGTACCGCAGGAAATCTGAGTGGCAGTCAGTATCTCCGTTCTCCAACTATCAACCGCATTCTGGGTAAAACCTGTTACGCCCTCCACCAAATCAGACCAACACTGGAACCATCGCACACAGGCAGGAGTCAAGGATACAACAACTTCACTGGAAACGTTAGTCGGCAACCAAAACCTCTTCTCCAAGTTTCACGAGTCGAATTCCCCACTGAGGCTGAACTACTCGCTGTGTCTTCCCCTCACTTTGCAGTTCCGGTTGAGCAGTGTTCTGAGCAACACTTCTCCCCCTGTTTACTTCTTCAATAAAACCAGTTAAACCTTTTACACGGTCTCTCTGTTCGGTTTTCTGCATTTTTGGGTCAGAACTTTGTAACATCATGACAAAATTAAATTCGCCGCAATTTCATCACTTTTACAAAAGCAGCTGGGTGGAATAACATAGAACATAAAAATAGAGCAGGGTGAGAAGAAAACATGTTTTATCAAACACATGATGAGGCTGTATACCAATTTTTAAAGCCTGTGCCACATGTTGCCTTGGATATGGTTTATTACCACACCTGTTGTATTTAATTAAAGAATGTATGCTTAAAACTGTTCCTTTCTACCAAGGGGTGTAACTTTGTGATGAAAGTTAGTGGGGACACTCAAGTGGGGGCTGATGGACCTACAGTTACTCCACCCAAACGCTTTCAGTAGTTTTTTGTATTTTCCAAAAATTAGCTCAAATACATTTCTCTTGAATGCTTTCCTTGAGAACACAAGAGAACTACATACACTAATATTTATAGTTATAGACAGTTGAAGAGATGTCTTTTAGTGCATTACATATATAGGGCCCAAAAGCATTAATGTTTAAAACAAAATAATGAATAACAGTGATTACGTTGCTAAAATTGATATATCATGCATCTCTAGAAGTATAACTTCAATTCCATCCATCCAGTAAAATATGGATATGCTTCATTTTAAATAGGGCCTCTATCACAAGCTCCCTCTCACTTTTTTATCATCTTATTTTTTATGTTGTTTCATGTTTCTTTTTTTCTTTGTTTGTCTGATGTACTGTTAAAAGAAATTGCCTCTGGTGGGATTAATAAAGTGGATTAAGTCTCAATTTCAATTAGAGATAAAAATATTTGTCAACAGATTAATTAATATTAACAATATTTAAAAATGTTACTAATAAAAAGTCATATGAGCTCTGGGACATAAAATGTTGACAGTTTTTTATAAAAACGAACCTCAGCTGCAATATTTCCATCATTGAGAAGCACCAAAGGTAAAGTTCGTCTCTGTCCGACCGAAGCTCGTCCAAAACGCATTTCTGGGTTTCCTTCATTGTTTACTCGAGATGGACGCAAGATACTGACAGTGGGGAGAGTCCCCTCTCCAGCCAGCTGAAACTCCAGGGTCTGGTTCATGGGTATGAGTTTGGGTCTGGATAGGAAAATGAAAGAAAATGTATTTTACAGAAGATGTGGGATTATTGCCTGAAACGTGACAGTAGTGATATATTTTCACCTGTAGATTGCTTTCACTGTGGCTTCAAACACCGCGCTGTAAGGACGGATGGCCTGTGGTGTGAAGGTGACCACAGCAAAGGTGTGTGACTGGCTGCCTATGTTCAGAGTTGATGTCGGCAAATCAAAAACCTCCAACTGTTGCGATGTCTGAAAGCAAATACGGATTTCTTTAGTCTTAGCCATGTGGCTAACAGACAGATTTAAAAGTCTTACCTTGGTCCCACCATACTTGATGGCCAGGTTTAGTGTGCAGGACACATTGGTCTTGTTGGTGAGTTTTAAGCGGGCTTGAGCAGTTCGCCCCACCAGAACTTTATTGAAGACAAATGTTTTCTCATTTACAACAAAAACACCCTCATTATTGAAGAGGGGCTCTGAGGACAGCTGGCTGCTGCTCTGACACAGATAGTGTTCTTCAAAGATGGACACTGGGTCTACCACAATACCTGGACAAAAAGAGCAAATGAAAAACAAACTTTAGGAAAAAAATGCACAGATTCTGGACAGATACAGGTTTCAGCTTTCTACATTATGGTATAATTTCCTGTTGAAGACAATTAAAGGAATAGTACACCCAAATCATGATTAGCCTTCATTTTCTACTCACCCCCATGCTGAACAACACTCTGGAGTACTTTTTTGATATCTCAAATGCATCTGGAGATCTGGGAGGCTTCTTGTTGTCTGCTGACATTCAAATAATGGAGGTCTATGGTGCCCGAGGCAGAAAGGTCCATAAAAGTCCACAAAAAACGTGTCAATATTCCTCCATACTGCTCGTCAAATGTATTCCAAGTGTCCTGAGTGGGTAGCGTCCATAATTTACTCGAAACAAAGTCATTCAGAATGTTTTTAGAGCATAAACAGTAGTGTATAGGATTTCCTGAAAGCGCACGCCGGCGCGTTCATAACGCTACGGAAGCCGGCAGACCAAACCAGCGCATTCAGCTCGGCAAAGAACTCATGCTCTTCCTCAACACTGAAGTCCTCAGACATTTTTCTTTCGTTGTTTCTTTCTTTGCACAGGTAAACAGCACATTTCTTCTTCTACGCTTGCATTATCGGCAGAGCAGATGCTGAATGCGCACTTTCATCTGGTTTGGTCTGCCGCGGTTTCCGTAGACTCGTGAACGCGCTTTTAGGAAATCCTATCCACTACTGTTTATGCCCAAAAAACATTCTAAATGACTTCGTTTCGAGTAAATTATGGACGCTACCCACTCAGGACACTTGGAATACATTGGACGAGCAGTATGGAGGAATATTGACTCGTTTTTTGTGGACTTTTATGGACCTTTCTGCCTCGGGCACCATAGACCTCCATTATTTGAATGTCAGCAGACAGCAAGAAGCCTCCCAGATCTCCAGATGCATTTGAGATATCAAAAAAGAACTCCAGAGTGTTGTTCAGCATGGGGGTGAGTAGAAAAGGAAGGCTAATCATGTTTTGGGTGTACTATTCCTATAAAGGCATTTTAGTCATATCAGTAGGGATGGGCATTGTTTGAATTTTAGTGATTCTCTTCTGGTTCCAGTTGCTGGAGGCAGTGTGGTTTACAGCTCAGTTGGGCGGTTTTCATTTTGATTTTTGGGGGGAAAAATTGCTTTGGGGGGTTGAAGATAATTTGGGCTGGTTTGGAGTCAGATCGGAGGTTTTTGGGTTAACCTATTAAAACACGTCCATTCTCAATATGTGTACTTGTGCGTAAGTCGGACTCAGCTACGCAGTGAGATGGCGCTACTCTGACTTGTTTATCCAGAAGCCAAACGAGTAGAAGAGGAATATGAAGCTCTCTAGAGTGAAACGCGCTGCTTTGGCAATTTCGTGCTGAAAGCATTAAAAAGAAAAGGCAACAATGTATTTGGACAAAGATATGGCTGAGCAAACATGGCTACTATGCTCTGTCAATTTTACAGAAAGTAGTCCATTTCACTCGCACCCCCGACATTCTCCTGTGTTTTTCATCTGAAAGGAAGGAGTAGAAGGTCCTTGTTTGCGCACTGAGCAGTTTGCCCACCAGCACCCTATGACGGCTGACCGAGAATGCAACATGTTTGATTTTCTCCCAACCTCACGATTCCTGATAGGGAGGTGGTCGTGAGAGGCTGATCGCCCCTGGTTACCCCCTGCACACTATACCACGCACCATCAGGCTGAAAGTCGGCCCGATCGAATAATTCTCGCACGACTAGATAGTCGAGTCGAAAAGGGCAAAAAATCGTAGAGTGTACACCCGACTTCAGTTGTAATTGGCTGATAACTTTAGTGATAATTCAAAATCATCATACTTCCCTTCATTCTGTAAAAAATATCTAAAAAACGTTCTTGTAATTTAATGCTAGGAGATATTTTCTATTTAATAATGAATTATTTTCCTGCAAAAAGATCTTTTTCAAAAGGCTTTTTTTTTTCTATGGATGCTTTTGAAAGCCTGCTGGAGAGACCATTTTATACCAAATTATGTTACCAGCTGAAAAACATCCCATTTAGATGAGAAAGATGAGTGTAAATGACTTTGATGTTAGGGTATAAGATGTTGGGATGCTTATCTCTCACCTGGTTTGCAGACCTCAGCAAGCAGTCTGTATGGGATACCATCAGGCTGGTCTAATGGGTTGCGGTCACTGATGTCAATAAGCATGGTCTGGGTCAAGGTGCCAAGCCTTTCAGCAACACAGGACACATTTATCTGCTGCTTAGACCCAGGCTGCAGTTTTCCGGTGCAGGGAGACACGGAAAAAATGCCCAAGTAGAGACAAGTCTAGGGAGAAATTTGAGGAGGAAGGAGAGTTGGTGAGAGAAGATTTAGAAATAGAAATAATAATAATGTCAAACAGCAAACACAAGTTCTTCTACAAGTTTAGTTGTATGGCACAATTCAGTACAAGTACAATTCAAATTGCTTTACAATAATTAAACAAGAAAATCCAAGAAAAATAACAGTGGAATAAAAGCAAATGAAGATAAAAGAAGGTAGTAAAACTAGCAAATAAAGCAGTTGGACCACAAACTTTATCTAATAATACCTGTTAACAGTTTGACTTTAAAAATCAAAGGCAGCTCTAAACAAATGGTTTTTAACTTTGACTTCAAAGAACTCAGGCTTTCAGCACTTTTTCAGTCTTCTGGGAGTTTGTTCCAGATCAGTGGAGCACAGGAACTAAATGCTGCTTCTCCATGTTTTGTTCTAATTCTGGGTGAACAGAGTAGACTGAAACTAGAAGACCTGAGTGGTCTGGAAGTTTGATTTACAACAGATCTGTTATGTATTGACATGCTGATCCATTCAGTGATTTCTAGACTAACAGACAGATTTTAAAGTATATTCTCTGAGCTACAGGAGCGAGTGGAAGGACTGCAGAACCAGGCTGATGTGTTCTACTTTCTTAGGGCCCTGTCACACCTTACCGATTTAGCCAGCGTATGCTCGACCTACCAGAATCTCCTAAAACGCTGGAATACACTGAACTCTCAATGTTTTTTTTTCAATTTTGGGCGTATACATAGAGTATTCATAACGAGTCCAGAACTTCAATCCAACGACAGCCAAACTAATGCATAACGCACAGCAGAGTACTGTAATGCCCATGAAATGATGCACTAGCATTATTTTATATGCATTACGAAGCATCAGTTAAAGCTGCTCCCCTCAGGCACATCGCTGCTCCTGAGTGGGACAGCAATGCACCCGGATTTTGGATAAGCTAGACGCCACGACTTGTGAGTAACTAACGTATGTCAACGATTAGATAACTTAGCTGTAACTTATGCCCCACGTATTTGCATACGCTGGCATAGATACTTGCAGTATGTCGACGTGTTCCAGCGTGTTTCAGCATACTTCAGAGTGCTCATACCTTATACAAAACGTACCCATAACTTATCCAACGTATGCCAGCATTTTTGCCAGATTTGTCATACGTCAGGCGTCTTTGGTTTCAAAGTAAACAGTAAAATGGTCTGATAGGGCAACATCGGTTACAGAAACATTAGAAATATTTAGATCTATGCTGATGACCAGCTCCAAAATATGTTCTCAATTGTGTGTTGGCTACTTAACATGTTGAGTTGTTACCAAACTTTAAAGTGTATCACATATTTCTTTTGCACCTCTCTCTTCAGGGTTTTCAACATGAACCTTGAAACTTTTTTATTTTGAGTTTTTATGGCACTCGTCACAAATTTTTTTGATAGTAGGCTGACAGGAAAGGGGTATAAGAGAGAGGAAGAGACATGGGCAAAGGACCACAGGCCAGATTCGAACCTGGATTGGGTTCGTCGAGGGTTTCGAGGACTAAGGCCTCCGTACATCGGTTGTGCACGCTAACCACTGCGCCACCTGCATGCCCATGAACCTTGAAAATTGACATGAACGTATGGTGAACACCAACAGTAGAATGTTTTTTTTCTTCAACCTCGCCTGCTGACAGGTGATTTCACCTAAATAGATACATTGATCTACTACCAACAGGCTGTGGTGAGCTGTTTTGATATGGACTAGTTTTACTGAACATGTATAGCTGGTGTTTCCTGGATGGGGCCGCCTGTGGAGCTGGCTGACAGTTGCTTTTTGTATCTCTGCCTCTGTCTCCTTGAACCCCAGTCGGCCTAGGCAGATGGCCGCTCACACTGAGCCTGGTTCTGCTGGAGGTTTTGTTCTGTTAAAAGGGAGTTTTTCCTCTCCGCTGTCGTTACAAGCATGCTTAATGAGAGGGATTGCCTTCGAGTCAATGAGTCGATCCAATGAACTGGTTTTCCTTAGTTAGAAAACTTTGAATCAATTTGACTGTATGATTTGTTGAACTGTAAAGTGCCTTGAGATGATGTGTTATGAATTGGCGCTATATAAATAAACTAAATTAAATTGAATCGAAAAGTTCATTACAATCACTTAATAGTTTGTTTTGGACTTTGGAGGCCTGTAAACATTCAGAAACATGACTTGAACAGGGCCTAGTACTTGGAGAGCCAGATACTCAGAAGATTCAAAGTCACCCAGGATCACTTTTCTTCACCTTGATTGATATTTTCTCTTAAGCTGGTTGAGCTCCACATTGGATAGTTTTCATATTAAATAGTTAACTACTCCTTATCATTTTAGCTGTTCTCTCTGCCATGTATATAAACTGAGATTTCATTTCAACGGTGGAAAAAGACATTTCTTAAATAGACAATGAAAACCAAAATGTTAAAAAGAACAAGCTGGAATCACTTACCTCCCGAGTATTTGGTTCTTTCGGATGAAAATCTAGTCTTGATTCATGAGCAGAGCGGGTAGACTTGGCTGAAGCGCTCTCTCTATGTAACATCCTACTTCGTCTTCTAAAGTCAGAAAACAGAAAGCTGTTTCATTGACAATTATCTGAATAAACTTTTGTCCTAATTTTATGAGCTAATAATTAATTAAAAATCTATATTAGAAAACCTTTCTACTTTTCAAGTTTCTCTTAAAGCTAAATGTCCGGTCATATTAGGAATTCAAACTTCTGAAAGTACTTTTAATTTGAATGTGCTTTACTGGAGGCATCCATGTTTGTCAAAGAACACTACTGCCACCTACTGGTTTGTGACGTCACGGTGCAGTATCAGCTGTTGCACAAGTCCCAGTGCTGTATCTGGTGTTTGTCACAACGCGCTATTATCCAAGTCATCTTGAAAACATTCTTCTTCCAAATGTTGGCTACATATTACGTGTTTTTTTTCTGGCCAGAAGTTCAATGGCGAATCCTCCCTCTTCAAGTTGGCGATCCAACGACGAGGATCATGAATCAGAAAGATGAAATAAATCTTCTTTTTTTTTTCTCACTTTTATCCAGTGTATTTCAACTGCCATGCACGTGGGCATTGTCAGTTTCACTATAGCTCTGGTGGATTTCAATGGTGAAGTCCTCTGGAAATCTTCAATAATTGTTGTTGATTGCAGATATATCTAGTAGTTCCCATTGATTTTGTTTGTAAAGTGGGGAGATTGGCGCTAGGCTTACCGCACCGTGACGTCACTGCCGAAGTACGCTGAAACACATCGACATACTGCGAGTATCTATGCCAGCGTATGCAAATACGTGGGGCATAAATTATCTGATCGTTGAAATACGTACTCACAAGTCGTGGCGTCGTGTCAGGAGAGAGGTGTTACTATATTTGGGCAAAAATGGTGCTCCCGGACTCGGTGATCGTCACTAACAATATTGTTTCAATTTTTTTTACTGATTTAACACTAAATTAATTAAATCAGAGCAAACGTATTAGTTTTAGATAACGATTAATTGATCATTCATTACTGACCGGACATTTCCTTTAAACAGAATTGTTATATAATAAAGCTTGTAAAAAAATAAAAATAAAAAAAGCAATTTATTCACCTTAAAATAAATAATAAAGAGATCTAGTTATGAATAAATTATTAATAAATATTAAATTAAATGAGTACAGTTTTGCAGATGAAATCTTTGCTTCTAATTAATTTATTTACTCTGCAAAGCCCTGACCAGAGAAAACTCCGCCCCCTCATTTGAGTACATGATCAAATAATAAAAAAGTCCTGCAATGATATAAAGTAGCTTTACAAGATTAATCTGATTCATAATAACAATTAAGCAAAAACCATTTTAAAATAAATAATCTCAAACAAAAGACATTAGTTTTACAGAATAGAAAATATATACCTTTTATTTGGTGATATTATTATTTATTTATTTATTTGGTGATATTATTTATTTATTTATTTATTTATTTGGTGATATTATTATTTAATCTATTTCGTGATTTTTTTTTTTGCAAAATACTTATTAATAGCATATTAACAGCAGTATTTATCTATTTATTTAATCATGATAGAAAAAAATTAAAGTTTTAGGAAGAATTATGGTTTCTAACACTATAACTACATTCAGTGCACTATAAAAACTAAAACATTTTGTAGTGTCAACAGTTTGCCTTGTAAAATATTGAGGTAAAATTATTACTTTTCTACAACATCATTAAACAATTACAGTATTTTTAATCAATTATTATATAACTATGATCCACTAATAAGGAAAACAATTATTATGATTTACTTACCCGGGCCTTGCTTGCTTCACAGGTTCTAAGACGTTGCTGGTCAGGTTGAAATTAATTGGAAAGAATCCAGTGTTTTCGATGGTGAAGTTTAGGGTTTTTTCAGTGCCATATACCAGCGGACCAAAGTCAATATCACATACAGGTGTTATCCTGTATCTAAAAGGAGAGGGAGAGAAATCTCATCATCTGTAACTATCAATTCTGGTGCTTCAAATTGCCAAGGAAATCCAGAAAAATTTACAAGTGCTCATTGTGCAGCAAATAAACAAAAAGAGCTGAAATATTTCCAAACTGTAAACCATGCAAAAGTAATCTGGGATTCTGCAGCAAAACCAAAAGGAATTTTTGGGGGGCATCTTAACATTCGAAGCCTACTATCAAAATTAATGGAAGTTCACCATTTATTGAGCAATTCAAACATTGACTTTTTGGCACTGAGTGAAACTTGGCTAAATATTAATGTTCCCACAAGTATGATTGATATTCCTGGATACACATGCTATAGGAAGGATCGTACAAATGGGAAAGGGGGAGGTGTTTTGATTTATATCAAAGATGGTTTAAATTGTTCTTTCACTGTACTGGATACTTTAGGAATTGAATGCCTTGTTTTAAAAGTTTCACTGTCACCTACAATGAAATTTAACTTACTAGTTGTATATAATCCACCATCTCATAGTGCATCTTTTTATCAAGACTTTGATGAAATGTTAAAACAAATTAATATTAAATGTGAAACAATTTTAATCGGAGATATGAATATAAATTGGATGGAGAAAATCAAAAGGGATAAATTAAAAGCTGTGTTATCAAAACATAAACTTGTCCAAATTCTTAAAAAACCAACCAGGATCACCAAAACTAGTCAAACTCTGATAGACTTAATAATCACAAATAAACCAGAACGAATCATCAAAACATATAACCTTGTGACAGGTCTATCGGATCATAATATGACATTGTTGGTCAGGAAATTAACAAAGAAACGATTAAAGGGAGTTTTCACAGTGCCTAATGCAACAAAAAGCGAAATGTTTATTCCAAAAAACAAACTACCCTTATTTGAAAATGAACTGAAAAACATGAATTGGGATAACGTGATACAAACAGAAAGTGTAAATCAATGCTGTGATCAGTTAACTGAGACTAACAAATATTATTCAGAGATTTAGTTGTGTTATAAAAAACAATAGAAAACAAACTAGTCTACCATGGGTAAACCATACTATTATTCAACTTATGAAAAAGCGAGATCTTGCTCTGAAAATTTCACTAAAAACTAAGTTGCAAACAGACACACTTGTCTTTAAAGGACTACGAAATAAAGTTGTTAATGAAATCAGAAAGTCAAGGTCCACATATTTTATGCAATTGTTTGCTGAATCAAGTGGAAATAGCTCTGAAATATGGAAGCATATTAACAAGTTGACCAATCGCAAGTGCAATTTAGGAAAATGTGTAACAAAGCTCAATATAAATAGAATGGTTAGCAATGACTCTGCCAAAATTGCAAACGAATTCAATTCATATTTTATTAATTCAGTAGAGCAACTTGCTGAAAATTTCAATCCAATTTTGCTTCCATGTAATGTTGCTGAAAATTCAGCCTCACCTTTTCACATTAAACAGGTTTACCAAAGTGAAATAAGGACAATTATCAATCAATTAAATTCATCCAAAGCAAAAGATATATTTGGTTTAGATACATTTTTAATCAAAAAGCATAGTGCAGATCTAGTAAAACCAATATCTCATCTAGTGAACTTGTCAATTGAAAAATGTGAATTTCCACAAGGGTTTAAAACAGCTGTTGTGACTCCAATTTTTATGTCCGGATCAGCTGATGCGGTCTGTAATTATCGACCTATTGCAATTGTACCTGTCATTTCTAAGGTGCTAGAGAAGCTAGTTGCTGAACAATTAATGGCTTATCTAGAGGAGAAAAGAATACTTAACTCTAAACAATTTGGATTTAGACCAAGGTATTCCACTGAAATGGCTGTATGCCATTTTACGGAATACATAAAAAGTAGTTTGGATGAAGGAAAATGTGTTGGGGCAGTATTTCTAGATTTTACAAAAGCGTACGATACTGTAAATCACACAGTTCTGCTAAGGAAACTGGAACAACTACATGTTTCTAAACAAACCTTAAGCTGGTTCAAATCTTATTTTGAGCAACGACATCAGTGCGTCAAAATTAATGTCATCAAATCTGGGATCCAAAAATGTAATGTGGGTGTACCACAAGGGTCTATTTTGGGCCCATTACTTTTCTGTTTGTACATAAATGATATCCCAAACATCTGCAAAGATGCCATCTGTCAAATGTATGCAGATGATACAATAATTTATGTGGCAGCAGACACACCTGAAAAGGCCTCTGATCTGTTAAACAGAGAGTTGTGCATCTTATCAGAGTGGCTCCAAAATAACTGCTTAACTCTGAATTACACCAAGACTGTCTCCATGTGTTTCTCCCTTAAGAAAATTATAAACAATGATCTCAAAATAATTATTAATCAACATGAAATAAAGCCGGCTGGTGAATTTAAGTATCTGGGTGTAGTTTTAGATTCAAAATTGAAATTTGATGCCCATATTAAGAAAATGACAAAAACTATAAAGACAAATATAAACTGTTTTCGAATGATTCGACCATGTGTATCAAATCAAGCTGCACAAGTATATTTGCATGCAATGATTTTATCCCATATGTCTTATTGCGCCATCGTTTGGGCCCAGGCCACAAAGTCTGTTTTAAAACCTTTACTCTCACTTCACAAGCAAGCATTAAAAATATTCGATCAAAAACCGGTGAAGTGGCATCACTGCAAAATTATTAAAAACACAAATTGATGACATTTGACAATTTTATAAATTTCTCATTTTTAAAAACTATTTTTAAATGCCTTAATGGTCTTGCCCCTGAGGTAATCTGTAAATTAGTTTTAAAGTATGCAAATGAAGGAATCAGGACAAGAGCTGGAGCTATGGGGAACTGCAGGATTAAAAGATGTCGGACATCTATGGGTCAGTCCGCCTTCTCAGTGAAAGCATCACATCTCTGGAACTCTTTGCCTCTGGAGCTTAAGTCACAGACTGATATTCGACTTTTCTCCACAAGATTGAAAAAATGGCTCAAAGACAATCAAGAGTGTGAGCACTAAACTGGCTTGTACTGTACATTTTTGTTTTAACTTCTCTTGTTTTTTTTGTTTTTTTTTGTGTTTTTATGCATTTGTGTGTCTTAACTAACCTCCCTCCCCCTCAATGCTAACACCTTTTAAAAGCCTAACCAGGGACGAAGGCTGCAAATTAGCCCATGGCTACAAGCCTTATGTACTTGGACATCGGCCACCTGTTTGGTTGCAATGTTTAATTGTACTGTCCCTGTCAAATAAACAAATAAATAAATAAATAAAAAATCTTGTATTATGGTTTAAAGAAGAAACATTGGTGCTTGTAGGGGCACTGCAGCTCCTTTAGTTTCTTCTGTACCGCATGGAAAATCAGTCTAGCAACAAGTATTGAAGCGCGAGCAAGACTAGATGATATTCTTCAACTAAGAGTAATAAAAGAAAACAAAAACAAAAGAACATCCACATTCTTATTACCGTATTTTCACGACTATAAGGCGCACTTAAACGTCTTTTTTTCCCCTCAAAATGTGCGGTGCGCCCTATGTGTGTTGTAACTGCGACTTTTGAGACCACCTCATTGAGGAGATGATGAAAGAGTGGCTGAATGTAAGGAGACCAGGTGTTTTTTTTCCACTCATCACCATCGCTGTTAATATGTAACTCCATGCGTGCCCATCTCACAGCTGAGGTGAAAAACATGGTGAAACAAATTAACCCTGTGCTCGCTGTTCAACCGCTCGACATTGGTGTGAACCGGACCCAGCAGGTGCAGCAGAAGCAGCGAGTTTACATGCAAAGTCAATGGTTGACGCGCGTAAATGTGCAGCAAAAGGTCCCGCAGCAGCAGGTGCAGCACGTCGGGAAGCGTTTAAGCATCTGACGCACCGCCAACGCGCTGCTGCTGCTCGAGATGGAAAAATTGAAGTTTTGCTGCTGGACGCGCCGCATCAACCAGTCAGAGAAGCTGATCTGGGAGCTGACAGCGAGACAGACACATCGCTCTGATGACATATGATATTAAATGAAAAAGGCTGGATGGATGAGATGATGAAAGCGTGGCTGAGGCAGGTGTATGTGAGGAGAACAGGTGTTTTTTTCCACGCATCACCATCGCAGTTAATCTGTGACCCCATGCGTGTCCATCTCACAGCTGATGAGAAAAACATGGTGAATCAAATGAACGCTGTGCCCGCCGTTATCTCGGGGGGTCTGACAAAGGAACTTCAACCGCTCAACATCGGTGTGAAGCGGCCGTTCAAAGTAAGGCTGCGAGCGGCGTGGGAGCGATAGATGACCGACACTGGAAGGCAGCGCCGGGCAAGTTACGCCATCGTTTGCGGATGGATTGTAGATGCTTGGAATAACGTGTCTGTTGGCTCTGTTGTTCGAGCTTTTGCAAAAGCCGGCATTATTTCTGAGGAGCTGCGCTGCACGGAAAGTGACTCTGACAGCGAAGAAGGGGAAACTGGCATGTCTGATTTAGCGCAGCTGTTTAATTCAGAAACAGAGGATGATGACTTTGATGGGTTTGATTAATACTTTGTAATAAATACATGAATAAAGCACAATCATACTCAGTTTTGCTCCCGCTCTATTTTTCTACCTGAAAACTTAATTCAACAGCAGCCTCTGGGCGGGTCTCCTCCTCTTCACCGCGGTGGCTGGCAGGTGTTTTTTCATCTAAATAATCTAAATCTTGCAGCTATATTTGCAGTGATCAGTGGGAATAAAGTAGTTTTAATATATTTTTAAGTGAGAAAGTCCACCTGAAAACTTAATAATTGCAGTCAGTTCATCCAGATTATCAATTTCTGTCGGAGGCGCTCAGACCCCCACATACCAGCGGTGCACCGACAGGAGAAATCCCTTCATCAGCAGCCTCACCGCGGCGGCTGGCAGGTGTTTTTCATCTAAATAATTTAAACTGCAGGCACCAGGATACCGGTAATAAAACTGAACATATTCCGTCGGCAGGTTTCAGGATTTTAAGTTAATTTAGGAGTAATCACAGCGCTGTGTCATCTGCGATGTGTCTGTCTCACGGCCAGCTGCCAGGTTTGATTAATACTTTGTTATAAATACACGAATAAAGCACAGTCATACTCAGTTTTGCCCCCGCTGTATTTTTAAATACGCAGTAGAGGTATTTAAAGGTAGTAGAGGACATGTACCTGTATATAAAAAACGTGCCCTATAGTCCGGTGCGCCTTATGTGTGTGTTAAGTACAGAAATGGGACACATAACTGAGAGTGCGCCTTTTAGTACGGTGCGCCTTATGGTCGTGAAAATACGGTACATAAAATCGGTCAAAAATGTCAGGAATCCAGTTTGTGTGGTCTGTTGTTTTGTGTTTGTCTCTTGCTCCACCACCAGGTGGCGCCCTGTCCTCGTTGGTCCTCCCTGCACACCTGCGTCTAGCTGGATCATTATCGGGTCCAACGAATGTCTACCTGTCCACTCTCCAACGAGTCCCCTCTTCTCTGGATCAACCCAAACTGACTGGATAATGAAGTGAGGGAAAACCCCCCCGAGACGTGAGTCCCTCACTAGCATTAACCTTGCGGCATCCAAGATTCCCACGGTCCCTGAACTAATCTTTGTGATATCCTCTCCAGACTTCCTAAGTCCTGTTCACCAGCCCTCTGAGTTCCAGATCCAACCCCCTCTACCCTTACCTCAATAAACCTGTTTACCTTTTGCCTTGCTCTCTGAGTGGTTCTCTGAATTTCGGGTCAGACCTCTAAACACATCATGACAAAAAACTGTGTTGCTTCCAGCATATCTGTTTTCGCCTCTGTTCTCATGTACAGTACGTACAAGCAAACAAAACAAGAATTACAACATGCGAGAAGCCCAAAAATATTCATTACAAATAGTGTTGCACCGATACCGATACCAGTATTGAGCAGGGCCCAGATCCAGCACTAAAATGGTGGTATTGGTTTCGGCGAGTACCAACAAATAGGGCACCGATACCATTTTTTTTTTTTTAGACAAAAGTTTATTTAACTATTGTCACCCATTCCAGACAGGCAATAAAAAGTTCTACTGGATTCACTTTGTATTAGTCTTTTTCCTGCTTCACAAAGGTAGGCAGCAGCTTGACAAAGCCATGATGGCAATTAATTGACATTCAAGTAGTATGCAGTTCTTTATATATATATATATATATATATATATATATATATATATATATATATATATATATATATATATATACACACATCAATTTCAAACAGATGGTATCGGTATCCGGGTCAAAAAATGGCATCAGCGCAACACTAATTACAAATTGCATTTCTATATTCTATGCTTTTAATGTTAGAGTTTGTAAACTTAAATTATAATCTTAACAACAAAAATGTATCAGTTTTGTATTTTAACCTTTTTACAACTATAAATGAATTTGGTTCCAATTGGCTCTTATAGTGCAAAAATGTGTTTTTATCCTGTTATTAAACAATAATGCTTCAGTATAATTACCTGGAGAAAACAGCTTGCATTGAAATCTTGATATTTAAGATGGCTATGATTTCTCCTCCTCTCAAGTTGGGTTCAATCACCTGCAGAAGATTAAATCACCTGTTATTTCAAGAAACTGATGCATTTAATCAAGAGACTACAACGTCTGACCTCCGGAGCCACTTCCCTGCAATGTTTAGGCTATTGCTGTTCAAACATGTCTCCAGTAAATTGAAGGCTGAATATTTAAAAAAAATATTATTTTTTTACATTTTGCCAATGGAACAAGGCAATTTGCATTTAAAATAAGAAATCACAATTGCATTGTCTTATTTCAAGTGCATTTTGATCAAAATATCGTATTTTAAGAGTAAAAATACTAATTCCATTGGCAAATCATCTCATTTACCTACTCAAATGAAGGGTAAATGCACTTAATTTGAGAAATCTTTACTTATTTCTAGATCGTTTTTCCAGTGCAGTTCTTGTTTTTAAAATCATTATGTTTGTTTTTGGCATCATTAATTCCACCCTGGAAACAGACAAAATCCAAACGTATCCAAAGGGAAGATAATGATTTTTCAACAATTTTTAAAGAATGCAACCCCCTCTAGGAGGTTGGATCAGTGAACGACACCTGGCAGCTTAGGATGGGTTCTTCTTCCAATGAGACTTCCTTATCCGGTCTGCAGACGATCACTATCACTTCAGCTTTCCCATGGGCCAATAGAGTACCGCTCTGTGGAGACACTGTGAACATGGACCCTATGTTGGCGAGTGATGGGTCAGGATGCCCGAAGGTAAACCTTAAAAACAACAGTAAAATGCAGAAAAGAGATCAATCTGGGAAATAAAGTGTTTTCTACCTAAAACTGAGAACGCAGAAATAAAAACACTCACTTGAAGGCTAAGTCGTATTTTCCTTTATTTGTGAGTGTTAGCTGCTGTTTGGCATCTGCAAGGCCTCTGATTATTCCAAAGGCCAAACTGGTGGCTGAAAAATAAAAGAGTGGAGGATTTCGATGAGAAACCTTATAGATCCCTTGAAATAAACTGATAAAAAGGATGAGTTTGCCGGTGTTCTGTCAGATGAGCATACCCGGTCAGATCAGCATACCCATAATCAATACCTGTTAATCCCTTTAGTTTACCCCTCTAGTTTATCCCTTTAGTTCTGTATGGAAAATAGACTTTAAACTACCTCAATGGGCGCGTATCCCTTTAATCATGTACAAAAAATAAATTTAATTACTTAATTTTTGGTGTTTTTTGAACTGTATGGCTTTCTGAGCTTAAATTGTTGTTTTTTTTTGTACATGACTAAAGGGATACACGCCTGTCAAGTTACTTTAAAATCTATTTTTTATACAAAACTGAAGGGATATATGCAAATCAGTGTATTCTCATTATGAGTTCGTATGAAATCGTACGAAAAGTTATGCACCGTAATTTCGTACGTTTTTGACGTTTTTTTCGTCATATGCGCATGCGGATCTTACGCACCATTCAAGAACATAGAATTTAAAAAACAATTAGCCCTAACCCTGACCCTAACCCTAAGGTATAAAACAGCAAGCAACGTAGTTAGAGACATGAAGAAGTGATTATTGCACTGTTTTTCCCAGTTTTACGTCCGTCCACGGATCTGCTTTTTTGTTTGTCTGCCTGCGTATGCGCACTGATCTGTTTTTTGGGGAAAAACGTCCAAAACGTACGAAATAGTGTGCATAACTTTTCGTACGATTTCATACGAATTGATAATGAGAATATGTTGTGCAAATCTGATGTCTTGCCCATATGTATTGACTATGGGAATGCTGGTCTGACTGTGTATGCTCATCTGACAGAAGACCGGCCTTCGTGTGTGTTGGACTGCTAATCGATGACAAAGCGGAGTGTGAATGACGTCATCCGTGCGAGCCAGCTACCATTCATTCATCCTGTCTGCTGAACTGCTGCTAGTTTTACTCACATGCCTGGAAGATGTTTACTGCTACTACCACAGATGATCTCTCTCTCGAAATGGCATTGAACGTTTCAGATTAGCTAGCCGAATGAATAGAACGGGTAGAGCGTAGCAGCCTGTCACAACTCCAGTCTAGCGCGCGGATGACGTCTTACAAACTCTGCTTTGTTTTAAAAATATATAAATATGAAAAATATAACAGCAGATGTCTGGGGGACAGTGATTCGCCTACATGTTATGAATGTTGGCGTACCATAAAGAATAAATTATGAACAATTTAGTTTGTGCCTCAACTTGTTTCCCAAAGGAAGACGTTACTTGGATTACAAAACTGAATATCTTCAGAACAGCTCCAAATGACACAAAACTAATATGGTGGAGTAGAACATGATATAATAACGTAAAATCAAGGGGCCAATGTAAACACTTTAAATATTGTTTCACTCTGTAACAAAGACTGAATTTGATGTTTGCCTGGAATTTGAAATAACAGCCTCAAATCTAAAAATACTTCACAGGTGTAAAAGTTTGTACCTGGATCGATCTTCAGATCTACATCATAGGCTTCAGCATAAACTGCTATGTTTTCAGTCTGCAGGATTCCTAGGATTTTCTCTACATCGTATACCTGAAATAGAACACAAAAAAGAAAGCTGAGTAGCTTGACATCTGCCTGAAAGTCCAATCGAACATTCGAATGATGGAGCAGATTGAACAAAACTTCAATCATTTTAGAAAAAACAGGAATCAGATGCACAAGTTTATATTGGATATCCTTTAATCTATACAGAATCCAACACACCAAAGCTTATATGCCAGAGAAAGTATTTAAACATTTTAAGTGGCACAGAAATCTATAGAAAGTCTTAACTTTTAAAGGTTAATAAACCCCTGGATGGAGATAGTTAGAATTACTGACAAGAATGATTCCTTTGGACAGACTGAGGTTTACTCCTGTTCCCTTCAGTAACAGCTTTAACTGGGGGTTTCTACTCTCCAGAGCTTTCCAGACTCCCAACTGTCTCAAAAACATCTTAAAATCTATCCGGAAAAGTAAAAAAACAATCCACTGGAGTTTGATTCCAAATTTGAAGATGTTTCTCTTCCCATTCAGGAAAGCTTTGTTAATTCAAAATGTAAGGAATTAAGTTGAGCTTGAGGCTTTATACAGTAGTCCAACAAAGCATTGTTTTAGCTTAGAAAACGTGCAAATTGAAATGGATGAACAGGTCCAAGCCTTTGGAATGGAGGTCGTTTGGCTTCTTCTGTTAGCCTGCAGTGCCCCATACCTGTCTATGTCTCTGAAAGGAGACATACTGTAGGTCCCAACCCCATCACAACCAAAACCTCTGTACAGGGGAACAGAAGACCTCGCCTCTTCAGCCAGGCCAACAATTTCCTTTAACAACCTCCTTTCAGGGACATAGACAGGTGTTAGATTCAAAATATTGTGAGTTCATTTTTCATATTTCATATAGGACAAAAATGAATCTGAAGCACAACAGGATTTTGCTTTTCCCGCAGGAATCTGACCCCCAACAGAACAGCAGAGTCTTTTATTCACAGAGCAGAAACAGATGGGTGGGTTTTATGACCCTAGAATGACCAACTGGCTGAGAGGCAGGTCATAAAAGTTTATGACCCTGTAAATGCCTTCTGGCTGAAGGCAAGTCTAGAATGACCCTCCTAATTGAATCACAGGACAGAATGTAGCATCTTATTTCTTCAATGTTTCATATGCACACATATTAATTTTATAATTGTCATTCAATAACTCTAACAACAGGTATGAGGCATTGCAGGCTAACAAAAGAAGCCAAACGACCTCCATTTGGAAAGGGTGGATCTGTTCTTCCATTTCAGTTTGCATGTTTTCAAAGCAAAAACAAGGATTTGATGGGCTGCTGTATAGCCTGGAACTCAGAGCGTATGCTTCGATTTTGAATTCAAGAAGTTTCCTGGATGAGAAGAGAAACATCTTCAAACTTGGAAACCAAGTCCAGTGGATTGCTTTTTGACTTTTTTGGAATGACTATGACCTGGATGACTGAAACTCTTTACCAGCGTCTTCTAATCTCAAACAGTCCAAATATGTAAAAAGTTATTTTACATATTGTGATTGCTCTTTATACTTTTGCTTATGAACAATGTGAGCGCCTGGAAACCAAAGGCTAGTAAAGAAATATTTTTTTATTATTTCAAATCTTTTTTTTTTTTACTTTATAAACCTGTTTAGAAAAAAAAAAGATCAATGATCCATATAAGCTTAAGCACTCAGCTGTCTTTTTTAATTTATTGTAGTCATGTTTAATTTTAAACATTTAACATAAAGAATTATCAAAAAGAACAGTAATTATAACACAATCTTGAATTGTGTATGAAAAATTATTATCAGGGCTGGTACATACGTTTAAATTTTGCTGTCGTTTAGATAAATAAGTTTAACTTTACCTCGAGGCGTAATTGTTTCTTAACAAGGACTGGTTTCTTGGCACTAAATTGCGCATGTAGAAGAAAGGAGGAGTTTGGCTGAATGACGCCTTGTTCTTGATGTATCATAAACTCATCTCCCAAAGCGTCTACACCCTGCAGTGTCCAAGACAGTGGTAACATTGTCTTATTATGCATCGTGATGCGTCGTCTGTCAATCCTGTATAAAAAAAAGTAGTGAAAAACTTGTGAAAAAGTGTTGTAAATACCATTACTAAGACATTCTTTGACAAATAATTTAAATTAAAGTAAATGTATTATTCTACTATGAACTTCTACTATGTAGTTACAGTAGAATAAAAGTGCTAACCCTAAAACAGAAAAAAGTCCATGAAGTCTTCATGACAAATATTCATGACAGCATAGCAGACATAATTCTCAGAATTTATATAAAGCAAACATATAAAGCAAATCCTAAAACTAGACGAATTTAGTCAGTTAAAGGCACACTATGCAACATTTTTCAGTTAATTAATGTGTTCCATAACGTTATGGATGATTAAATGAGTCATTTCAGGTTGAACAAAGGTATTCTCGGCCGCCCTGGTGGTCTGTGGGGGAAATACTGCACTTGCAACTGCAGGAGCACCGACCCGCACCCACAGGCTCAGAAGTCTCGTGAGAGTCAGTCTTGCTTTACGGCGAGAACTGCTACACCCCCCAGTTAAAAGCATGCTCGTTGCTAGCACAGTGGCAATCTTTGTGCAGTAATGCTATGTTCACGCAGCAAAAGCACGTCTGCTGCTTCATTTTTGCTGCTTGTACCAGTTGCTGCTCTGGCTGCGCGGTGCAAAAGTGTGTCTGAGGCGCATTGGGCGGAGCTTCACTAACCTTTCTCTGCCTTGCAGCTATATTTGCTGTGATCAGTGGGAATAAAGTAGTTTTAATATGTTTTTAAGTGAGAAAATACACCTGAAAACGTAATCAGTGTAGTCAGTTCATTCAGATTATTATCCTGCCTTCAATATTTTTTCTGTCGGAGCCGCTCAGACCCCCACATACCAGGGATGCGCCGACAGTATGGATCCCTTCATCAGCAGCGGTTCACCGCGGCAGCTGGTAGGTGTTTTTCATCTAAATAATCCAAACTGCATATTCTGCCGGCAGATTTCTGCATTTTAAGTTAATTTAGGCGTCAATAAACTGTTTAAGAGGAGTGATCATCAGCGCTGTGTCTCTCTCCCTGCGTTAAACGCGCCCGATGCACTGCTTCAGCTGCTCAGACGTGCTGCGCCTGGTGCTCAAAACGCGCCGCTGGACCTTTTGCTGCGCCTTGACGCGCGTCAACCATTGACTTTGCATGTAAACTCGCTGCTTCTGTCGCGCCAGCTACGTCCAGTGTGAACGCAGCATTAGTCATTCGCTGCTAAGCTCAAAACAACCGCGCCTGGCTTGATGGAGAAACCAGGAGAACAGCTGAGCATATTTGCGACAGTGCCCTTTTACTTTCGCCCTCTGGGGGGAGCCTCGCTGGAAAATCAACACCGGTTGCATAGTGTACCTTTAAAGATCAAATTGTAACATAAAACGGTATGTGGAAAATGGGAATATGTGATTAAAAAATTCTATATGAAAAAAACTAAAACATTTTCAATTACTTTAACTATAATGAGTAAAACTTTCATATATAGATTAAAATAACAATGACTAAAACTAAAGAGCATTTTCACCTCAAAAACAGACTATGACTAAAATCTGGCCAAAACGGGGAAAAAAGGCAACATTTTCACAATGAATAACAGAATGTTTTTGCACATTTCAAAGTTGTTGAAACTTATGTCCAAGGAAAATAAAATAAAAAATATTTTAATACTATGTCTGCGATGGAGATAGGCACCAGCACCCCTCATGACCCCACTTGGGATAATCGTAACGGGAAATAGATGGATGGATTATTAATTGTCACCTATATTCACCTGCGCAGCAGAATTCTGCCAAAGTTTAAATTGTTGGTCTCCAGCTCCAGTTGTGGACAGATGCCCCAGCAGGAAAAGTTTATAAGGACAGGCTCAGGATTGTCCTTTATGTTGCAAACTAAGCTGTCTTTTATCTGTCCCGGAGTGGTTGGGAATGCCCAGACTGTCATCACCTGATTAAGACAAAACACATTAACGTGCACATTTTGGCACTTTATCTCGTAGAACTAATCATGTTCTTGCAGTAGTACTTCTTGTTGTCCAGGTTTGAGCTTCATTGTAGGAGGATCAAACAGATAAGTTGTGGCCTGAGTGTCATGCTGGAAACTGAACTGGACCTCTGCCTCCAATGCACAGTTGTTATGAATTACCAGCCTCTGAGAGTTCTCTGAAAATTGAATTTTCTTGTATCTAAAGATAAAATATGAAAATATGGCATTAAAATGAAAACCTCTGATATAATAATGCAGATAATATTTTTTTCTCTTACTTTTCTCGTGTCTTGCTGTAAAGCAAAGGTCCAAACTCAAAATAACCAGGTTTGATTACGTAGGTCTTCTGAAGGTCTTCTTTCTCTTGTGCTGCCTTCTTGCTGTGAGTAAAAAGTGTCCTGTAAAAATATTAAAGATGTAGCATTTATATTTAAATGTGGTCTGTAGATTGCTGTATAAACAGCAATGTTAAGTGGGAAGGATCAAGGGGTGACACTGACTCAATTTATAAACCTGCTTGCTTTTTTCTACACATTTTTAGGACACCCACATTTAAAATGAAACTCTCTATTAAACCTATAGTTTACCATCCAGGATGGGAGAAGAAAACAGTGAAGGACCAAAGAAAATGTGCTGAATAGCTTTACAAACATTTTAAGACCTTTCGTTTGCAGGTAATTTAGAAAAACAACAGTTAATTCATTCATATTTCTTTCTTTCTTTCTTTCTTGCAAAAATTAGAACTATCCTGTCCAGGGGTGATGCTGAGAAACTCCATGCATTTGTGGATGGATTATTGTAATTCTTTACTATCAGGATGTCCACAAACACAAAATTCTTCAGCTGATCCAAAATGCTGCAGCCAGAGTTCTGATGAAAATTAAAAAGAGAGATCATATCTCTCCTATTCTAGCTTCTCGTCATTTGCTTCCTATTAAACCAAGAATAGAATTTAAAATCCTCCTTCTCACATATAAAGCCTTAAATGGCCAAGCTCCATCTTATATCAGAGATCTGATTGTTCCTTACGTTCCTAACAGAGCACTTCGCTCTCAATCTGCAGGTTTACTAGTGGTTCCTGGAATGTCTAAAAGTAGAATGGGAGGCAGATCTTTTAGTTATCAGGCTCCTCTCCTGTGGAACCAACTACCAGTTTTAGTCCGTGAGGCAGACACCCTGTCTACTTTTAAGGCTAGGCTTAAAACTTTCCTTTTTGATAAAGCTTATAGTTAGAGTGGCTCAGGTTATCCTGATCTATCTCTATGGTTACGCTGCTATATGCTTAGACTGCTGGAGGACATAGTGACACCTTTTTCATCATTCTATCTCTATTCTCCCACTCTGCAGAATCTGTTAGTTCAATCTCTAACTTTATGCTCTCTCTGCTTTTTCTCATAGTAGCTTCATCTGGTCTGTTCCTGTTTGGCTGTGACTCCATCCTGGAGAGAAATATCAGCCGTGCTGCTGCCATTAACACCTTTGTTTATGGATGTTCAAGATCTGCCTGTTTTTCAGTGTAGTCCTGTTTCTCTGACTGTAAGTGGCTGGATATGCTCTCTCCATCCTCTGACATGGGTGTTGGCTCGGAGCTCGTCTGCCTGGCTGGTGGTTCCTGGATGGGACCACCTTTTACAGTTGCCATTTGTAAGTCTGCTTCTGTCTCCTTGAACACAAGTCGGCTTCGGCAGATGGCCGCTCACACTGAGCCTGTTGCTTACTGTTAAAAGGTCGTTTTTCCTCTTTATTGTCACTATAAGCAAGCTTACTGTGAGGGATTGCATTCGAGTCAATGAGTTAATGCAATCAACTGGTTTTCCTTAGATAGAAAGCTTTCAATCAATTTGACTGCATGATCTTGTGAAATTTAAAGTGCCTTGAGATGATGTGTGTTGTAAATTGGCGCTATACAAATAAACTGAATAGCTCTATGTAGAAGATGGCCACATTGAGCGTGACTGGCCGTCGGTAGAGCTCATGGGCTTGCTGCTGTTTTCAATCTGTAACGTAATGGTCTCTCTGCTTTTTCTCATTGTAGCCTCATCTGGACTGTTCTTGTTTGGTTGTGGCACCATTTTGGAGATCCTTATACATGTTGGAGACTGGCCTGTTGTTGAGTGTATATTTCAGTGTATATACATGCAAAAATATACTGAGGAACCAAACGTGAACATTTATAGGGGAAGGATATGCAAATGCATTTCTTTACCATCTGCAAAGGTGTTTGTGACTCGTGAACAAGACCCCGAGACACCTGAACTCCTCCACTTGAGACAAGGACTCGTAGGGGTCGGGTGCAGAGAGGACTGGGAGGCAGTCGAGGCTTGGTGCCTCGACGGCCTGGTTCACACATGCAGATTCTGTCTGCAGGGAGGTGGATCATCTCAATAAGTGGTCTTTTTCTGCACATGCGCACTTTCAGGCGTATATCTGTGGTGAGCTACGGTTTCGGGCAGTCATTGAAGCGCACCTTTCTCAACACGGTTCTTTGAAAATGGCCGGTGACGTAAGAGAAAAAGCACTTACGAAGTATATGAAAAGAAAAGAAAGGCCTCAGAAGAGGCAGATATATATATATCGAAGAATGCTTTGCGGAGAGCTCTCCTCGCAAAGCAATATGGGAGTTGCTGTCACAGCAGTCCACTGTTGCCATAGGCTGTTGCTACCCGACAGGCACCATGCGTTGGAGGAGGATTTACGTGATCAACAAGGCAAACACTAGTGATCATCTGTCCGAACGGTCAGTTAACTGAGTTCACTATAAAGCCCACTAAACAGTCCCCGCTGTATGTGCACACACTAAGCATGTATAAGCTATGAGAACAGCACATTTAAAACATCATGAGGAGAAATGCATGCTCTTGCACATGCATCTTTTTTTAAAGTGGAGAGGGCAGGTCTTTTAAAAGATCTTCCTCAATACTTTTAAGGCCAGAAAGGAGCTATTGGAACAATGACAGATGATAATAAGATAATTAATCCTATGTGAATATATTTGAACTGAAATGAAATAGTTGAATAACATTAGACTTCTGCACAATCTAAACCAAGTCTGAAAACACCATGAAACATGTCTGGCATAACCTGGCAACAAGCAAACTGAATATCAACAGACACTAGAGAACAAACACAATGCTTTGAACTGAAATATGCAAACTATTTGACCATGTAAATTTCAAGACAATTATTTAGTGAGAATGGGCTGTAACCTGCCCGTTTTTCCTGAGGTACAAGAGGGTATGTCGTGACAGTGAGGATATTTCCTTTAGAATCAAAGCAGACCCAATGCTGAAGAACTTATGTTACCTCTGGTAGTGGGGCTCATTTAGTTAAACTCTCATAATTTTCTGTGAGGATTTTGAAATTGTGCTTGGCAGAGTGCCTGATTGCAACATTGGTTGGAACTTTTTGGTAAAGCAAGAACAGTTTTTTAGAAAGACTGTGTGACACAGAGCCAAAATATGTATGCAGTAAATACCCCTTCTCTGTGCATGAACATCAAACTTGCTAATCGTGGCTGAGATATTGGAAAAGGAGCTTCTAAAGGTGACAATGGGGACGATACCTGATAATGAGAAACAGAGGGACTATTTGAAAGACAAGCCCACATGAATTTATGAACAATAACTGACCTGTAATCTTTGCAGATGGAGGGGTAGGTGCAAACTCCTCTGCAGGTGAGTTGGTAGAGTTTGCAGCTTCCAGCTAATTCAAAATTGAAGACCTGCTCAAAGATTCCTGGTGACTCTGAGTAGAACCCCAGTTTCAGAACAACCTCACTGTAGGCAGGTACAACCCAGCGGAACACAGTCAAACTAAATATGAACACCAAAAACACAAACAATTAGAGATCTGAAGATCTGCTGTCTGATTCACCTGGGAAGTTTCTGTGGATAATAAAACTAGAGAAAGAAGAAGTTCATAAAAGTGTGTCAGACCTCTCTGGAATCTTTGATTTGATCTTGTGAGGACTTATGCTCATGCTACGTTCTTTCCCTTTTTTCTCTTTGGTCTTGTAATCGGAGTCTCTTTTGTGACGTTTAGAGCCTGCTGCCTTTTCCTAAGCACACAAAGAAAAATATTTACTAAAATTGTCAACAACATTACTAACATTTTACTTCTAGTTACTTTCCTATGTCTTTTCTTCTTGAACAGGTGTTTCTATACATGTATAGTAGCAGCCATTCAAAATGGCCCTTCCCAGTCAAAAGCCAGCCGAATGTCAGCCCCTCCAACTTCCAGCTAATGGCCTTCTCATGGGCTTGCATATTTTTTACTCTGACTTCACCCTTTCAATGAATTACAGGATCTGACCAGTAGATAGTCCTTCTCTTTAGATCTTAGAGTCAAAATGCTTGGAACCTTCCGCCACAACACCCCGCCCCCTTGATAAACGACCAATCGCATTCACTTGTGTAAAGTCGTGCACCACTCAGGAGAATTCGGAAATGCAATGCTTGAAACAGCCGTTTCTCTGCGACTTTAATTTCTACGAATCATGACAGAAAGAATATTTTAGATGTTTAAAAAGGAGTTATGGGGGACTAGCCAAGGAACGATCAAGGAAATTGGGGAAATTTTGAATGGCTACTAGTGTAATAAAAATGGATATGACCTTTGGAGTTGTTCTATGTTTGATTTCCTCTGGATCATTCTTCTCCTCCTCCTCCTCATTCTGCCATGATGGATTCAGAAAGGTGAAACATGTCTGATGAACTTTAGGCTGTTCCCTGTGCTTAGGAAAAGCAACAACAGAGAGTGTGACAGGAGGAATACGCCGAAGGCTACTAGGTGTTGAACTCAAGTCATCCAGAATCTATGGAAGATATAAGGAAAACATTAATATGATTAATGAACGAAATAGTTATCTACACGTGAAGTTTTAATCCAATGGAAAATATTGCGCTGGACCTACCGTATTCAAAGAAGGCAGGGGGCTGTAAAAGCGCATTTCTTGGAAACTATGGCAGCCATTTGCCGTTACATTCACCATAATGTGAGGGATTATATTGTGCACTCTTCGGACAGTTTTAACAGTTTTCTTTCTTATTTTCCTTTTAACGGCAGTCTGTGAAAACGGAGAGGTGACCGAGTGATGACCTTTAAATAAGGATTCTGAAAATATACCTTAAAGAACTAAACTCAGCATTAAAGTGGAAGGGTAGGACAAAAACAAACAGAGGATTAAAAAGATCAAACTCTGTAAGACAAAATGATCATGTTCACTTTTTTCTTTCTTAAAGGTTCCTCTGAACTTGGACAGGTATCTTCTGCTAGAACAGAATCCATTAGGGAGCCCTGGACTCGGTCCCACACCTGCAGGATCTGATCCACCTTGGCCTGAATCTGCTTGTATTTTTCAAACTCACACTGCAGATTATCCACGATACTCTGAAATTAGAGACAATTAGGAACACTTTAACACAGGTTAAACTTAGCTATTAAGGACAGGTATCATGCTACTTTTCAACGTGTCTCCTGTCTTATGTATATGACTTAAGCCCCATGTACACTACCCTTTTGAAACCCTGCCAGGACGGTAACCAAGATAAGAGTTGACTGTAAAAGGCACGCAAAACTGAACCAGACCATGCCAGACACAACTGAACAGCGCTAACATGGTACTTGTTCATCAGTAGGGCTTGCCGCGGTTCAGCTCTGACTCGGTTCTCAGAAAACAAATAGCGCATGAGCAGAACGTGTCATCTCCTTACAGTAAGCCTTCATAATCATTCAAATTTCATGATTTCATGCTATAAGAGTGTTTAAACCCTTACCATGCCACAACATTTCCAGTGATGTTTCTGCTTTGCAGTGTGATGAACCTCAACATCTGTCATTATTCCTGCATCTGTAAGCCCTGATTAGACTATTGTTTGTCCTATCCACTTCCCAAAATCCAACTCTGTCAAGTAAATTCACCAAAGGCTGCCTTCTTTCCCTGACTCTCCGCAAACAATGAAATATCACAATTATAACCAAACTTTCTGAATGTTACGGGCACCGCCATGTTGATTTCCTTGTTTACCTCTAGAGAGTAGTACTGTAGATCGTCACTAGGAGGCGAGGAACCATGCTAGCATGGTGTGTAAACGGTCGTAAGGAACCAAGCTCGGCACGGTAAACTCATCCAACGACGACGCAGGTCAGTTTTCAGAGGGTAGTGTAAATGGGGCTTTTAGATGGCTGGCTGGATTGGCTTATCGTGCATGCAATCAAATGCATTTTCTGTTAATGACTTCGTTATTGATTCAGTTAGACTTAACCAAACATAAAAAAACTGCAGGACCCTGGCCCTCACTGGTGATTTAAAGAAATTAAAAACAGGGAAGAAGTTTTCACCTTAACACATCTTTCCATTGTTGGTTCATGTTGACAGAAAAGACAGGTGTTTAAATGTCTTTAAAAACACTTACAGTAGTAAAAGTCCAGTTGGGTCTGATTTTAGTTTATTTATTCCCTCACCTGCTCTATTTCTCGTGAAGTTTTCGTCTGCAGAACTTCCAGAGTTTTCGGCTTTTCATCTTTTCTCCTCTTTTTCCTCGTATCTCTCTCTTTCAGCTTCTCCTCTTCCTGCCTTCTTTCTATATCTTCTTTTGCCTTCTGGTCAATTTCCCTATGCAATCACGGAAGGAAAAACATCATCACTTTCTTAATGTTCAGTTCGTTCAAAACACAGCAGCTCTAGAACAATTTCCATACAATACATCCCACCTAGTTTCCCATTACTAATCAAATATCACAACAATTCCAACATCCTTCTTGCTGGTGAAGATACTCAGTCATCCAGGTCATAGTTGTTCCAAAAAAAACAAACCACTGGACTTGGTTTTCAAGAGGCGAGGTGCTCTGTTCCCCTGTAATGGGGTGGGGGTTGCAATGATAGCGGGAATTCAACGATTGAGTTGATTCCTTCCCTCTACCATAGCAACCCCAACCATTACAGGGGAACAGAGCACCTCTACTCTTCAGCCAGGCCAACTATTCCCTTTAATCACCCCCCACCCCCCCCCCACCCCCCTTTCAGAGACATAGACAGGTATGAGGAATTACAGGCTAACAAAGACACCAAACGACCCCCATTCCAAATGGGTGGACCCACTTATCAGGTTCAGGTGTCATTTTTCGAAGCCAAAACAAGGCTTTGTTTTTGTCCACTCTATAAAGCCTCAAACTCAACACTATTTCTGGCATTTTCAATTGAAAAAGTTTCTTGGATGGGAAGCGAAATGTCTTTAAACTTGGAAACAAAGTGCAGTGGATTGTTTTTTAACTTTTTTGGAAAGATCCTCCTTCTCACTTTAAAATCTCTGAATAACTTGGCCTTTCCGTACATCATTCTGAGCCCTTTGCTCTGTGATAACCTTCCTTTTTTTTTTTTTTTTTTTTTTTTTTTTTTTTGAACAAAGACTTTATTTTATCAGATCAGTATTCAAAATCAATGATTCATACAATAAGCCAGAAACAACAATTTCAATACAACCATACAAAAAATTGGGTAACAACAACCAAACAGGTCGGCGAGCTGAAGAGCCATGTTTTCTTTTTCCCTTTTCTTCTTTATCATTATATATATATATATATATATATATATATTATTATTATTATTATTATTTTTTATTTTTTTATTATTAACTTGGAGGATCAGACAAAGGAAAGATCTTTCTCGAGTAATTTTTATTTTTATCATAACAGAAATGTGTGTTTACGCTTATCCTACTACCACATTAACTGGAAATATGTCTTCAAAGGGTTCCATCTTTTCTCAAATAGACCAGTGGACAAGTTTAATTTTGCTGTTATTTTCTCCATCGTATAAACATTCACTAGTTTCTCTTTCCATTGATTTACAGTAGCGGGTGAAGGTTTATACCAGCATATTGTTATCATTTTTTTGGCTACGAGAACAAGGATACCAAATAAGTGTTGTTCTTCTTTACTTAAATTATTTGGTGGAATTCCCAGAACAAAGATCCGGGGATTCCAATCAATATCAGCATACAAGATATTTGAAATTTCCTCTCTAATTCCTTCCCAGAATTTCTTAATCTTTGGGCAATCCCAAAAGACATGAGTCTGATCTGCAACTAGTCCGCACTGTCTCCAGCACAAGTTTGATTTAGTTTGATCAAATTTAGAAATAATGTACGGAGTTTTGAAATATCTGACAATTATTTTCCAATAAAATTCTTTCCATGTTGGACTATTAGTCAGTTTATGTCCAGTTATACACACTTGCTCCCACTCCTCATCTTCAATCACCTCATTCATTTCCAGTTCCCATCTTTCTTTTATCCCAGGAGCTGCCCTCGACAGACATGACTGTAAGCATTTGTATAGATTCGACACAGTATTCTTAGATTTTTTTTCTTTGGTGATCTTTATAAAGAATAATTCTAAATCAGTAGGTCCTGACTGAAGAAGGGGCCACTCGTTGTGGGACATCAAGTAGCTTCTCAGTTGTAAATTCCTATAAAAATCAGGCGTGTTCAAGCCGTACTTCTCCTTAATCTGGTTAAGACTTCAGAACCTCCCCTTCAAACAAGTCATCAATAAAAATTTAATTTTTGTTTTGCCAGGTTTGAAATCCTGGATCTTGTTGTCCTGGTTTAACGTCTATTATATCCAAAATTCTTGAGGCTCTGGAAATAGATTGGGGAGCTTTCATATTCTTTCTAATCATGTTTAAAGTCCTTTGAGTGCTTTCATCCATATATTTGTAATTTTGTACTTATTCCATATTTCAGTCGAGCAGAATACCAGGGCCTGTAGAGAAAATTTAGGGCTTGCGCTCTCTTCCAATGTCAGCCATGTTATTTCTTTATTTTGTGTTAGCCAGCCTACACTTGCATGTAATTGTGCTGCCCAGTAATATAATTTTAAGTTTGGTACATTAAGACCTCCATAAGGTTTACCAATAGTCAATTGAGTAAGTTTTATTCTGGCCTTTCTCTTTTGCCAAATAAATGTAGAAATCATTTTTTGCATTTTATTTAATTTTGTTGTTGGAATCCAAATAGGAAGGGCCATAAACAGATACAGCAATCTAGGGAGAATATTCATTCTGATTGTTTCAATCCTTCCAAAAAAGGAAAGTGGTAAAATGTCCCATCTATTTAAGTCTTTTTGAATTTGGACCAATAGCTTCCCAAAGTTTGCTGTGTACAATTTGGAAACATCCGTAGTAATATTGATTCCCAGATATCGAAATCCGTTAGGTGACCAGTTGAAATTCACTAATTTGGATAGTTCTGAGGGCCAGGAGCCACTCAGCATCATGGCCTCTGATTTTGATTCATTTACTTTGTATCCTGAGACCGCACCGAAGTCCTTCAGGCATTTTAAAATATTTGGTATAGAAGTTATTGGGTCTCTGATATAGAGAATAACATCATCAGCATACAGAGATATTTTGTGAGTCCTGATTTTATCCGGTATGCCTAGAATTGATTTATCTGTTCTTATTAATTCTGCTAAAGGTTCTATACTGATAGCAAACAGGATTGGTGAAAGGCAGCAGCCCTGACGAGTTCCTCTTTTCAAGGAAAAACTATCTGACATATAACCGTTAGTGCGCACTCTAGAGGTTGGACTGGAGTACAGCACCTCAAACCAACTGATAAAGTTTTCATTAAAGCCCATCTTCAATAGGACCTGCTTCAGAAATAACCAATCCACCCGATCGAATGCCTTCTCGGCATCTAGGCCAAGAAGCATGGATGTATGAGGGCTTTGTTGGCCAATTGAAATTATATTTAGAGTACGTCTGATATTATTTATTCCGAGTCTATTGGGTATAAAGCCTGTCTGATCAGGATTGATAAGTTTATTAATAATCTTTTGTAGTCTTTTGGACAAGATGGCACTTAAAATTTTAACGTCATTGCACAGCAGACTTATTGGTCTATAAGAGGCGCATTGTGTGGGGTCTTTGCCTTCTTTGTGTATAACCGAAATAATTGCTTCTGCCCATGTTTTAGGTGGGTCTTTGTGGCCCAGAGCATGATTAAATACTCTGCATAAGAGTGGGATAAGCTCAGTCTGAAAGCATTTATAGAATTCTCCTGGGAATCCGTCCGCCCCTGGTGATTTATTATTCTTAAGCTTTCCTATAACAAGTTTTATCTCTTCTTCGGTAGTTGTCCCCACTAATGATTTAGCTTCCTCCTCGTCAAGTTTATTCAGATTAATTCGTTGCAAAAATTGCCTAATTATATTTAATTTGTTAGGATTGGTCTCCGAATTATATAGTTGTCTATAATATTTTGAAAATGCATTTGCAATTTCTTTAGGATGCGATACTAGATTTATAACCTTCCTTTTTGTTACACTAAAATGAAAACTAGAGGATCAAGAGCCTTTTTGCTGTACAGCTAGCTGTATTTAAAACTCTCTACAACAATAGATCAGTGTTTTAGGGCATGGAGTGTTTCAGAGTGAGGAACACTGCGTGCAGTTCCATCATGTTGATGTGAAGCCGCACCATTTTCGGGGAACATACACCATTCACCGCTCTGCCCATCATAGTTGCACCCCAACCGGTCAGGGATGTATCGGTAGTCATGGTAATCCTGGATGCTACCGTCCCCAGCGGCACACCCGACGTGTGAACCGTCGGGTCTCTCCACGGCTGAAGAGCCGTCGCACATATCTGTGTTACTTTTACCCTGCTACACAGATGAAGGCGGGGACAGAGGCAACCCCGGGCTAAAAGTCTCTCATCATCAGAAGCCCCAGATGGACAACTGAAATCACGGATGCCATAAAACCAAGGAGCCACAGGCACAGTCTGAATGTAACAACTTTTCCCAACTGAAAACGCGTCATGCACTGAGTTAGTTTATTCTGAGACCCAAATACTCTGTGTATTGCACAGGAAGCAGGCAGCGGGCGACTTTTGGCTTGATTTATCCTGAACCCGAGGTTGATGAGGTGGTTTATCACTGCCAGGGAGTCGCTGACTTCCTGCTCTCTTGATCGAGAGCAGATGAGATAATCATCTATGTATGAAAATATTCTGATCCTGCATGTCCTCAGAGGGGACAGCGCTGCCTCCACACACTTGCTGAACATCCTCTGGGCTAATGACAGCCCGAAAGGGATGGTCTGAAACTCACTCTGATAAGCGAACCTGAGAGAATTTGGGCCGTAAATGGAGATGTGAAAATAGGCGCCCGCGAGGTCAATGGTTACAAACCAATCCCCCAGATGGATGGAACGGCACAGTGCTTTGTGTGTGAGCATCCTGAATGCATATCTGCGTAATTGTCTGTTTAACACACACAGGTCCAGTATGGGGCATAGTGATACGTTGTCTTTCTTTGGAATAGCGCGAGTAGAAGCCCTGACGAACCTCCTCTTCCGGTCCTACTCTGATTGCTTTTTTCTCTAACAGGGATGCTATTTGATCCTTCAGGACGTGAGCCAAATCCCCGGTAGCAAATGAAGAGAGCACTGTGTTGAATCTTAGAGGTCTCGTGGCAAACTGCAGTCTGTAACACTTGGAAATTGTATTAAAAAGCCATGGAGAGACTGCGCATGCGCGCTACTGATCTGCCCGAGCAGAGAGAGTAGATGCGTCACTGCTCAGTGACATCATCCCTTCTTCACTGCTGCGCTTTCTTTTCAAGAGAGCAAGCTCCCTCGGCTAGGCACAGAGGTGAGTGACAGAGAATAATTTTTGTTTGAATCCAAAAAGCTTCTTGGTTATTTAGAATGGCAACTGATTTCTTATGGCAGATATTAATATTAATTATAAAAATAATAGGCTGTTTTTTTACAAAAAAAATCATGTCATATTTTGCTACTCTATACGAGTTTAATTAGCTTGACCCAGGGCAAAATGGCTCTTTGGATATGAAAGGTTGCAGACCCCTGGCCTTGGATATTCAGTGAGTGTGGTGGGGGTGGCAAATACCCAACCTCACAAGTAAACTTCACATTCATCCAGTCACATTTATACAATCCCACCCTTACACCCATACAGACATATACAAGCACTCAATGGCAGAGGCAGACACTAAACACATTCTTACAGTCCTCAAACATACACTTTCCCTCTGGGTCTGGAGCAAACCCAGGAGGAAATCCCCAGATACCCCCATGTGAGATGGGGGGGGTCTGGGTTACATCTGGATTAATCGGTTCATCCAGTAGAAAAACACAGGAAACAAAAGAAGCTGCCTTAAGTTTAGGAAGACCTGGAGTTCTGCATAGAGCCCATTATAAAAAAAAAAAAAAAAAAAGCCTGCTCTACTTGTATTAGATAGTTACCTCTCTTTCTTTTTTTGAATTGCCTCCAAGTGTCGCTGGGTAACATTCTCCTTTTCTTCATCAGGCAAGGCATCAAAGTTCTCCTGATCCAATTCCCAAAGGTGCCTCTCCTCCTGTTCAGCTATCTCATTCTGTAAGGCTTCTGCAGGAAACGCACCCATAAACTAATCATACAACTTTTGGGGTTCAAAATGGTAGAATTCTCTTAGGACAAAAAATCAAGACACTAAAGACGATTATCTTAATTTGTCCACCGGAGGGGGGGGAAAAAGGTTGAATTCACATGCTGTCCAAAAAATTCACAAATACAGCACTCATCATCGTCACCAAAGTCTCAAAGCATTTCCCCCCAAACCTTCACCCCTCTTAAGCTTTATTTATACCTTCTTTGTGACATTGTGTGGAGGCTTGTGCACAAACTGGAGTGTGTGGCCTAACTGTGTGTGTGTCTCTCTTTTGGCCCTGACTTTTCCCTAATTACGTATGCGCATGATAGCCTGATACATATGTAGGAATCTGTGTGGATATCTGGGTTGCGTGCTCTGGCTCGTTTATCTAAAAAGGAAAAAGATGTTATTGTCTATATTCCCTGTTGTATAAATTGTTCTTTCACCTCTACTTTCCAATATTTCCATGCAAGGGTTTCCCGTTCAAACACCTTGTCCACTGTATTCTCTGTGTTGCTAAGTATTTATAAGGCCTTTTACTGAAACATGGTTACACAATGTGAAATGGCCTCAAATTATATTGATCCATCACAACTTTGCTATACAAATGTATGTATCTACACTATACAAATAACTTACCCTCAGTTTCTCTCTGCTGTCTTTCACGTTTCTTCAGGGCGACATAGCTGTCAAACAAGTTGACTACGTAGATGTGCTTGCGATTACTGAAGGCTTTGAGGACACCTTGAAGTGTGCTCGATGGACACGGAGTATAAATAGAATCCAGGCTGTTGATAACTATTCCATGGTCACAATCGCTGAACTTTTAATAGAGTAGTGAAAGGGAAATAAGGAATAGGAAAGTCAGGATAAAAGAGAACAAAGATGATCAAACCTGTTATGATGACAGGCAAATCCAGGTAGAATAAAAATGTATACCTAAAATTTCAGTGAGGAGACTTTGAGCAAACAATAAAATATCTGGATGGCACCCATTTATTCCATGCCAACCTGTTGGGTGCATGCATAGCATCGTATGAAAATCTAAATCCATCCCTACACTCTAATGCTGAAGAATCAAAGTGCTGTTTTATTGATCGCCTGAACAACATCAACATCTTCTCTAAAGGCAGGCATTATATCAGTTAACACAATGAAAACAAAGTAGAAATACATTACCCTGGAACGAGTTCTAAGGGTCCTGTCACACCTTGACGATTTATCCAGCATATGCCTGACATCACAGAATCCCCTAAAACGCTGGCATATGCTGAACTTTCTATGTATTTTTTCATTTTTGGGCATATACAAAGTAATTCATAACAAATCCGTAAACAGCCTAACTTATGCATAACGCAGTGTAATGCCCATGAAATGATGCACAAGCCAGTGTCCTGAAGGGGGTAGCAATGCCCCCAAGGCGCCCGGCCTGCATAAAAAGATTTATTTGATTGCGGTATTAACCTAGCTGCTGTTTACCGCCAGCCAAAAAAAAGAATGAATAAAAAGCAAAAAAGAAATAAAGAAGGTTTTCACTCACAGCAGATTCAGCGTCATGTCTGCTAGAAAGTTTGTTGGTTTCCTCCTGTGAACCCCCTTTTATACCAAAACGCTGCCAATACGCTATTATACAGTACAGTAGCTGAAAGTTAGAAACATGTTTAGCGGTCATCTGAAACACGTCAGATACATTGATATGCGCTGGAGATAAGTTCTTGATAAGTAACGCATAAGTTATGCACAAGTTACTTACAGGTTCAGGATAAGCTAGATGCCATGACTTTTGAGTAAATCGCATTTAACGTATATCAATGATCAGATAACTTAACTGTAACTTATGGCCCACATATGGCATACGCTGGCATACATCGAGAAATTTTGAGCATGCTGAAACCTTCTTGACATATGTTGACATGTTCCAGCGCGTTTAAGCGTACTTCAGCGTGCTCATAACTTATACAGAACGTACCCATAACTTATCCAACCTATGCCAGCATTTTTGCCAAATTTTTCGTACGTCAGGCATATGCTGGATAAATCGTCAAGCTGTGAAAGGGGTTTCAAGCGGTAAATAAGCACACCAAAGCGGCATATGCGCATATATTTGAAACTGAAATTTAAACCAGACACTGAAATGCATTCCATAGCAACAGATTCAGCAACGGGGCTCTAAGCAAAGATGATTCATTGTTATTGTTATTATGACCTGGTAAGTAAATAAAAGAGGACAAAAGTTACGAACTTATTCATAATATATGATCACCTAAAAATCAGCTTCTTGAGTAATTTGAAATCAAATATGTGATTTGTTAGCATGTTACAACTACCAACATCGGCTGGGGGGGTTTAAAGGAAAAGTCCGTTCACCAAGAAATAATCAATGGATCATTATCTATACCTAAAACTAATACGTTTTTTAGTAATTAAATGAATATAGCGATAATCAGTAAAAAAAAACAGAAAAAAATAATTTCTGTCTGATCATTGAGTCTGGGAGCGGACATTTTTTCCCGAATATAGTAACACCTCACTCCTGCCATCTTCCGGCAGTGACGTCACGGTGCGGTAAGCCTAGCGCCATTCTCCCCGCTTTACAAGCAAAATCAATGGGAGTTATTAGACACATCTGCAATCAAGAACAAATATTTAAGATTTATTTCACCTTTCTGATTCATGATCGTCCACGGACGGGTTCGTCGTTGGATTGCCAACTTGAAGAAGGAGGATTTGCAATCGAACTTTTGGCCAGAGGAAAAGTATGTAGCCAACATTTGGAAGAAGAATGTTTTCAAGATGACTTGGATAATAGCGCGTTGTGACAAACACTAGATACAGCACTGGGACTTGATCAACAGCCAATACCGCACTGTGACGTCACAAACCAGTAGAGGGCAGTAGTATTCTTAGACAAACATCGATGCCTCGAGTAAAGCACATTAAAATGAAAATTACTCTTAATAAAAAAAAATATCATTTATTGAGCAGCATGTGATAATTTCATTTTTAAAGTACTTTCAGAAGTTTTAATTGTGAATATGACCGGACTTTTTCTTTAATAACTGTAAGCATTTGGTATTAACTTGTAGAAATGCACTAAGCAGAAGACGCATCTTGGCCTGAAGTGAACTATGAAACGGATGTTGTTTTTCTGTTTCTTCCAAGCCCATTGTTTAACTATGCATGTAATAGGGGCATTTAGCGAGTATTTTAAACATCTGGTGTGAATAATTGCACTGTTTAAAATTGAAAGCTCTGACACGCTTAGCGCGGGCGCATGGCGCTTTGTGGCGTTGTGCACTTTTACTCGCCGGGTGTATTTACTGCTTCCCAAACTGCCTGAGGTCCATCACTCTACAAAGAAGAAAATTATATATATATATATATATATATATATATATATATATATATATATATATATATATATATATATATATATATATATATATATATATATATATATATATATATATACACTATATTGCCAAAAGTATTTGCTCACCTGCCTTGACTCACATATGAGCTTAAGTGACATCCCGTTCCTAATCCATAGGGTTCAATATGACGTCGGTCCACCCTTTGCAGCTAGAACAGCTTCAACTCTTCTGGGAAGGCTGTCCACAAGGTTTAGGAGTGTGTTTATGGGAATTTTTGACCATTCTTCCAGAAGCGCATTTGTGAGGTCGCACACTGATGTTGGACGAGAAGGCCTGGCTCTCAGTCTCCGCTCTAATTCATCCCAAAGGTGTTCTATCGGGTTGAGGTCAGGACTCTGTGCAGGCCAGTCAAGTTCATCCACACCAGACTCTGTCATCCATGTCTTTATGGACCTTGCTTTGTGCACTGGTGCACAGTCATGTTGGAAGAGGAAGGGGCCAGCTCCAAACTGTTCCCACAAAGTTGGGAGCATGGAATTGTCCAAAATGTCTTGGTATGCTGAAGCATTCAGAGTTCCTTTCACTGGAACTAAGGGGCCAAGCCCAGCTCCTGAAAAACAACCCCACACCATAATCCCCCCTCCACCAAACTTTACACTTGGCACAATGCAGTCAGACAAGTACCGTTCTCCTGGCAACCGCCAAACCCAGACCCGTCCATCAGATTGCCAGATGGAGAAGCGCGATTCGTCACTCCAGAGAACGCGTCTCCACTGCTCTAGAGTCCAGTGGCGGCGTGCTTTACACCACCGCATCCGACGCTTTGCATTGCACTTGGTGATGTATGGCTTGGATGCAGCTGCTCGACCATGGAAACCCATTCCATGAAGCTCTCTGCGCACTGTTCTTGAGCTAATCTGAAGGCCACATGAAGTTTGGAGGTCTGTAGTGATTGACTCTGCAGAAAGTTGGCGACCTCTTCGCACTATGCGCTTCAGCATCCGCTGACCCCGCTCCGTCAGTTTACGTGGCCTACCACTTCGTGGCTGAGTTGCTGTCGTTCCCAAACACTTCCATTTTCTTATAATACAGCTGACAGTTGACTGTGGAATATTTAGGAGCGAGGAAATTTCACGACTGGATTTGTTGCACAGGTGGCATCCTATCACAGTTCCACGCTGGAATTCACTGAGCTCCTGAGAGCGACCCATTCTTTCACAAATGTTTGTAAAAACAGTCTGCATGCCTAGGTGCTTGAATTTATACACCTGTGGCCATGGAAGTGATTGGAACACCTGATTCCAATAATTTGGATGGGTGAGCAAATACTTTTGGCAATATAGTGTATATATTTATATATATATATATATATATATATATATATATATATATATATATATATATATATATATATATATATATAATTTTATTATTTATTAAGGCTATGATGTCGATGTCATCAAAAGCACACCAATATAAGATTAATAAAGTGGATTTAGTTTTCAGACAATGCATCTGTATTCTCTAATCAGTGACCGCCATTTTAATCATATTCTAATTCACAGTGATTTTTTTTTAAGGTCCTATTCATAAGGTCACTGGGCATGTTGCTCATTATATTTTACCGTACCTGAAATCTTTCTGTAAGGATTTCAACAAACAGCTGTTCAGGTAGCAAAAAACTGACTGTCGACATTTTTCTTTCCTGCAACAAAATCCGAACAAATAAGTATCAACACTTACAGTATCTGTTCTATCATGAAAAAGTGTTAAAAGAAGAAGAGAAATTAGCTCAATTTACCACAGAACAATCTTTGGTTGTACTTTCTGACTTTAGGGGAGCTGTGCAGAGATTTTGACTGCATTCCTTCTCATTCTGCTCTGCAGCAAGATCTTCAAGGTTAGCCAAAAATGAATCTGAATCAGGATCTGAGCTTTCAGGATACGGTGCAGGTTCGACTCCATCTTTTTCCTTCATGGCTTTGGCTAGAAGACAAGGTCCACAGATTTATTTTTTCCTTTGGTGCCCATCATAAACGACTTTATGGCTACGTTCAAACAGCAGCCTGAGGTGACCCAAGTCTGATTTCTTTGTCAATATGCAACCTGTATCTGATCTTTTCATCTTTTCAACACGGATCCAATTTTTTCCAACACGACCCAAGCCACTTGGTTGTGTGGTCCTGAATCTGATACGAATCTGATCTTTTCAAATGCGACCTGAGTCTGAACACCCAGGTCCCATTCATCCGACCTGAACATCATTAATACTCAGCAAAGGTCACTATCCTGCGTCTTGCTACACAGAAGCGGAAATAAAACAACCGTGGTGGGTGATAATGAGGGGGGCAGTATTTATTTTTTAACCATCTTTAAAATATTGAGTTTTTAAAGCTGGGAAAGATCGCTAGATGCTCTTCAGCACTACCATTCCATGTGACATCATTGCGTCCTCTATTGCGCACACGGGACACTTAAGCTCTATGAATGTTGTTGACAGAGAAGATCACGTACAAGTCGAATATATTTGGAAATGTGAACGGCAACGCAAAAAAATTGGATTTTACAAAAAAAAAATCGGAATTGATCATTAAGGCGAATGTAGCCTATGACTGGATTTTTAGATTTTTAGACTTACCAGCTTCTGCAGTCTTTTTCTGATCATAATCAGCTTTAGCAGCATCATAAAGTTGTCTCGCTGATAGGCTGGCTGGAGTAACGCCATTTTGAATCGCATCTGTGATCACAGCATCAACACTTAAGCAAACTGCCCCATAGTGACGTGCCAAACTTGCTGCCATGCTGCTTTTATCTGGAAAACAACGTCAAATAAAAGAAAGGTTTAGAAATTACTCTGTTTGTAGTTGAATCTATTATGACAGAAAAGAAAAAGGTGAAATTTTACCTGTCAGGGGGGCTCCATATACAATGATAGCAATTGCTCCGTGCGCATATGCTGTGGCTGTATCATGTGAAAGGACAGGCTGTATATGGCGGGCGATCGCTCTTGTGAGAGGGGTCATCTCCAGCTGTCTTTGATTCGCACCGATTCCCTCTCTGGTTAACTGTGAAACAACTGGATCCAAAAATAAAGATCCTGATAGTGAATAAGACTTTATCTTTTAAGGGGCTGAGTTGTGTAACTGCTCCGCTTCAGATTTAGTACTCACGGAATACACCTGGTTTCATTCTAAATGAGTTCCTCTTAACGGGCGCTTCATTTGGTTCCAGTTTCTCCTCATCATTTTCTTTTCCATCTTTCTCTATTTCATTCTCCCCCATGCCAACATTCAGCTCTATAGACAAACAAATAGAAATTTTGAAATAAGCTTTATAGTACCCATTTATCTAAAAAATAAAACAAAGACATGTTGGCATATAACCAGAGTTGTAAGAACTGTTTATTAATCTAGTAGAAGTACAAATCCTACTGTTTAAAACAACTTTTGTAGAGTATCAACTTAAGCTTTTTACTCAAGTAAAAGTATAAAAGTATTTTTTTTAAACTACTTAAAGTAAAAAAACGTAAAAGTAATTGTTAGGATAATTATCATTGATGATGTGTGAGTTTATTACACCTTAATATTAGCTGCCTGTTGCATGTCAGAACTGATGTTTTCCCCAGTAATTTATCTAAGAGCGGTGTTCTTCTGCTAAGAATAAAGTGTAATATTATGATATGGCTAGAGCCATGGATGTCTCCTCATCTGCAAACGTGTATTATGTAATGATGTGATGATGTGACAGACTGGAGATGTATAAAATCCTTGTTTAACTGCTTATTGTGGCCATTTCCCAAACAGTGAGCCTGGTTGATAATCAGCTTCCTTCTGTAAAGCAGCTTCTCTGATCTGAGTAAGATTATAACTTCTATCAAAATCTGTTGTCATGTCTCATGGTTATTTAATACAATTTAATACGTTATAAAGTGTTATTTAAACAGTTTGTCCCTTTTCAGGAAAACGAACCAGAGAGAGAAAGCTTCAAGGTGTCGACACAGAGCTTTCCTTTAACATAACGTAGGCAAAAATGTTAAGGACAAAAGCTTTAAACATTATCCTGCACTGCAAAAACAATCTAGAAATAAGTTAAAATTACTTAAATTAAGGGTATTCACCCTTAATTTGAGTAGGTAAATGAGATAGTTTGCCAATGGAATGAGTAATTTTACTCTTAAAATAACATAATTAGATAAAATGCACTTGAAATAAGACAATGCAACTGTATTTTCTTATTTTAAGTATACATTGTCTTGTTCCATTGGCAAAATGTCTCTTTTACCTCTTCAGTCCAAGAACAAATGCACTTGTTTTAAGAAAAAATGACTTATCTAGACTTAGATTTTTTGCAGCTGTGCTACCCTATTATAGAACTTTTTTTTCCAAAAATTCTGGATGCTAATTTCCTTATACTTAATTTTCCTAGTTTTATAACTAATGGTAACAGTGTCACATTTAACTTTGCATCACCCCATACAACACTAAGCAATTTATTTTGGTATGTGGTGAACAACAAGTTCGGGCAGCACCGAGTCAAACCACAAAAAAAAAAAAAAAAGAAATTCTGGATAAAAATAATTATTTTGATGGTTTTTATTTTTTCTAAATACCAGGTAGAGTATATAGCTATATACTATGTGTTTTATTTAGCTTATTTTATGTTTTATTATGTATATAGCTATAGATTCTGTATTCTGTGTATAAATATATATATATATATATAATTTGTCAGAAATGCTAAGTCAAATTCCTTGTCAGTGCAAACTTACTTGGCAGTAAATCTGATTCTGTACAGGCCACAATGAAAATGAGCTTCAATGAAATAAAACAAATTAGTCTATTATCTATTTTTTTCCAGTAAATAATAGATAGCCAATATTTATATTATTTCTAAAGTAACAAAGTATTTGTACTTTGTTACCGGACACCTCTGCATATATCTAAGAAGTAATGTTTTTTAGAAATAACCATCATCCTTTAGCTGGGAGCAATATTCCAGCAGCTCTGCAGGAAGACCCTCTCCAGGAATCCTGGGGGGGAGCAACAGAGTGTCGTTGTCATCATATTCCTGTATTCGCCGCAGGATCTGAAAGGAAACCAAAAATGATCTATGTCAGACTACACATTCCCTGTTTCAGGTTAGCTAGGGCTACAATGGCTCCTGTTAGAGGGTCATTCAGCAGGGAGGAACTCACTCCAAAAACAGCTGGAAAATGCACTCCTGTGATCTATGTTGTATGCTACAGTATGACTACAGGGACAGTCATTAAAGCACCGTAAATGGCCCAGTGATGCCCAAAAATAGGTTCCTATTTAACAGTCACCACAACAGTGTTTTTAAAGGAAAAGTCCGGTCATATTCAGAATTAAAACTTCTGAAGGTCCTTCAAATATGAAAATATTACATACTGTTAAATAAATGTTAAGTGTTTTTAAATTAAGAGTAATTTTCATTTGAATGTGATTTACTGGAGGCATCCATGTTTGTCAAAGAACACTACTGCCACCTACATGTTTGTGACGCCACGGTGCGGTATCGGCTGTTGATCAAGTCCCAGTGCTGTATCTGGTGTTTGTCACAACGCACTATTATCCAAATCATCTTGAAAACATTCTTCTTCCAAATGTTGGCTACATATTACATGTTTTTTCTCTCTGGTTCGATGGCAAATCCTCCCTCTTCAAGTTGGCAATCCAACGCAGACCCGTCCGTGGAGGATTATAAATCGGAAAGGTGAATTAACTTATTTTTATTACTTTCACCCTTTCTGTTACAACATCCAACTGCCATGTACGTGGGCATTGTCAGTTTCACTATAGCTCTGGTGAATTTAATGGTGAAGTCTTCTGGAAATCTTCAATAATTGCAGATGTGTCTAGTAGTTCCCATTGATTTTGCTTGTAAAGCGGGGAGAACGGCGCTAGGCTTACAGCACCGTGACGTCATTGCCGGAAGATGTCAGAAGGGAGGTGTTACTATATTTGAGTGAAACTGGCCACTCCCAGACTAAGTGATTGCGACAAAAATCATTATTTTTATTTTTTTACTGATCCACAGTAAATTTATTAAATCACCGCAAATGTAGTGGTTGTAGTTATAAAAAATTATCCCTTGATTATTCATTGCTGACCAGACTTTTCCTGTAAAAGGAAGCAGAGAGCTTCTAAACCTCAAATGGGCAACAACATGATAATTTAGTGTACAGGACCTTCAGCATCACAAAGGTTTCTTCTTTGCCAGAGGAAGTTGTCTTTTACTAAATCAATGGGATTTCTTAAAAATGTCTATTAGCAACAAGTAAATTTAAGAACTCCAACGGAATATAGAGAATTAGGTGTTAATTAAATGCAGTTTATCCCTAAAAGGAAAAGACTTGGGCAACAGAAAACAACAATGGGCTGTAGATCATTAATTATCTTCTTTAACTATACATTTACAGTAGTAGCCATTCAAAATGTCCCCACTTTCCTACAATTCCTATTTAAACATCAATCTTTGTACTAAAATATTCTGTCCTGATTTGCGGAAATTAAGATCCAAACAGAAGCGTCATCTCCTGTTCAGACCCTGTAATTCAGTGAAAGGGTGGCGTCAGAGTAAAAAAATATGTTGGGTTCATGGAGGGGATTTTGCTGGGAGTTGCAGGGGAGTGGGCTGCTTTTTTGGCTGGCTTTTGACTGTAAGGGGCTATTCTGAATGACTGCTACTGCAATATATCTGAGACCTTGCCTTCGCATTTTAAAACATAGCTACCTCCTCCTCCTTCAGGTACTGTGTGTCGAACTCCAGGGAGTAAAACTCGACGGGGAAGGAGGAGAGGTTTTTCACTCTGACCTCGGCTTTAGACTCTGAGCTAAAAGGAAGACACGGTGCGAACTCCAGGACAGATGGGCAGAAGTCGAGCTGTGGCTCTTCAGCATCACCCTGAGCTGTAATGAAGACCTGCTGCTTGCTGCCAGACACTCTGACCACCAGCCGTCTTCTGTATGAACACTAGAAAACAAAGAGTTTTTTAAACATTCTAGTGCTGTTTCAGCTCTTCAACCAAGTCAAGCTTATTTAAACCAGAGGTTAAGATTCATTAGTGAGTGAGCATTGAAATATTACAAAAATCTTTACCCCTTTGACAGGACTGAACAGGACATGGACCGTCGTTTGTTCTCCATGTAAAAGCACACCAGAGCAGGGAATCATCTGGAATACTGCTGGAGCTCGTTGTTGCTGCTGTCAGAACGTTTCAGAGAAAAACGTAACATTAGACACTAAACCACATTTTAACAGATGGATAGGATTGATATGATTCTAAAAAACAAACAGTCACACCTTTTTAAGAGGTTTCACCTCTTCAGCCATGCTCCACCGACACTGCACAATTTGATAGTTCTGCAGCTGTACTGTTTGAATCTGCAAATTCAGTAGCAAACATTAAGGGTAAGTTTTCCCCCCAAAATATCTGGTGTGTGTGAGAGCTGCTTGGGAAATAGGGTTAGCTGTATATGAGGGTAAGCAAGGTCCTTACACTGCATCAGCTGGGGATTCCAAAAAATTAAAAAAAAAACAACTGTTGGTTTTGTTGCTTATGCCATCACTCAGAAAGTAAAACCTTTCTTTTATTTTGTGGTGAAGATTCTCAGTCATCCAAATCATAGTCATTCAGAAAAAGAATAAAAACAATCCACTGAACTTTGTTTCCAAGTTTGAAGACGTTTCGCTTCCAGGAGGCTTTTTCAATTCAAAGCGTTGTTTTTGCTTAGAAAACATGCAAATTGAAACGGACAAACGGGTCCACCCCTTTGGAATGGGGGTCGTTTGGCTTCTTTGTTAGCCTGTAAAGCCCTATACCCGTCTATGTCTCTGAAAGGGGCGTTGTTAAAGGCCATTGATGGCCTGGCTCAATAGGTGAGGTCTTCTGTTCCCCTCTAATGGCTTTGTTGGGCTACTGTATAAAGCATCTCAATGCTATTTCTGACATTTGAATTTAAAAAGCCTCCAGGATGGGAAGCAAAACGTCTTCAAACTTGGAAACAAAGTCCGGTGGATTGTTTTTTTTAACTTGAAATGACTATGAACTGGAATGCTGAAAATCTTCACCAGCATCAGCTGGGGATTATTTTCAGTTAAACAGCAATAGGCTGATGTTTATTTGAAATTTGAAGTTTCAGTTTCATTTTACCTGACACATGCCACACTGCACTGTGTCAAACAGCAGCATGTCTTTTGAAACAGTGATTTCCGGCATGCTGATGTCAGCACACAGCTGGATCGGAACCACTGGACCATCTGTGAGCTTTAAAACAAACAGAAAACACTGGAAGTTAGGCTGTACATTACGGGGAGAATGGAATAGTAGACATTTCTAAGCTCTGGGATTTTATGAGTTGGCAGCAGATGTTTTAAAGCACCTTTATCAGCAGAATGACTTTTGTCTGCCCAGTCTCTGCATTGGAAGATTGAAAATCAAATTTGATTGAGAAAGTCTGAGTTTCACCAGGATCAAGGCTCTTCACACCTTCTAATTCTGGTGTAAAACCTGTGAAAGAAAACATCACAACTTTGACTTGTTTTCGAATCCGTCCAAGGTCTCATGGTTCATTCTTAGTGACAACTTATTTAAGATCTGATATCTGAGGTCCAGTTATTTGAAAAACAAAATAAAACTAAAACATCATGGACAGATTACAGCAGTGTTTGTGTCACCTGTGCCTGTTAGATGTTTGTTGTCAGTATAGAAGGACACAGGAATGGCTCCCTTATTAATGACGGTCACTGTCTGACTGAAGACTTGGCCTGGAAACACTAAATCAAAATCCAGCTTATACCCTGGAAGCATGAATCTGGGAAAAGAGAGAAGTTTATAAAACTTTAGGAATGACATGATTTCTTTCTGCATTAGGTTGAATGTTTTTATCATTTAAGGTTTATATCTAATTCTAATTATATTCCACGTTGAAATACATGTTCCTACATTTTGTTTCAGTTTCTCTACTATGTCCTTTGCCTGTCATGATTTTGGTTTTGTTTAAGGTTATCTTTGATTTTTCATTGGTTTTATTTCCATTTTTTGTTATTCTAGTTATTTTTTATTGTATTTGAGTTCTGAGGTATTTCTTGTTTGCCCTCTATTGCCCTCTTGTGTCAGCCTAGCTCCCTTCTAGATTCCTCTGTCCACACCTGCTCCCAATCTGCTGGTTAGCCTGGTCTTTGTTTCTGTCTCCCATATATGCACCTTCTGCAGTCACTGTTGCTGGTTCATCATCAATTCTTTGCCCTTGTTGTGAGTATTCCTGATTCTCAGTGTTTTGTGGATTTATGTTTTTGGATTTTTGCTTCTGTTGCCACCTTTTAAATTAAACCACCTTCAGCTACAGTCTCTGCATTTTGGTCATCCTCTCAAATCTCCACCAAACCTGACATTGCCTTGCAAACATTTCTGCATCCTGCTAAATACTTTGTATTTTATTCCTAATGTGTTATACTGAGATTGATGTGATGAATACGCAATGCAGAACATGCTTTTAAAATACCAAAATGAATAAAAATCTGAAAAGGGTGGCTTGCATATCTATGAAGCCCCTTTAAGTTGAATTGTCTCAATAACATCTGGAGCTTAGACAGACCTGTATGTGATTCAATCTTATTATTAAAACAGGAGGATAACAGGTGACAAACAGCCTCATGCAGATAAAGCAACAAAGCTGACAGTTCTGCGATACAGTTAAGGAGATTTCTAAATGATGGTTGTTTTTGTTTGTTTTAGTTTTTAAGATTTTTTGGGGGCACAATTTACCTTCATTTGAAAATCAAAATCAAAATGCCAGTTTAAGGGTCACCCTGTAGCCTGGCGGCCCAAGCACAATGAGCTATCTAGATGATTAAACATCTCACATAGCCCTGTTCAATTAGTCACCAGGGATCCGTTTCACAAATCAGTTTTAAGAAACTCTTAATTTTCACAAAAGCTGCTGTTCGTCAGTTCAATCAACTCCAAGTAGAACCACTTAGAGTTTACCACGTGCGTGACAAGTATGAAAAGCCATTATCAGTGGAGCCCCGTCACCATGATGACAGGTAACAGGAAATGCCTATTTCACCCCACTGGAACTAGAGATATTAATGATGAAATAATAAAAAAAAAATGAGAAAGTGTTTAAAAGACAGAGGAAACAGTGCTATAGCTGCAAAAGAGAGGAAGATGGCCAAGGAGAAGTTTGTTGCTCAGGTTAATGCATACGTTTTTATGAAGTGGACTAAAAGGCAGACCATTTTTACATTTATTAAAAGCACTCTCCTTTCTGTTGTTCGATTTGTAGATCATTAAAATAAGATCCAAAATAACATTCCTAGACTGAATTGTAATAATACATTTTCAAAATTACATTTTTGCAGCAGAAACTGAATTTCAGAAAGTAAAGAAAAACTAAATTATACTCCTAAGAATAAAATTTTATATACCTAGAAATGTTTACACGTTTTAAGTGAATGTTCTGGCATCTATCAGCTTGACTGAATATGTATTTATGATATCTGAAATATATTTCTTTATAGTCAAAATAATAAAAATGATGACCATTAACAAACTGAGATTGTAGATCTGAAATGAATTTCTAGATATCCAGAGAGTTGTTCATTGTGACAAGGGAATTTTTTTTTTTTTTCAGATATCAGAGATATATATTAAGTAAAACTAATACATCAAAACAGCCTGCCATGGATTGCTGTAACCAGGATAATATTAGAGAGAAATCTAGTTTAGGTAAAATCCTCTGGCAGCAGGAGAGGATGAAGAATAAAAACCTGATCATCATGTCGTGAGTTTCCTCCTCAGTTTGACTCTGTCTTCCATCACACGGTAGACTAACTGGTTATTTGCAGTTGCTCCAGATGTTATCATCAAAAAAATGGGTCATTAGCTGCTATCAGTCCCATAGAATGGCTTCAGATTTTCCTTCTATGCCTCAGTAGGCTCAGTAGGTGATTTTCACTGAATAAATCCTAATCCAAAGGTTATTCCATTTTCACTGTAGAATTGATTAATTTATTTATGTGTAATCTGAAAATTATTTCAGTAATGCTTTATGTAATGAAAAAAAAAAAAGATCTGCATGTCCAAACCAAAAACCTGATAACTTGTGTGGTCAAAAAATTTAGATTTATCTTATTTCCATTATTGATTTATGCTATTTACTCACTATAAAAGTTTTTTATTCAGTCAGTTTCACCTGCAAGGTCACACAAAGCCTGAGTGAGGGGTGTTTGTAGACAAGACATACTTCTTTCCATAACAAGCCAGGTTTTTTTCTCAAGGTTTTTCATAACATGTTACTGTTTAAAAAAAGTGTCTTTAATTTGTTTTGACTCTAACTACTTTTCATTATTGTAAGTAAGGGGGAACAAATGCTGCCAGATCAGAACAAGGCTTATTACCATGCGATAAGGGTGGTATGATGAACTGTACTCTCTGCGAAGATAAAATAAAGTGCCGACTGAGTGAAATCCATCAATCTCTGTTTATTCAACTGGGGCGAATAGTTTAATACTTTTTTCCACTACACCTGTTAACTGAGTCGTTTTTTAATCACCACATGAAATCTGTGTGACTGAAACATATAATTCATTTTTAGTAAAACTTTAAAACTTTGTTGTTTTTTAAATAGGTACATTTTAAATAAAGCAGATAAGACCTATAAAGTAGGTAAATAGTAAATAAAACTTTTTAGAGGGCTTTAGAGGTGGCTGAAGCAGCTGTTATCAGTGATAAACGTATAAGAAGGTAGAGGAGGAGCATCCTGAAGCCATTCTATGGGACTGGTGCTGTTTGTACAGTATGTGCAGTTTTATTTTCTACAATGCTGTTTAACACACACTAATGTGCTATCACTAATATCAACTTCTGTTAAATAAGTCTGTATAATGCTGCAAATACGAGGACGGATAAAGTGATGTATGTACACTACCGTTCAAAAGTTTGGGGTCACACCGAAATGTCCTTATTTTTGAAGGAAAAGCACTGTTCTTTTCAATGAAGATAAATTTAAACCAGTCTTAACTTTAAAAAAATACACTCTATACATTGCTAATGTGGTAAAGGACTATTCTAGCTGCAAACGTCTGGTTTTTGGTGCAATATCTACATAGGTGTATAGAGGCCCTACTGGCTCTAATCAGGGTAGAAAAAGAAGTGGGAGGCAGCGTTGCACAACTGAGCAAGAAGATAAGTACATTAGAGTCTGTAGTTTTAGAAACAGACGCCTCACAGGTCCCCAACTGGCATCTTCATTAAATAGTACCCGCAGTAGCCTGTTTGTGCTGTCCTCTGAAGGGAGTAGTAGTACACACCGTTGTAGGAAATCTTCAATTTCTTAGCAATTTCTCGCATGGGATATCGTTCATTTCTAAGAACAAGAATAGACTGTCGAGTTTCAGATGAAAGTTTTCTTTTTCTGGCCATTTTAGCGTTTAATTGACCCATTACAAATGTGATGCTCCAGAAATTCAATCTGCTCAAAGGAAGGTCAGTTTTGTAGCTTCTGTAGGGAGCTAAACTGTTTTCAGATGAGTGAACACGATTGCACAAGGGTTTTCTAATCATCAATTAGCCTTCTTAGCCAATGAGCAAACACATTCTACCATTAGAACACTGGAGTGATAGTTGCTGGAAATGGGCCTCTATACACCTATGTAGATATTGCACCAAAAACCAGACATTTGCAGCTAGAATAGTCATTTACCACATTAGCAATGTATAGAGTGTATTTCTTTAAAGACTAGTTTAAAGTTATCTTCATTGAAAAGTACAGTGCTTTTCCTTCAAAAAAAGGGGCATTTCAATGTGACCTCAAACTTTTGAACAGTAGTGTATGTAAAGGATTGTGAGGTGAAACAGTAAACATAGTTTTTTGAATATGAAGGATCATTCATTCTCTGTGAATCATTTATTGATAATTATTTTATAAGATCCTCTTCAAAAGGACTAAAAGTTTTTTGTTTGTTTTTAAACCTAATGTGAAGGAAAAAAAATCTGCCTATATCAGGAAATAAAACAACGTGATTGGCAGTAAAGAGAGCAAAGACAGAGGGCTCTGAGTTTACTGAAGAAAACCTGCTACTAACCAGGTTAGCTCTGGGGAGATTGCTATGACAGTAACAGAAACAGAGGTTGAAAAAACTCTCTTTCTGAACCACAAAAGTCAGTTTCCCTGTTTTCAGGTTTAGAAAACGTAGTTTTCATTTAACCTGCTTTTTAAAACAGACCCCACAACTGCTATTCCACCAATATAAACATTTATATAAAGTGGACAGATGGCAGGAAAGAGAGATAAACAGGAGCAAGATGTTAATGAGAACTTCTCAGATCACAGGCAAGATAATAATTTATCTGCATGAGCTTTAATAATGGACTTAACTAATCTGGTAGAATCCATTATTAAAGTGATTCATTTGATTCATTTAGAGCAAAACTAGGCTTGTAAAACTATATTTTAACAAAAAAAATTTGGATCACAAATACATGAAATCAGTGATAAAGCGTAAAGCTCAGCTGTAAGGAAGAGTTTTTTTTAGGCTGGGATGCTTGTTAGAGTAGACTGGAAGATGACTGGCATGAAAAAGCCTTATTCTTGCTTTTAAGTTATGTATTAAAGTTTTAAAAATAAATATTTACCGACAATTTCTTTTTTAATAATGTAACATTTCTTGTTTGAGAGAAGATTCAAAGCAAAACACTATTTTTGTGAAAGTTAATATGCAAACAATGATCAAACTTCTAACATCAAACCTTTAAAAAATTAAAGTTTAACTTTTTTACGAGCAGTAGACGCAAACAAATTAAGCAAATTAAGTCCAATTCCAGATCATTTCTTTCCAATGAAACCAGATGTTTTTTGTTACAACTTACTTGCTCAGATCTTGCCGAGAATGATAAGAGTCACTGAGGATGAAATCTCTTACCAGCAGGTTCTCAACTTCCACGTTGAGCAACTCTTCATACTACAGCAAGCAGGGGAAAAAAAAACACAGAATACAAAAAAAGGAGTTATAAACACAATGTCAGATTGTAATTTTCTTAATCTGGATTATGACTATTTTGTTTATATTTGTGTTTTTATTGTGAAGAGATTTTTTTTTAGTTGTTGCAAAGTCTTAAATGATATATCCTGAAAATAAGTCAAATTTTTTATTCATTCTTTTACTTTTAGAATGCAGAGGCATAGACAGAACATTTTTATAGGGGTGGCCAGACAATAACCAATGTACACTGAGACGTGGCTGAAAGCAGATAAGCGCCAGAACCTCAGGGTCAATCTAAACTGTTCCGACAGTAACGAGCACATTATACATATTTTCTAAAGACAAACTATACTTTCCTACCACCTTTGCTAACGAAAGGACACTTATATTTAAACATATGTGCTGTCTAAATAAAATACTTATACTTTTATAAAAAAAATTGTTCTGCATAAAATTAATATTTACATGTACTAATATCTACATTAAATGGATTTTAAGTAATTAATAAAATAGTTATTTATCTATGATTTCACTGAAGACACCTAGATGACTTGCAGAGACACAATATTCTGTTTACCCCATATAACACAAAATTTAGCTCTTAAAAGAGTATATCAATATACTAATGTTAGTATATCGATTTGCATAATTAACCACAGCATTGTAGTTGTCAAGTAATTATTGATATATGAAAGATAAAATTTTTTAATAAGTTTGAACTTTCCCCTTGAGAGTATTACTGCTGCAACCATCTGGATTAGAGGGCGAAAAAAAAAATGGTAGGGGTGGCCATGGCCACCTCTGGACCCCCATCTAGCTCCGCCCTGTTAGAATATTACATTATAAGTGAGCATATTTAAAGGAAAAATCCGGTTTTTAACACTTTTAGCCCCTTTTCTGTAGTGTCTAGGATGAAATCGAATGATCGACACCAAAATTTTGACGATTGGTCCTGTCTCTGCTATTTGGCTCATGCAGAATCCCCCTGGCTGCTTCAGAATGGCTTCCATAGTGCATGTCCGATAATGTCCTTTAAAACAACCTTAAACGTTCTTTTTTTAAAATATGCTACTCACCGGGTCGTCAGCGCTGTTCAATGACGTTCCAAAAAAAGTTTCGTGAAGAAAAACCGTTCCTGTCTTGTTTTATTTAGCATTTTGTAAATCCCAGAACTATTTTTTCCGATACATCACAACCGCTTATAAACTTCCGCTTCCCGTTCGAATCTGAAGCGTTGCACACTCCAGACCACTAGTTGGCGACGGTATCCTCTACCGTCAAACTCAAAGTCCAATATGTCCTCCTCAAGAATCCACCTTTCGTATTCCATTTTCAGAGTTTTTTAAAGTGTTTAACAGAGACGTTAGCACCTCGACGTCGGAGTACACAGAGTGAAGCAGAAACACTTGGGCCTTGCGAAAAGACTACAACTAAGCGTAAACAGGCCCCCTTTCCGTTTCCGGTGGCGGAGGGATATTGACTATTCCAACAGAACTCAATGGGATTTACAAAATGCTAAATAAAACACTACAGGAACGGTTTTTCTTCACGAAACTTTTTTTGGAACGTCATTGAACAGCGCTGATGACCCGGTGAGTAGCATATTTTAAAAAAAGAACGTTTAAGGTTGTTTTAAGGACATTATCGGACATGCACTATGGAAGCCATTCTGAAGCAGCCAGGGGGGGATTCTGCATGAGCCAAATAGCAGAGACAAGACCAATCGTCAAAATTTTGGTGTCGATCATTCGATTTCATCCTGGACACTACAGAAAATGGGCTAAAAGTGTTAAAAACTGGAATTTTCCTTTAAGGTAAGCAGAGATCTTAGTCTTAGAAATATTTTCTCCCTGAGATTGATGATCTCCAACATGTTTCTACTTTGGTTCCTTACGGTCCATTTTGTTAACTTTTGCCCTCCTTATTATAGGCGCTCCTTCCAACACCATTTTTAGGGCTTGGTTGCAATTGTTCACCTTTTTTATTGTTGTGGCCACTGATTAGTGTTGCACCGATGCCATTTTTTGGCCCCCAATACCTGGCTGTGCAGTAGTGTTAATTTCGTTAACGAAAACTAAATGAAAATATTTTCGTCAACGCACATTTTTCACCCAACGAAAACTAGACGAGACAAGATGAAAATCCCCACTAATAAACAATAACTGGGAGTAAATCAGAAATATTTTTCGTTGACTAATAAAGTCGAGACGAAAATGCAGTTTGGTAAATAAAGACTGGACTAAAATCTATGGACTTTTTAGTTCACGAACAAAGACGAGACGAAAATTACATATTATTTTATGGTTTTTTCAAATCCTGTCTCCTGTTCCGCCTCCTCCTCGTCAGCTCCACACACCCACTTTCAAACCTGGAGTGGGCGGACACAGAGTAGCCTACTCTGGGGCTCGGGAGAAAGAGGAGACGTGTATATGGACACATTTTCACTTCATTGAAGTGGAGAACAAAACCAAATGCTTGATTTTAGTCGAAGGGAAGGAATGTGGCCACATGGTAGCTGGAAAAAACACAACCTGAAGAGACACGTCGCAGTTCAACACAAAGACATTACGGTAAGTTAACAGAAATATTGGTGGTGGTTGTTTACAATGTAACATTAATCAACAGCTATAATGTCCTAATGATAAACTAACTGATGTTGGCTAACTTTCATAGCATTTAGTATCCAGGCTGGCTATGTTACGTTAGCTTGTTAGCACGTAGCGACCGTAGCCACTTGTTGATAGAACTTAGATATGTTATACTGGCCGGGCAACTATAGTTTCAGTTACATTGCAAGTTTGATTAAAGCAGACAGACGTTTTAGGTAATCTAGGAGCTGCAAGTGAACTATAGTTAACACAAAACACCTCGGCAGCTACATATGTATGCTAAATGCTAAAACGAACTGAAACTATTTATCAGGATAAGACAAAATAAAAATAATATGCCACACATAATTCAGAACAACTTTAACCTAGATTTTCATACACAAAATAGCCATTGCTAGGGGAACCACTGCAGGGATTTGGATGCAAACATCAATATTAATCAATATTAATACAACCAAAATGCATGCAAACATAAAAATGTCTGCAATTTATTCCTGCATAAAATGATAGTTACGGTAGGTTGTTTGTATGAGTTTGAAATGGATTGTCAAATGTAATGCACAACAGTTTTCAACACAGTTGGTTGTATCTACATGTGCTTATATAATAAAGGACCATAAAATGATTACACCTGAAAAAACTTTTCAAATGATATACTTTTAGCTCAATATACTGAGCGTTTTGCAAACCTGTTACCATAAAACAGGATCAAGTTAAAAAATGCTCCTTAGAAAACAAAACTATTTCAGATCCATTTTGTATTTACTGACCTCAGCCTGTTTTTCAGCTCCTTCGTCAACAGTGACTTCATGTCCAGGCTCCGGTCTGACTCCCTGAGCATTCAGAGTTGCTTTCGCCTGCTGCACCACATCTCTGTAGTGCTCCTCAGCTGCAAAAAAACCACAGAGTTACATCAAGTGACTGAAGGCAGGTCCTTCCAGCTGCTTGTACGGAACAACCTTCTCAGAGTTATAAAGCCAGATGCCATGACTGATATAACTTTGTGTGATGCTGCTGTGTCTTAAAGTGCTTTTAACATGTTTCATGCTGTTTATAATGACATGATAGTTTTTATTCATTTAATTTTATTTATATGTTTTCAGTCTTTTTAAAGAAAAAGTCCAGTCACATTCAAAATACAGACTTCTGAAAGTACTTTAAATATGAAATTATTACATACTGGTTATTAAATGATAAGTGTTTTTAATTAAGAGTAATTTCGTTGGAATGTGCTTTACTGGAGGCATCCATGTTTGTCAAAGAACACTACTGCCACCTACTGGTTTCTGACGTCACGGTGCGGTATCGGCTGTTGATCAAGTCCCTGTGCTGTATCTGGTGTTTGTCACAACGCGCTATTATCCAAGTCATCTTGAAAACATTCTTCTTCCAAATGTTGGCTACATATTGCGAGTTTTTTCTCTGGCCAGAAGTTTGATGACAAATCCCCCCTCTTTCAGTTGGCATTCCAATGACGAACCCATCCATGGAGGGTTTATAAATTATAAATTATTATGGATTATAAATCGGAAAGGTGAAACAACAAATTATTTTTTCACTTTTACCCGATGTATTCCAACATCCAGCTGCCATGCACGTGGGCATTGTCAGTTTAACTATAGCTCTGGTGAATTTCAATGGTGAAGTCCTCTGGAAATTTTCAATAATTGTTGTTAATTGCAGATGTGTCTAGTAGTTCCCATTGATTTTGCTTGTAAAACGCGGAGAATGGCGCTAGGCTTACCGCACTGTGACGTGCCGTTTTATTTCAGTCTCCCCTCTGAACCTTTGTTCCTGACACGTTAATAGATAGACACACGTACAGAGAGCCCAACATCCCCTAATTTAAAAAAAACTCCGCCGCTAGGCGGTATATAGTTGTAGCAACCACTACACTATGTATAATTATATATATTTATAAACATAACTATCCATCTATATAAATACCCAAGTAAATATCCTGTGCAATAACCCTGTATAAGAATCCTGCTATAAAAAAAAATAAATAAGCGGACGCACTGTATATACTGTATATATCCAATGCACCTTTTTCTTCCTTTTAATATTTCAGCTGATGTAACGAGTAAATTTCTCCAATGTGAGATCAATAAAGTCAATCAATCAATCAATCAATCAATCAATCAATCTATACACCATACCCCCCCCCCCAAACACCACTATGTTCTCACAGCAGCCTGCAGTGACCCAAATTCGATTTTTTTGCCCATTTGCGACCTTTATCTGATCTTTTAAAGACAGTCTGAAAAACACAGATCCTATTTTTTTCCAATACGACCCAGGCCACTTGGTTATGCGGTCCTGAATCCAATACCAATCTGATCTTTTCATTCATCCTACTTGTACGTCATTCTGTGTCTTGCTACACAGAAGCTGAAAGAAAAACAACAACCATGGCGAACTATAATGCAGAGAGTAGTATGTATATTGCAAAGATTGTGTTTTTAAAGTTGGGAAAGATCGCTACCATCCATGTTTACTTCCGTAAACACAGCTTAGGCTGACATCATGTCCTTAATTGCTCATGCGGGAAATGCGTTGTATGAATGTAGCTCACACAGGAGATGATAAATTTGAACGGCAAAGCAAAAAATTTGGATTACACAAAAAAATCGGAATTGAGCATTAAGGCCTGCAGTGTGAACGTAGCCTTAGACGTCATTTTTTTATGCTAAACCTGGTCGGTCCGTCATGCTCTTGAATTAGTCCAGGAATAGTTGTGTAACTGTGTTTGGTCTGATTTGGTCCCACTTTAATCCAAAAATAGATGTTTTCAACGATCAGAAAATTACGGCTTTTCATCTTTCACTTTTCAACCAAATGTAGACATTGTTTGAATGTAAGTCACTTTGTCTTTACAACCAAATTATGCTTGGTAGGTAAAATGCAATTCAAGCAAATGCAATAAACATCAGCAGAAGGTTTAGAAAATATCTATGTCACTGGCACCAGTGGGATAATTAACAGTGCTGAGAATTAAACTCTCTCCTAGTCTATATCTACTGTATCTTTAAGCAGGTTTGAACATACACAGGTTTTGTGGTAAATTCACTCGGACTATTGGGAACACTCCCATCCCAGTCAGAATTATCTCCTGTGGTTCTAAGAAGGGCACTTCAAGATGAAACTGCTTCTCGAACCGCTCAGGGATGCCAGGCAGATAAAGCACACGCAGCTGCTTCTCAGAACCAGCATCAATGTAACCCTAGTGACACAAACAGAATGTAAAACAATAAACACAAAATTGCTGTTTCAACAAATTAAAATGAGGACTTTATGGTTGACTCACCACAGCTGGAAGTACTAAGGGCCGTCCAGCTGTCATTTTCTGTCCAATAATCAGTGCTCCTCTCTCTTTATCAACCCCTTCAGTCTCCTCTGCATTTGAAGGGTGTTTAATGCTGTATTGAAAGCCGGTTTTGCCAGTATTCCTAACACACATTTTAACTTCACTCACGCAGTAAAACAGCTGGAAGACAGAAAGGAAATGAAAAAAAGTCTGGATTGTAAAGCATGTCAGTAAATTGATTATCAATAAATGAATTAGTCCTTATTGTCAACTAAAATTTGCATTGTAGTACAGATTTCAGTTTCAGTACAAACCATCCATCACATGCATTGTTGGGGATGGTGGGCTTGCGTGTCAAAGAACACTGCTGTTAAGCGCATTGAGGCGGTTCCTTTAAGGCACTGTCTTTTATCTCTGGAAAGGTAGGAGCCCCCACCTAGGGTCATCAGATCACCTATCTAGATGTTAATTCCTGCATACAGGCCGCAGCAAGAGTGTGGTCTTAGGGTGCCATGGAGACACCCTGGACTGTTTTGAGTGTTCTGACTGGAACATGTTCAAAGCTGCAGCAACCTATGATAACAAGATCAATATTGATGAGTATGCCATGACTGTGTCAGCTTAGCAACAAATACATTGAGGACATCAGCACCACAAAGAACATCATCACCCAGGCCAACCAACGATCCTGGATGAATGGGGAGGTTCCGAAATCGCTATAAGCATGGAACTCAACCTTTAAGTCTGGTGACAAGAGAAGCAATGAGGACAGAGTGTGGCAACTTGAACTGTGCCATCAGATCAGTGAAGCAGACCCACAGCCAGAAGATCCAGGATATCCTCCACAATGCCAGCAACAACAGGAGAATGTGGAAAGGCATATGGGTGATCACAGGCTACAACACGTCCCTCTCCCCAGTGGGTGCAGCTGATGCTTACTTCCTTAATGGACTAAAAAACGTCTCTGGAAGGTTTGAGGCACTAAACAGCACTCCAGCAGTGAAAGCTGTTCCACATCAGGGAGAGGAGGCATTCTGCCTTGACATAGCTGACGTGTGGAAGACTCTGAGGAGAGTTCACCCAAGAAAGGCCCCAGGCCCAGATAACATACCTGAGCAGGTTTTGAAGGAGTTTGCAGGTCAGCTGGGTGGTGTCCTCACAGACATTTTTAACACCTCGCTGGACCAATCCACAGTGCCAGCATACTTTAAGTCTGCCCTCATTATTCTGGTCCCAAGAAGGCCTCAGGTCACTTCATTTAATGACTACCAGCCTGTCGTACTGACTCCTATCATGATGAAGAGCTCGAAAGGCTGGTAAAAGAACACATCGTCTCCAGTCTTCCTCCAACATTTCCAACACGCTCCAGTGAGAATGCCATCTCCTCTGCTCTTCATCTGAGACTAGCACATCTGAAGGAGAAGAACAGTCATGTGCGGATGCTGTTTCTGGACTTCAGTTCAGCTTTCAACACCATCACCCACAGCATCTAATAGGAGAACTGGAACAGCTGGGCTTCAATACACCCCTCTGCAACTTGCTGCTAGAATTCCTCACAGACAGACCTCAGTCAGTCCAGGTCGGACAGAACACCTCTGATGTCATAATCCTTAGCACAGGCTCCCCTCAGGGCTGTGTCCTGAGCTCCCTGCTGTTCACCCTGATCACACATGACTGCGTCCCCAGGTTTGTGAAGTTTGCAGACGATACCACGGTGGTGGGCCTCATCAGTGATGACAACGACCTGGACTACAGAGAGGAGGTGGAGCAGCTGGTGGACTGGTGCAAAGATAACATCCTGATCCTGAACGTGGAGAAGACGAAGGAGATCATCTTGGACTTCAGGAAGAACCCAGCCTAACCACGCTCCACTGGTCATCAACAGCTCAGCACTAGAGGTGGTCAAAAGCACCAAATTCTTAGGGGTGCACATCACAGACACCTAGCCTGGGTGCCATTCCGAACTTAGTCCCGCCCACAAGGTTTGAGTTCGGGAAGTTCGGTCTGGCATTGCTCCATAGTAGCGCGAGTATCGCCCACTCTCTGGCGATCCAATCAAATTGTCAGGGCAGGCTTTATACAATGATGGACAGTTGATCACCAGTAACGTAATCAACCACGTGACCAAAGCGCGCATGGGTGACAACAACAGTGGCTGCCGCTGGAGAGTTTAGGTGAGTAGATTCTGCTATTAGGTCTGTTCTAGAAGATATCGACAGCAAATTAATTTTAAAAGAGAAACAGAGAAATGCGATCAAGGCCCATGTCCTTATTCTAGGCGTGCAACTGCACGCTTTTAATTTTGTTGACAACAACTGTGCCTGGCTTAACATACGTCACGCACTCCGTTGCTCTTATTGGTTGTAGGTCTATCCAATTGAGTGCAGAGGCATTTTTTTCCTGGTTCGTTCGAAACACGCCCCATAATCACAGCTCTATGGAGCAGTATCAGACCCATATTCTGAGTAGAATTGAGTAGGACTACGTCAGGCTAACAGACACCCTCACCTGGAATGTAAACACCACCTCAATGATCAAAAGGGCACAAAACCACATGCACTTCTTGTGGAGGATGAGGAGAGCCCACCTGCCCCCACCCATCCTCACCACCTTCTACAGAAGCACCATAGAGAGCGTTCTGGCCAGCTGCCTCACTGTGTGGTGTGGAGGTTGCAGCACCTCAGACTGGAAGAAGGTGAGAAGAGTAGTAAGAACAGAAGACAAGATCATCGGGGCTCCTCTTCCCTCCATTATAGACATTCATCCCAGCACTGCGTGTCCCAAGCCCGTAACATCATAAATGACCCCCCACCCCACCCCCACCATGGTGTGTTCTCCCTGTGGCCCTCTGAGAAGAGACTTCGAGGCATCCGATGCAGGTCCAGCAGATTCCATAATAGTTTCTTTCCCACTGCCATTAGACTGCTGAATGTTGTGTAAAATAGGTTATTTTATTTATAAAAAATAATAATAATGATGTCAGAACTGTAAATATACAGTCATATGTTTAAATTAGTACTTTTTATGTATTTATTACTGTTATCAAGGCTGCACTTTAAAAAATGAAATGTCTAGAGCTGTTTGAAACGAAATTTCCTTTTGGTTTACACTCGTGTATACAAAATGACAAAATAAATCTGTCTAAGTCTAAGTCTCTAAATCTAAACATGTATGGCTGTAAGGCTGCAACACCAGACAGAGCTTCTGCCACCCTGGCGTCCTCCTCCACAACATCTTCCTGCTTCATACTCTAAATAAAAAATGCATGACGGAGGAGACTCATCCACAACCTCCAACACTAAACTCTCCTCCTCTTGCATGTTTCCTCTGTCCATAGCGTTCCTTGACAGTGTCGTTTCTAAGTCACCAATTTAGTGCTACTTGGTCCCAATGGAATTTCCCATTGGGAACCTGCTAGCACTAAGTTACTAACTAGTTAGAAAGATGCTTCCGGGACACCGGCCACAATCAATCCTGCTTGTGAACCTTCCACCAAAACAATCCCGCCCCCTTGATAAACGACCAATCACATTCACTTTATTCACTCGTGTAAAGTCAGGCACCACTTGGGAGAATTCGGAAACACAACGGTTGGAACAGCCGCTTCCCTTTAATGACTTTCTGACAAACTTAGAACAAAAGCCGTCTGCAAAATAATCAAATGGTAGCAAAATGTCCACATAGAAAATTATAAAGGTAGTAATGCTAAAGGCTACCAAAATAATGTTAAAAATAATGAAAGAACTGGACTAGCGGTTTTTAAAAAACAAAAACCTTTACCTCGTTAAAATGCTGTGAAGAGAACAGCAGTTTTTAGACTTTGAAGGAGAAAGGGTTGTTTTACAGATTTGGTTGATCAGATACTTTGGCCCAGAGTCCATCATAGTAGATGGCAGGAAAGTGTGTTAAGGTGTGACACCATCCGTCGATGATCCCAAGAAGAAGAAAATTGTTGTTTTGTTGTCTGTGTCAAATTAGCCAGGCAGCTAGCTGACAATAGCCAGGCTAGCTGCACAGAATAAATTACTGCAGTAACCAATGTGTTACTACTTCATTAAAACTATTTTTTGGACATTGGGAACCAGTGTCCATATTTCATCTTGACATGATGACCAGAGAAGAGGTTAAAAGTCTGGTGAACAAGCAGCTATAAGAACTCTGCAACCTCCCCTCTCTCCGCCATAGGAAATCCCATAGAGGTGTGACCTTTTATTTTCAGTGGGAAATAAAATGTAAATGTTTATAATCTATGTCCTGTGATTAAAAAAAAGAAACATTGGTGGATTGAATCCTGAGGTTAATCAGTTTGTTTGAAAATTAGTCCAGATGTTTGTGAAAATAGTCTATGAATAAAGTATCTACTCTACTCTGATGATTCCCAAAATTTAGGAATAACTATTTATCAAAAAGCATAAAGACACTTTTTGAAAGGAAGATGTGAAAATGAAAATAACTGAAAATAATCTAAACTCCATATGTTTGTTTAACTTACCACGGATCCAAAGTCCAGATAGGTTGATTCAATACTGTAGGAGAATTCTGAGGTCTCTACTCTGACTGGGACTGTATACGTCGGTCCATCTTCAACATAGCACTGAGCCACCACCTCTGTACAGGTGTTCTCATGGCTGTGGAATGAGAAAGTCATGAGCTGTTGGTCATGAGGATTCAAAACACCATAAATGGGTAGGATGTCAAAAACCTGTAGAGACCAAAGGAGAAAGAGAAGAACATCAGTGCTACACAATAGATGGGCTCAGGCTATAATTTGGATTAACATTAAAATGTTGGTCTAGCTGAGGAGTGTTAGCCCAGTGGTTAGAGCAGTGCGCTTGTGATCTGAGAAGGTTGCAAGTAGCTGGTTTGATCTCCACAGCTTGCGCTCTGGGTTCCTGAGCAAGACCCTTAACCCCACACTGCTCCCCGGGCACACACCATGGCAGCCCACTGCTCCCCAAAGGGATTGGTTAAATGCAGATGTAAGGTTTGCAGTTCTCTAATAAAGTTTAATTATTATATGAATGTCAGCTAATTCAAACAAGCCTAGAGTCTATGTGTCATGGTTCTCCCCTTTTGGGACTGAGTTGTTAGTTTTCAGCTATCAGTTATTCTGTTTTGTTGATCTTTGGTTTATTTTACATTACAGTAGTAGCCATTCAAAATTTCCCCACTTTTTTTGATAGGTCCATGGCTGGTCCCCTACAATTCCTTTTTAACATCAATCTGTCATGATCTGGCCTGATTGCTCTACCTTGATTGGTTATTTTTTTCACCTGCCATTTTCCCTCCCTGCATGTAATTATCATTTATTCCTCTCACCTCTTTCCTTTGGTTTGTATTCTGTTCAACCTGAGCAATCGGGGCCAGATCATTATTTGTTTTCTGTTAGTCTGTCTGTTCAGTTTATGCAACGGTTCATGTCCTGGATCCTGGCGGCCATTGGAAAGAGGGTTTTTGAGTCTGTCTTGTTTCCTGCTTGTCCACTGTTCCTCCACTGCTGAGTCCTCTGGGTTTTTGCCTCTTTATACGAGGAGGTTCAGTTTTTATTCCCGTATGGCTCCAAGGTGGAGACCAGTTTAAAGGTCCTGCTTAAATTCTGGTTCTATGTCCTGTCTCTGCTACCCTCTTCCACTGAGCCTGCCTGTTTGCACCTGATCCTGTCTGCTCCTGTGTGTGTCCGCCCGGTCACGTTTCTGGACTCTGTTTGGAATCTGAACCTGCTTGGGAGCTCTATGGTGCCTGGAAGCCTGGATCCCGTCTCATCTGTCTGTTCCTGCCAGTTCTGTCTGTTCCTGCCTGTATCCCTGGCCTGAATCGCCTTCCTGCAAATCCTGCGGAGCTGCTGCACCGGGGACACTCTGGGTGACGCGTGCCCATCGGCTCGATCTATCCCCCTTCATGGGTGATAGACTGAACTGTTAAACCAGGTAAGTGACTCACTGAGATTTTCATCTTCTGTCAGATGATCGTGGTCACTTACTGGTGTTTCCCCCACAGAGTGTCTGAGATTGGGCGGTGCCCCAGCCCCCTACTGCAGCATCCGTGAGCCGCAGATCCCTTTAGTTCACTATCACTTTAGTTTTGTTGGTTTTTATGTAATAAAGGCTTTGAACTTTCCTAATGACTGTCTCACCTTGAATACTGGGTCCATTTGTCCTGCTTTATGACACAATCTTTCTTTCTTAAATGATTTGTGGACATTAAGATCTAAAGACAAGCATCTTCTCCTGGTCAGACCCTGTAATTCAGTGAAAGGCTGGAGTCAGACTAAAAAAAAATATGCAAGAGGGGGTCACTCCAGTGGCTGGAAGTTGAAGGGGATTTTGCTGGGAGTTGCGGGGAAGTGGCCATTTTGAATGGCTGCTCCTGTATATTCAAGTAGTCTTTAGTTTTGCTTCCTTGTCCTTGTTTCCTTTCCCCTTGGCTTCCTTCTGGTTATTTCCACTCACACCAGCTCCATATTCAGCTCATTAGCCCATCCTTTGTTCTGTTCCCTTTATATACACCACCTCTGCGGTCACGCAGTGCTGGTTCCTTGTTGTTGTAAGTTGCTTCCTCTTCTCTGGCTCCCCACATGAGTTTTCCCTGATGTTTTCTGGTTTTTTGGTTCTTTGTATTTTTCATTTTTGAATGCCTGCCTCAGTTTTTTTATTAAATCAATAAGAACTCATCTCTGCTTTTGTGTCCTCAAGCAACTTAACCCCCATTATTGACACTATGAGGCTGATCAGACTGTTTAGAGTGACATGGTAAGATTTGCCCACTAGCTGTTGCTGATCCACGCATGGTATTCTTCCATTTCCATATTAGCCTACCTCATCCACATGTAAAGGGTTTGGTGAGCTGCCCTGATCATCTGCTTTAGGTCTGGGAGAGAACTGAGAGGCTTCAGTCTCTGTATGCTGATCCCACTCTGTTGTTACCATTTCTGGTTTTCTATGAATGCAAAACAAAATTCAAACATCAGTTTATCAATATAATGATTTTTCTCTTTACATATGAAAAATTCTACATTTAAAGAAATATAATTGAAAACCCACTGTAACAGACAGAGAACAGATGGCGAGACACCATATTATGACCCTGAAGGCTGGCTAAATAAAGAAAGCCTTCTGGTATTGGTCATAGTTTCTGCTATATAAACTTATCAAACAAAAAGCAACCAAAAAAACAAGGAAATCATATAAAAAATTCCTTATATTTTATGATCATGGCTTCCAGATAATGAACACACACAGTTTGGGTCAAAGAAAATTAAGATATTACAAAAAAGTTAAACATTGGAAACTCAGTTATAACTGAAAATATATCGATCGATAGACGTGTGGCTCAATAGAAAAAAAGAGAGTCGATAAAAGTTCGATAAAGAAACGCAGTTTTCCTTCCTTCTCATTGTAGCCTAGCATCTAGGTTTATGCTAGTCACTGCTTCCTCCCAACCAATCACAATCGCGGACCCAGGCACGCCGTCACAAAGCGCCGCCCTCTCAAACGACAACACAGAGCACATGAAGATGTCGCAGCAAGGAGAGACGGAGGAAATTGTTCCAAAGAAGGGTTTTTGTAGTTCGGCAGTTTGGCAGTATTTCGGTCATGGCAAGTCGGACAAAAAACAAGCCACAGTCATCTGTAAAATGTGTAGGGAACGAAGTCTGATAACACAACCAACTTTTTTTTATCATCTCAGCCGCTCACACCCGCAGGAGTACGAGCTGTGTAGGCCCCGACGCGGCACTCCTCCGAGGAATCTTCGGGAATTTCGGGAAAAAAAAAATATATATATATTCAGTTCTGGGCAGTTTCCCACGTAGTTCTAACAATTGAGAGAAAAATGCTGAGGGGCCAGCAACTTCAAAGTGTGTGTGTGGGGGGGGGGGGGGGGGGGGGGGGGGGGGGGGGTCCATTTAATTAATTAATATTTATTTTGGTCACTTTTCTGGTCACTTTAGTTTATTCTTTGTCAGTATTTAATAACATAACTCAGGTCTCTTAAGTTATTTTTCTTTAAAACAATTCTGGTATGGTTAAAAAAGTTGGTTAAATAAATATTTAATTAGAAGTCTGTGTTTGTGTTCTTTACTAAAATTAAATAATTTAGCAATATCATAAAAAGTCCAGGCAGAGCTGCACATAAGATATGGCTTAAAATCTTTTCAATAATTATCGATATCGATCAATATGCATTTTTTTTTTATCGATAAGCTTTTTTTCTATATCGCCCAGCCCTATGAAAAAGTATGTAAAGGTTTCCATCTTAATGGTTTCTTAGTGTTTGCCTGTAGACCACACAATCAATCAAACAGTTGCTACTTCACAAGGGTTAAGGTATTTACTAGAGTTGCACCGATGCCATTTTTTGGCCCCAATACTGATACCCGATACCTGGCTGTGGAGTTTTGGCTGATACCATACCGATACCATCTGTTTGAAATTGATGTGTTTGTGTATATATGAAGAACTGTGTACTAATTGGATGTAAAATAATTGCCATCACAGCTTTGTCAAGCTGCTGCCTACCTTTGTGAAGCAGGAAAAAGACTAATACAAAGTGAATCCAGTAGAACTTTTTATTGCCTACCTATATTATACCTATATTGATTTTTAAACCCAAGTTCCTTGTGATTTATGGAGTATTTGTTTACATTGCAGCTGCTTTCCTGAGGTGGGTAATGTGTGGGGAGGTGTGTTAGACCCTGTGGTGTCAGCTCAGTCTGATCACTAAAACGTGTCTGTCTGTGTGGTCTGCATGTGGTACTTGCAGGAATATCTCTTCATACCGCATAGTGCTGGGTATGGAGAATCCTGCGTAATACAGCATTTTTAGGGGGATGAAATCATCAACCAATGAACTCAGAGAGCCTTTAAGCTAAACTAGTATGTGTGGATGTCTTTAAAAAGAGACTGGAAAAAAGATCCATCTATAAGTCTAAACCTGAGACCTCAGACAAGGTTTGTATAATTACTTTGAAATCTATTCCTTATTAGTATAATTTTTTTCATTACATTTTATAAAACACTTTAAGGTATCCTTTCATTTTGTTTGTTCTTTAGATTTTTCCGACCTTGACATGTTATGAACAGTAGATTGTTCTAAATACTTCTTAGATACAGGTCTAAGCGCCTGTAATGACTAAAAGTTGCACAGTGTGGCTTTGACATGTTATATTCTGAATAACGGTGGGCTGCCATTCAGTTGGCGTTTGACAGGCAAGGGCCATTTTGAATGGCTGCTATTGTAGGGCTAGTACATATTTTTTTATTACAAATAATGGTATTATAATTCACTTTTGTAAACAACTTTTACCTATTCAGAGTGTTTATGAGCTGTTTAATTGATTTTTGTTCTCAGGAACTGTCTTATTTGATTATTAAACTTAGATTATTTGCACCCCTGTTCTGTATGGGAACTACTTTTTCTCAGGTATGTGAACCGGCCATTTCTAATATCCGGAAACTCTGTGATGGTAGGAACACGGATACATTTCAGCTACAGATGGTGAACATGTCACACATCTTCATGCCCAAAAACCTTAAATATCCCTTTAAGGTTTCTTTTTCAAATACCGTTACAACCTGAACAAAAGGTGGTAAAAAAAAATTATATACCAGTTAATATAACATGTGGATTATATGCAATGTAACCCTTTTAGCCAAACTTTACATTAACTATCATAAACAGCAGAATTATAGTTATGCTTCTTTACATACCTGATTTGGGGGAGTTTTGGGCATTTTTGAAAAGCCCAGTGGTAGGATAGAGGAACTGAGGAGCAGTTGGTGATTGTTATAGTTTTCTTTGCAGCTGTGTTTTTTGGCAGGCAACCAAAATCCACTGTGGTTGAAGAAAACTGAAGTGTTGGTAAGTGGACCTCAGCATGCAACTTCACAATGTCTTGTTGTTGATGTTCCAAGTATTTTAATTTGAGGGTCTATGAGACATGCAGGAAAATATCTGGTTATTTCACTGCCGGATCTTTTATACGTTCATCCTTGCAGTTCTTCTTCTTTTTGAAAGCAAAACTTGAAACAAAACTCCAAAACTTGAAGGCAAAACCTTTTTTTTTTGGGAGTATGGGAAGCTGAATTATTTTTGAAAGAGGCTTAATACACAGACCTAAAAGTAAAAGTTTGGCAATTTTTAGAAAATACATCCCTGAAAAGACGTCTTATTTTACAGTCATTGAATTCAAAATTATTTTACCAGATGACAGAGTTTGAGAAGACCAGACAAATATGACAGTTAGTAAACTAGTAACATTTTTCCAGGTCTCCCTCGAAAAAGAGATTTTATCTCAAGGGACATCCTGGTAAAATAAAGGTAAAATAAAAAAAATAAAATAAAAAAAATTATAAGTTTAAAGCAAAATATAACTAAATATCCTTAATGTTTTATAATTACATTATTTTAGAATAATTTGGGTTGATAAAGGAAATATCTGATCGATTTTACATCTCTAAAAAAGCAGATAGTCATTGTCATGTGCAATTTTACTTTAACAACCCTTTAATGAACCCACCACCAGGCTTCCATACAGGAGAGGGTTTGCATCTTATTTATTTAAACCGTCCATCATTGGAGCTTTTATACGGATAATATTTAGAGAATAAAACAATATGTTTAAATATTTTTAATAGCTTATGGTTGACTATAACTACTACAATCCAATGTGTTAGACTTCCTCAAATTTCTTTCCACATTAGGAGAAATCTAAAGCACTGTGAATTGAAATAATAAGGAAGAACTCTCTTATTAAAGATTTCTTTTGTTTTTGTTTTAAATGATTCAGGTTGATTTCAGATTATTATAACCCGAGTAAATACAAAATGAGGTTTCCAATGATTGTTAACTTTAGGAGAAGTAGAGAGGTTGATGGTTCCATCTTTAATGCTACGTTCACACCTAAAGCAGCAGAGGCAGCAGAAGCAGCTGGTTTACATGCAAAGTCAATGGTTGATGCGCATCAAGGAGCAGCGAAACGTCCTGCAGCGCGTTTTGAGCAGCTGAAGCAGCGGCTCACGAGCCTCTGAGCATCTGAGGTTGCTGAAGCGCTTCAGAAGCAGCAGCTGCTGGAGTTGGAAAAATTGAACTTTTGCTGCTGGACGCGCCACATCAACCAATCAGAGAAGCTGATCTGGGAGCTGGCAGGGAGACAGACACAGCACTGCTGATTGCAGATCGCCATGATCACTCCTCTGAAACAGTTTATTAACGCCTAAATTAACTTAAAATGTCGAAACCTGCCGGCATAATATGTCCGCTTTTATTATTCTGGTGCTGGCAGTTTGGATCACGTAAGTGAAAAACGCAGCGAACAGTAGTGGAAAACCACAGAGGCGACTGGGCCAGAGGCTACTGTTGAACGGGATTCCCAGTGACAGAGCACCGCTGGTGTACAAGGGGTCTGAGTGGCTCCGATAGAGAAATAATATTTGAAGGCAGGGTGGTAATCTGGATGAACTGACTGTTTTCAAAGTTTTCAGGTGGACTTTATAACTTAAAAACATTAAAATTACTTTTAACCACTGATCAAAGCAAATATTGCTGCCATTGTTACAGGCAAAGAAAGGATAGGGTAGCTCCGCCCAACGCGCATCAGACCCACTTTTTGACCACACAGCCAGAGCCGCAAAGATGCTTAAGCCGCGCGTCAGAACTAAACTTGTACAAGCATCAAAAATGAAGCAGCAATTTTGCTGCTTCTGCTGCGTACGGTCTGAATGTAGCATTACACTATCATTGAAGCAGCAGAGCAACCTCAGACTATCACACTACAACCACTACGTTTAGTTACCAGTAAAATGTTCCTTTTTAAGAACAATGGAAAAAATCTGCCTTGCAAAATTACACATATGGTTCTAAAAATATATATTTATTAACTTAATTTATTTCATTATTAAAATAATTTGGCCTGTTGGTTTTTTTTTTTTTGTTCAAATAGATTATTTTTCTCTTGACATTTAAAATCGTGGTATAAATCCTTTTATATTATTGTTGTTATTTTTTTTACTGTAACCGAATTAAAAAAAGCCAATTATATATTCTCAAAGCTGCATTACTCTAAAATATTTAACACCATCATTAGACTTACCTTATCTAAAATACACGATACTAAGTCGGTACATAAAGATGGATCAAAGCAGACCCAGAGCTCTAATTGACCTTCATCCTTCACAACCATAAACTGGAAAAAGAACACAGTCATTTTAATACAAAATACAAGATTGGAGTAGAAAACATACAGTAGATCTTATATCTGAAAGGCTTTCTAGAAAACTTTTTTAGAAAGCTTGTAGATGTGAAAGGAAAATAATTTGCCCTCTGAGTCCCAGACCATATAGGTCATTTCAGATCGTGCCAACTTGCTTTTTACTTTAACTTCCTATTTATATTTCTACCTACAGAAATTTAAGTTTTACACTTTTTTTAACATAACCTTAAATTTTTTTAGTTTAAGAACCTAAATATAATTGTTACCTAAGTTTATTAACTTTTGAACTTTACTTTTTTAACTTTTTAATCAGCTTTTTACCTTTATTTCTTGACCTATTTTTTTCCAACTTAATTTACAGTAGGTAATATATCATTCAAGGGCTCCTCTAATTGGTCAAATGCCAAAATAAGATGTACAGCCATGTAGCAAGATCTTTGCTGAATGGCTAGATATAGATCTTGTGCTTCTAGACCTCACTGAGGGACGGGGGGACTCCATTTGTAAGGGGTATGCAAATGATCAAAAATGGTGACTTAGCCTATGGGTTAAAGTTTCAGCGTACAATGGCACTAAAGCAACTGTAACAAACCTTGGTTGTGGTCGAGTTGTTTTCTCCGGGAGACTCACACAAAGAGAAAGGCTCTGTAACACTGAGCTCCAGCCTCAGAGGCAAAGGGGAAACATTGAGTAAGACTAGCCTCTCATACACAGGCAGGAGGCTCCCCTTAACCTGTGAGATAGAGGCAGAGTGGAGAAAAATGGTGTGCTGATTTGTTTAAGCCGGGCATACTCTGTACGATTTTTTCAATAGTTCCGAAACTTTGCGGTTTCATCTTACTGTGAGATCCCAGTTCACAATGTATATTCTCCCTGTGCTCTGATGCGATCTAGCTGCTCACACTGTACAGCTAAAAACCATGTCGGACTCAGCTCCGCAGTGAGATGTAGAGTAGAAGTGCATATGTGCTGCCTTGGCAATTTGTGGAATTATGTGCCTAAAGCCCTAAAAAGATACGGCGACGGTGCACTAGTGGCTCGTTTTTTTGGACAGTAGGCTGACAGTAAAGGAGGTATGAGAGGGGGAGAGACATGCGGCCAAGGACCATCGGGCGGATTCGAACCTGGGTGAGGACTAAGGCCTCAGTACATGGGCTTATGTCACCGAAACATGCCCCGGCGACGGCATATTTGAACAAAGACATGGACGAGCAAACATGGCTACTACGGTCTGTCAATTTTACAGAAAGAACTCAATTACACTCGCACCCCTCAGGCAGGGGTGCGAGTGTAATGGAGGAAGAAAAGGGAGGGGAATCCTTGTTTGCCCACTGAGCGATTTGACCACAACCACCTTACAACAGCCCACTGAATTTTAAACATGTTTGATTTTCTCCCGACGTTACGATTCCTGATCGGTCGGTGGTCGTGAGAGGCTGATCGCCCCTCGTTACCCACTGTACACTACACAAAGCACAAGCAGGCTGAAAGTCGGCCCAATCGGAAAATTATCGCATGACTGAAGAATCGGCCAGAATAGGGCAAAAATTTGTACAGTTTACGCCCGGCTTTACACTTTAGACAGAGCTAGATAACCAGTTAGTCTTGGTTTTATTTGGCCAGTATTTAAACCCAGTGTATCCCAAAAGGTAGATTTTTGATAGATTTGGTCAAAACCAACCTTCTTTACGTAAAAGTTCAGCTGCTTTGAGGAAATGCTGAGCTTTGGAGAAACAAATCGACACATTACTTCCACAGACATGATGGTCTCCTGAATACCATGTCCACCAATGATGCTGTCGCACACAAGGCGCTCGTGAAGAACCTGGAAATATAAAGAAAAACAGTTTATACATTTAGAGCGTTGAGCAAAATCATCATACATGTTACAGAAATATTTGATCAATATGGTATGTGATGGACACGTACTATAAAAACACGGGTGTGTTTGTTGGGGGAGTGCTTTTCTAACTACTATAAGGCAGTAGTATTGGGTCCAGCAGCAACGATGCGTTGATGCATGCATCGAGCCTATTGAGCAAAACACTGTATTGGTGCGTGTGTCGTTTTAAATAAGTCATGTGACCGATACAGGAGTTGTTTCAAACTGACTGACTCACTATACTATGTTTAAAAACGTTTTCTATCCAAGAAAAACAATTTGATTGCATCGACTCGTTGACTCGAAGGCAATTCCTCACACTAAGCATGCTTATAGCGACAGTAGAGAGGAAAAACAGCAAGAAACCTCCAGCAGAACCAGGCTCAGTAAGAGCGTCCATCTGCTGAGGCCAACTGGGGTTCAAGGAGACAGAAACAGAGATACAAAAGCTAACTGTAAAAGTTGGCCCCGTCCAGGAAACACACAGCCAGGCAGACGAGCTCAAAGTCAGCCCTTATGTCAGAGGATGAAGAGAGCACATCCAGCCAGTCACAGTCAGAGAAACAGGACTACACTGAAAAACAGGCCGAGCTCCAACATCTATAAACAAAGGTGTTGATGCCAGCAGCACAGCTGATATTTCTCTTCAGGATGGAGCCACAGCAAAACAGGAACAGACGACGCAAAGCTACTGATCAGGCTCAGGAGTTATCACTCAACTTATCTGACTTAAAGTTCATTTCAAATTGGCTCTAGGTTTATTTACCCCTATAAACTTTCCCCTAAATTTTTACGTTATGATATATGTTTACGTTATTTATTGGCTGCATCTAAAAATATCAAAGATATTTTCAATTTAAACATAGATATGAAGATGTGAAGCACAGTCAAACACGTGCGTCTCAAATGTCAAACACAATACGAATACACATCGTGGTTTAACCGATCTATCTTAAAGCATCCCACGACAACCATCACCAAGACTTCTATAATGCAGTTTTACTGGCTTTAGTTATGATGTGACAGTGACTGCTGTTGCTTAACGTCCACTCTTGCACAAAGCCAGCCAGACACCCACCCTCCCACCTACCCACTCACACACACATACTGGGTCTACAATGTAAACTCCTGAGTTATTTACTGTCACATGTAGGTGCTTCGGCCGGAGAGTAAGTGTTGGGGCCGGTATGATTTAAGGAGGGTCGGCCCTCACACGCTGAAATTAGGACCGGCCCACCAATGACATGCCCGGTATCACAGATTACCAGTCCGAGCCTGGTACTAGGTCATCTAATCAATTCAGTTTAGTCTATCAAATTACCTGCCTGTAGTGTCTTTAAATATCAAGCAGGTGTCAGTATTCTGTGAGTCAATATCAACGCAGTATCAATTCAGTTTGGCAATGAGTCAAAACGCTTCAAGATGTCTCATTAACACATCACTATAAGGCACCTTTCTATTGTCATGAGCTGCATGATGGTATACAGAGGCGTTATTGATCAGTTGTCACCTTGGGGGAATCAGAGGATGCTGTGAGCACCATGTCAACAGAGCAGCCAGGCTTTAGGTCCAGACAAGCAGGGCTGACGCTGATCATTGTTTTCTCTTTGCTGGATGAAAGTCTTTGTCTCTGAGCATCTCTCCGTCCAGAGCAGCCGATTGGAGGCAATGGCGTTCTACCGGAGATGTCTACAGGCTGTCGTGGAATAGCCAGGATGCCACCGACCTTCCAGAACATTCGGTGAGGACGCAGACCATGGTTGGTCAGCTTGAATCGATACTGGTATGGAGTATCGCTTCAAAGACAACAATAATACGAACATGACATGCTGTTCACATTTTCGAACCACATGTATTAAACTAAGTTCCTACCAGAAGTGTGTCCCCAGGTCGAGGTTAGGCCCCAAAGGTTTGTCACTGACTATTGTTGTCCCGGTGCCTTTGGCTGACAGGGAGACGGTGTGTGTCCGACTGTCCCGCACAAACACTTGCAGCTCATCCAGGAAGGGAAGCATGTCCTTCAGATGTGCCACTATCTTTAGATTTAGCTGGCTCTCCGGTGGCAACACCCCTTCACTGGGTTCCACACGCCAGAAGGAGTTTTTACGGGTCTACAAAAAAAAGAGAAACAGTAGCACAAGCTGAAGATGGTCGAGTAGAGATAATTTTCTATACACTGTACGATTTTGCCCTTTTTGGGGCGATTCTCCAGTCGTGCGAGAATGTTTTGATCAGAGCGACTTTGAGCCTGTTTATGCGTCGTGTAGAGTACAAGGGGTAATGAGGGGTGATCAGCCACTCACAACCACCTCCCGATCAGGAATCATACGGTAGGGAGAAAATCAAACATCTTTGAAATTCAGTCGGCCTTCGTCAGGTGGTTGTAGGCAAATCCCTCAGTGTGCAAACAAGGATTCATCTTCTTCTTTATACAAGCCTCCAATCAAAAAAACTAACTGGTGATCTCCAATGGAGGATTTTACACGTCGCCATCGCCACAAACTAAGTTTTATTGGTTATTAATCGGCGTGTTTTAAACGAGTGTCCTTTCTATGGTCTGTCTGAAAATGTGTTCCACGTTTTTATGGAATGCCAAATGACCAAAGATAATTTTTTGCCTTTTCATTAGTGTTGTTAGTGTTTTTGGGACAGTTTTTACAAACGCACTTTTCATAGGAGGAGTTTGCGAGAATAGAAAAAAATGAGCCAAAGGCCCTACTTTTAAATTCTTTAATCAGTGAAGCAAAGATGGCCGTTTACCTGTCCCATAGAGACAGACTGCAGGAGGGACCATAGCAGGGGTGTGAGTGAAATGGAGTTCTTTCTGTAAAATTGATAGACCGTAGTAGCCACGTTTGCTCAGCCATGTGTTTGTCCAAATACGTTGTTGCCTTTTCATTTTAGGGCTTTCAGCACAAAATTGCACAAATTGCCAGGGCGGCATGTTTCACTCTAGTGAGCTTCATATTCCTCTTCTACTCGTTTGGCTTCCGGATAGATTAGTCAGAGTAGTGCCATCTCACTGTGGAGCTGAGTGTTTTTTAGACGTACAGTGTGAGCAGGTAGATCGCATCAGAGCATCGGGCCTCACAGTATGAGAACATACATCATGAGCTGTGAACTTTTAAACCCTGCGGCTACATCGTACAGTGTGAGCTGTAGCTGTGTGCAACGATTGAAAGATTCGTACAGTGTATGCTCGGCTTTAACAGTAAGATTTGACGATGGAAGATGTGGGTAAAAACAAGAGAGAGAAGGTCTGTTTGTTATGCCTTGATGTCGGACTCCAACAAACAGAACATTGACTTCTGTTTCATCTTAAGTTTAAAAAAGTTTGTTTTTATCTTAATTTAAATCTAATCATTGTCTGCATACTGTATTAGTCATCTAACAATGAAGGCTTTAAAGGATCATTTCTTTTGGTCACTGTACCATAGAGGTGTTGAAGTGAGCAGGAATGGGAGATTGGTTGAGTAGCGATAGCGTTCGAGTTTCATCTGTCAGAACAGGAATACTGCCAAACTTCAGCTGTGTGATGGGAACCCAAACGATGGGTCCCTGTCCGATACACGACAGAACAACCTCCTGAGACAGAACAGAAAAAAGGACATTTGGAGAAATGATGTACTTGGCAAAAAGTCCTAAAGTTGCAGAAGCAATGACATCCTGGTGGAAATCACTGACCAGAGGCTGATAAAGGCTGCCAAACACCACGATGCGTAGAGAGGTCTGTAGCCTTCCTACAGCATGAGCCGTCATGGAGACAAGAATCTCCTTTGAGCTACCAGGAGGAACAATTCCTCTGGGAACAGAGCTGCCGCAGGTTAGTGTTGTACTTTCCTCAGTTTCCTAAAGATGCGGCAAAGAAAGGTATTCAGGTTTTAGTATCTTTTGTAACATATTCTGCATCAAATTAAAACCTTTTAAAGGAAAGGTCCGGTCATATACAGAATTCAAACCTCTGAAATCACTTTAAATATCAAATTATTGCATACTGTTCAATAAATTATAGTGTTTCTAATTAAGAGTAATTTTAATTGGATTGTGCTTTACTGGAGACATCATGTTTGTCAAAGAACACTACTTCCACCTAATGGTTTGCGATGTCACGTTGTGGTATCAGCTGTTGATCAAGTCCCAGTGCTGTATCTGGTGTTTATCACAACGTGCTATTATCCAAGTCATCTTGAAAACATTCTTCTTCCAAATGTTGGCTGCATATTATGTGTTTTTTCTCTGGCTAGAAGTTCAATGGCAAATCCTCCCTCTTCAAGTTGGCAATCCAACGATGAACCAGTTGTGGATTATGAATCGGAAAGGTGAAATAACTATTGTTTTTCTTCACTTTTACCCAATTAATACAGCATCCAACTGCCGTGCATGTTTGACTATAGCTCTGGTGAATTTCAATGGTGAAGTCCTCTGGAAATCTTCAATAATTGTTGTTGATTATAGATGTGTCTATTAGTTCCCATTGATTTTGCTTGTAAAGCAGGGAGAATGGCGCTAGGCTTACCGCACCGTGACGTCACTGTCGGAAGATGTCAGGAGTGAGGTGTTACTATATTTTGGCAAAAACTGCCACTCTGACTCAGTGATTGCGATGAACATTATTGTTTTTTTTTGTTTTTTTTTACTGATTAACGCTAAATTGATTAAATCGCTGCAAAAGTATTAGTTTTAAGTATAAATAATGACCTATTGATCATTCCTTGCTGACCGGACTTTTCCTTTAAAAGGTAGTAGCTAAACATATAAGGAGAAATTGGAAGTTTATTGGAAATCAGGTTCCCGGTTCATCAACCCTTAGTAGCTCAGAAACAGTCCCAGTTGAGTCAGTGGAATTCTACTGTTAATGAGATGTAGAGACTTTTAGCAGAAGGCAGGTACTCCAAACGGATTACAGCATGGTGGCCTCGGTCTGAAAGGAGAATCCCACATTGTTGGGAATCTCAGTGAAGTTGTGATCTAAATTCTGTATAATATACAAACAGAGATGGATGTTTTATGGAACTAGCTTTGCTTATAAGTGATAACCATAATATTTTAAATATAAGACATTGAGGCAATCTATTTTCTCTAATTACTCTTAAGTAATTAGTCTGTATTTGTCCACATTAGCATACAGTCACTAATTAACCAGACCTGATATTGCCTTTGCTCTTGATATTAATATCTAATCACTCCACATCAGGAAGGCTGCAAATATGCTATATTTAAAATGGTGATTTTAATGTTTTATAATTCAAAATGTTGTTTTCTAAATCGGTTATAAAGGAGGACATACATTCTGGGCAACTTTTCTTTTGGTGTCTCCTTAATGATTTAGTTTCTTCTGTCTTAATGGGAAATTTAAATAAAACCATTTTAATCAACTCTGTTTTCTATCAGTTCATCAACTTGATAGGTCCAGCAGAACATTCTGATCTGGGTCAGTGGTAATCATTTAACCTTTGTGGGCTGGCTAGGAAAAAATATAACTGTCTAAAGCCCCATTTACACAACCCTATGAAAACCACTCTTTGCCGAGCTTGGATCAGTTAACCGTGCCAAACTAGGTTCCTTATGACCGTTTAAACTTTACGCTAGTACGTTCCTCGCCTCCTAGTGATGATTTATGGTACTGCTGCTCTCTAGGGAAACAAGCAAACCAACATGGCGGTGTCAGTAAGATTCAGGAAGTTTGATTTTAATTGTGATACTTCCTTGTTTGCGAAGAGTCATGCGAAGAACGCAGTCGTCGGTGAATTTACTTCACAGAGTCAGCTTTGGGAAGTGAATACGACAAATTATAGTCTAATCAGGGCTTACAGACGCAGGAAATGATGACAGACATTGATGTTCAGAATCATCACTTTAAATTGTGTAGCATGGTAGGGAAGCTAGTATTGTTATGAATGTCTAAAATTTCATGATTACGGAGGCTGACTGTAAGGAGATGAAACTGTCTGCTCATGCGCTCTTTGTTATCTGAGAACCAAGCCAGAACTGAACCGCGCTGAGCAATACTGTTGAACTAGTACCATGTTAGCACAGTTCGGTTGTGTCTGGCGTGGTCCGGTTCAGTTGTGTGAGTCATTTACACTCAACAGTTATCTCTGTTACTGTGCTCGGACGGATCTCGGTATGGTTTCAAAAGGTAAGTGTAAATGGGATTTATGTCAAACAATGTAATTCCTTCAGACATTAGACAAACCGACTGATGTTGATGTGTTTTTCCTGTTTATGTCTCAATAACAATCAGTCAGAGACAGCGTAAAAAAGTCAACAAGCCCAACAACAATAAGGCGTTATTCTTATTTAGGTTTCTGCATGTTTAATTTCACCTGATCTAGCACTCCGTAACAGGCAGGAAGGCTGCTGGTGTTGATCAGCTGCACATTCTGTTCATAGGGAAGACCCAGGTAACATCTTCCAAAATCCAAACACACAGGCTCTACCCTCAGCTCTGGAACAACACACCTATAGACAGAGAAAAGAGATGAGGAAGGGGGAGAAAAGAGCAGGATTTATCTGGAATCAGAACAATGTTTGCACTTGTAGTTGCCAAAATTAAATAAAATAAAATCAGCTTTGAATTAATGGATAAAACTGAGAAAAGGTTATTTTAAAACACTGATTTTATATAATGTGTAGCATTATTGTATAACTGATAATTTTTTGTATAAGCTCATATTTTCACTGTGTTACTGAAAGCAACACCCCATGTAGGTCTGTTAGTTCTAAAGACAAAAGGAACAGAAACCTCCTTCTGCAGCAGCTTTCAAATAAACAATGAATGAAAAACAGGCTTAGTAATAACTTTAAGACAGAAAATCATTACAGGAGGGTGATGATAATGAAGACGACACACTGCAACAGCTTCTAACATCACGATTTAATTGAGCTTACTTCTATAGCGCAAATTCATAACACATGTCATCTCAAGGCACTTTACAATTCAACCAGATCATCCAGTCAAATTGATTCGAGGTTTTTTTCTAAGGAAAACCAGCTGATTGCATCGGTTCATTGACTCAAAGGCAATCCCTCACACTAAACAAACTTGTAGCAACAGCGGAGAGGAAAATCTCAGTTTTAACAGGAAGAAACCTTCAACAGATGATGGCCGTTCAGTGGCGCAGTGGGTAGCACTGCTGCCTTGCAGCAAGAGGGTTCTGGGTTCGATTACGGGCCTCTGTCTGCATGGAGTTTGCATGATCTCCCTGAGAATGCATGGGTTCTCTCCGGATACTCCGGCTTCCTCCCACAGTCCCAAAAACATGACTGTTAGGTTAATTGGCTTCTCTAAATTCTCCTTAGGAGTGAGTGTGTGCATGAATGGTTGTTTGTCTCTTTGTTGCCCTGCGATGGTATTAATGCCGTTCAGGTCGGATGAATACGACCTGGCAGTTCAGACACAGGTTGCATTTAAAAAGATCAGATGCATATCGGATTCAGGACCACAGAGCCAAGCAGCCTGGGTCGCACTGGAAAAAATCGGATCTGTGTTGTTCAGACTGTCATGAAAAGATCAGATACAGGTTGCATATGGGCAAAAAAAATTGGATTTGAGTGACTTCAGGCTGCAGTGTGAATGTAGCCTAAAGCTACTGCCACACCTTGACAATTTAGCCAGTGTATGCCTGACGTACAGAAAAATCTGGCAAAAACGCTGGCATAAGTTATGAGCATGTAAAGCAAGCAGAAACATGCTGGCATACGCTGACATACGATTTTCTGTATACAGTAGCACCTATTTAAGATCTTGTCTTATATACTTATATTACATATACATATATTATGATAAATATTTACATTTATACAATTTGGTATAAAGTTAGACACAATGAATTTGCGTATTTAAGACTTCAATCTTTCTGCTGTGAGGATGTCCTACCTGGCATTGATCGGCAAAATGCTGACTTCCTTTCCGACTCCTTCAACATCTACTGCCAGCGCTAGTTCATATTTCTTCCCTTTGTTGGAGCAAAGAGTCACCTGGACAAGGAAAAAAAAGGCTTCACAGCTTTTCACAGCAAAAAGGTCCTGCAGCGCGTTGTGAGCAGCAGGAACAGCGCCTTATGAGCTCCTGAGCATCTGAGGCGCTTAAGAAGCAGCAGCTGCTGGAGTTGGAAAAACTGAACCTTTGCTGCTAAACGCGCCACCTCAATCAATCAGAGAAGCTGATCTGGGAGCTGGCAGGGAGACAGACGCAGCACTGCTGATGCAGATCGTTATGATCACTCTTCTGAAACAGTTTATTAACGTCTAAATTAACTTAAAATGTTGAAACCTGCCGGCAAAATATGTTCGCTTTTTTATTCTGGTGCCTGCAGTTTGGATTACGTACGGGAAAAAACGTTAACATCTATTTCCATCCGATGCGAACAGTCCCAGAAAACTGCAAAGAGGCGACCAGGCCAGAGGCTGTTGTTGAACGGGATTCCCAGTGGCAGAGCAATAATATTTGAAGGCAGTATGGTAATCTAGATTAACTGACTGCACAGACAAAGATTTCAGGTGGACTTTCTCACTTAAAAACATTTTAAAACTACTTTTTAACCACTGATCACAACAAATATATCTGCCCTTGTTACAGGCAAAGAAAGGATAGGGTAGCTCCACCCAATGCTCATTGGACCCACATTTTAGACTGTGCAGCCAGAGCAGCAAAGATACTTCAGCTGCGTGTCAGAACTAAACTTTTACAAGCACAAGCAGCACGCATGTTTATGCTGCTCCTGCTGCATGCGGTGGTCTGTTGGTGGTCAGAAGCCCTGCTTGCTCTGATTGGATGACAGCCTTTTTTCTGTTAGTTTGCCATGTGAAAAGGCCATGCTTTTTGGTACTTTGGGGTACTTGTTGATAACTTTACCACTGCAGGGCATTTACCATTTTATCCAAAATAAAATAAAATGCTTAGAGGTATTTTGGATAATTTATTTTGACTCATTAATTGATACTAATAGTAAATGCTAGTAAGTATTAGAAAAACAGTAAACTATTACATATAAACAGTGCCTTTCTGATGGAGTCATAACCTTGTATTCTATGTATTTAGTTAATTTGAAATTTATTTAGATTTTTTCATGTTTAATCCATTTTAAGGAGGAAAAAAAGAGCTCATTCTGACCACTTTTCATCCCCCGTTTTTTTGAGACTGGTGTTTAGATGCAGCATACGTATCATTAGCAGTGTGCTGTGATTTGCTCAACATAATTTCCAGTGTCTTTACACAGCGGATATAAAGTTACACAGGCAGAAGCAATGAAGGACATTCTGGAGGTGAGTCTTGAAATGTTCAAATTCCCCCATTTGTTTAAATAGAAAAAAAAGGTGCTTTGTGGAGAGTGCACTCTTGTCAACATTTCAGGTTAGCGCAACATGAAAAGATCAATTAAATATAGGGCTGCAACTAACGATTATTTTGCAAATTGATCTATCAATTATTTTTTTGATTAAGTAATTGATATTGGATAGCCAAAGGTTTCTTTAAAAAGATTTTTTACTGATTCAAACCAGGTGAAACTAGAACGCTTCCAATTGAGGAGTGCTGGATAGATTGGCATCCAGCAGATTGGCAGACGAAAATGTTTTTTTACAAATTTGATATAATTACTGCTCCAAATGGGTTGCTCTGTCAGCTACAAGCATGTTTTACAGTCTCTCTACTAACAATTAATTAATTACTAAATTAGTTGACGATTATTTCAATAACAATTAATCAAGATTAATCTGATTAAATGTTACAGCCCTAATTGAATCCCAACACACACATTGTAACGGGTGACGATTCAGTTAAATTTCAATTTAGTTTTTCATTTATAGCACCAATTCGCAACACATGTCATCTCAAGGCACTTTACAGAGACAATTCAACCAGATCATACAGTCAAACTTCTTAAATTAGTGTAGATTATGTATTGATCTCTCCAGATTAGAACTTAATTTACACAGATGACTTAACCACCTGATATTAGAAACAATTCTCAGAGCTGTAATTCCTCCCCACCAGCCCAGCATCTCCAACCCAAGCTAAGTCGCAGTGACGGTACCTTGATGGTGACATTAGACATGGCGTCCACAGTACCAGCTTCAGGGTGGACTGTGAACTCCGCCGGCCGGAGGTGGGCATGTCTGGCTGCATACCCCCGCCAGTTCTTTCGGGATAAATCAGACACCTGCTTGGCACTACTGACACTGGGGGATCCCGTCCCATCCCCCATGACGTGTAAAGAAAAGGTCATAGGAACAAAGGATGTGTTGAAGAGGGTACACGTCTGTGTGGCTGCAAAACCTAAAGCAGAAACAGTGTAAAACATGTAAGAATAAGATGTTCTGATGGAAATCAAAGCAAATGGAATAATATTCCTCACCAAAAGCTACATCGCCAAAATTGAGATCTAATACATCAAAGTGGTGCGAGGGGACAACCACACAACCCCTAAAGCAATAAAGAAACATGAAGGCAACCTTTCAATCACTGTCAATAGTACATAAATACGAAGGGCTCTTTATGCAACTGAAAGAAACAACAAATGTGATGACATTTAAAAGTTTGCTGACATGTCATCCTCACCTGAAGGTCAGGGTAAGAGTCTCAGGCTGCCCCGTGACAGTTAAAAGCAAATCCTCAGAAAAACTTCCCAGGGTCAGACTGTGGAAGGTGACTTCTACCGTCTGGCAGAACCCAGGAGAAACAACACCTTCCTTTGGACTGATGGAAAAACATCGGCCAAATGTGGAGTCAGGGCAGGAAAATCTGAATGGGGCGTCAATCAGTCCTTTGTTTGTAATTTGCACCTAAAACAAAAAGTATTTCATTTCCGTAAGCAGCATCAGGTATGAGTGAAATTATGTTTTACATGAAGCTATTGATGCATCATCCAACAGTGAACTTAAATACAGAGGTTAGCATTTTGGGAACAAGTGTCATGTCTTATCAAACTGAATTTAAATCTGGACTTTGATTGGGACATTCTGACACATGCGAACTTTGATCTAAACCATTCATTTTTAGCTCTGGTTGTATGTCAACTGTAGCTGTGCTTAAACATGATCCGTACTATTTGCAGACTGAGAGGTTGTTCCTTCATGCTGGATGTTCAGCTCCATCTATTGCCCCATATACTCTGATCAGCTTTAATTTTACTGTGTCAATGTCCCATATTTCTTTGACCTAAACACTTTAGTGTTGGTTTCAGTGTTGCACTACCCTCGACATGTTTGCTGTCCTTCTAGCAGCTTTCACTCTTAGCCTCTTTCTTGAAGACCAGATCTATGCAGTGAATCTCTATATTAGCAAGTCAAACCATTCCTGAGTTGAAAATCTTTGCATTTGGCTGCTTCTCTAATGAATGCTTTCCTTGACTGGTCGGTTAGTTTTTCTTAACAGGTCAAAGAAAGCTGCTGCTCTCCTAGAAGTCACTTTGTAGCAAAGGTTTTATTTTATCTTATTTTTACGTGAAAATTGTTTTATGCATTTTTTTATTTTTTTATTTTGGTTTATTTGAAATTGATTGCAAGTAAAAATGAGAAAATATTTGGTGTTTCTTTATAGTCATCAGTGCAGAATGAATAAATGGTGCGGCATTTGTTCTATGGTGTTTTTCAGCAGTGAATGAAAATTATCCCTAATAGCTGGATGCAAGTACCTTTAATAGAGGCAGGAGCAGGTGGATCAGATGAGTGGTAATGAGCAACCGGGCAGAGTTAGACAGGTGAATGGAATGAGTAATTAAGCCAGCCATCACTGCCAAGATCATGAGTTTTAAGCTGATCTGTAGTTCTTACCTCATAATGGTCTTTGTCGCCTATAAACACATCTTTCATGTCCATTATGTTAAAGTTGAGCTTGAGTTTGGGACCAAGGCCTTCACCTTTGATCCGAAGGGGTAACGGTGATTCACTGCCTACTCGGAGGGACAACAACATGGAAGAGAACATAACCAGATTACCTTGTTTGTTCAAACAGTGACAATGTTAACACAAGAAACATCAGGGCCCCAAGTTTAAATACCGATGTAGATCTTGTGTCTGTAGGAGTGATGCTTTTTTTTTTTTTTTTTTCACTTTTTTTGTTTGTTTAATAGAGGAATTTGTTTATTCATTTGGTGCAGAGTTTAATTTGTTGAAATTGTTTGTTTTAATGACAAAAATAAATACATCTGTTTTAGCTGTATTATAGCACAGTGGGAGAATATCTCTATTCTCCCACTTAGATTGACTTAACAGATTCTGCAGAGTGGGAGAATTCTCCCACTCTGCAGAATCTGTTAAGTCAATCTCTATTGTTATGCTCTTTCTGCTTTTTCCCATAGTAGCTTCATCTGGTCCGTTCCTGTTTGGCTGTGACACCATCCTGGAGAGAAATATCATATGTGCTGCTGCCATCAACACCTATGTTTTTAGATGTTAGAGCTGGACCTTTTTATCAGTGTAGTCCTGTTTCTCTGACTGTGATAGGCTGGGAGCTGGCTTGGAGCTCGTCTGCCTGGCTTTGTGTTTCCAGGATGGGGCCGCCTGTGGAGCTGGTTGAGAAGTTCCTTTTATATCTATGCTTCTTTTTGTATCTCTGCTTCAGTCTCCTTGAACCCCAGTCGGCCTCGGCAGATGGCCGCTCACACTGAGCCTGGTTCTGCTGGAGGTTTCTTCTTGTTAAAAGATAGTTTTTCCTCTCCACTATTGCTACAAGCATGCTTAGTGTGAGGGATTGCCTTTTAGTCAATGAGTCGATGCAATCAACTGGTTTTCCTTAGATAGAAAACTTTTAATCAATCTGACTCTATGAGCTGGTTGAATTCAAAAGTGAACTGTAAAGTGCCTTGAGATGATGTGTTGTGAATTGGCGCTATATAAAGAAACTGAATTATTCACCCTGCGACAGACTGGCGACCTGTACAGGGTTTACCCCTCCTCTTGAGCATGGATGGATGGATGGAATGTTAATATTCAGATAGTTTCCTTTTGTTTGTTGTTTCCTGCATTAGCTCTCTCTGAAGTCATATTAACATTTATTTCAAAAATGCCCTTTTTTATTTAAATAACATCATAAAATGTTCAACTTTGTGTGTTGGCAGCCTGGGATCTAAAGGGGATGGATCTTTCATGTTATGATGTGACCATCCATAGACAGGTTGTAACAGTACTTATTCTAAGTTTGTAGAAAAAGTATATGAAATAATTTTTTTTATTTATTTTTTTTCAAAAACTATAAACACTGACATTTGTTGTTGTAGGCTTGATTGCTAATAGCCGTTAAATTGAAAAAGATCTTACTGTTGTTTTTTAATATAGTGTCAAAACTAAGGTGTGACATTATTCCCAGCTTTAGCCTTTCCAGACAAATCTGAGCATAAGTTAAAGTTAAAACATCTGCCTATGAGCCTATCACCTAAATAATTTGCTTAATCTAATAAAATACAGAGAGACAAAAGAAATCATTTAAAAAACATTTGCAAGACTGAGTAGGTAGTATTACCTAAATAAATTAACATGAAAATTCCATCGATTTATTACAAAAATAAAAGAATATGCAGGATTCACTTACCTGTAACATCACAGTAAAGAGTGTGTTGATAAACTTTTGCCTCTTCTGGTTTGAAAATAATGTTGAAGGTTGCAGTAGTTTTAGGCCAAATCTCTCCCTTCTGAAGCACAGATTATTATTTTAGTTAAACAATTAGCAGAACAACAACTGAGAAAGAAATAAAACAAATTAGAAAAGGAAAACAACAGTGCTGCAGAATAAAATTCCTTTTTCGTCTGGTTTGGCTGTTAGCAGAGTTTCGGTCTTTTGGACAGATAGAATACTGAACTATGGAGTTCTCTGTTAGGACTTGGCCTCAGCCTCTTAGTTTAAGTGATATTAAGGTTTAAAGTTAGAGGATTCATATTAATAAACCTCTTTATTTGACTAAAGAAATTCATACATTTGAATAAAAATGTGGCCTCTGCCTTTAAACAATTGCTTTGGTGAGCTGGCACCAAATTGCATTCTGGGGTTTAGGCTGTTAGATTTAGGCTGGTTCTCAATATGTGTACTTGTGCGTTCTCGTGCTCGTGTACACATGAAATGTCATCGGCCTCAGCCGTAGATCTGTTCCAGTTCATAAGAACTGCAGGCCGAGAACAGACAAAGTCCCCGGATGTTGTTCTTTACCCAGCATGCATCAGAGCAGACTTGTCCGTTCTTGAGATTGACAGCTGTCCCAGCATGCACTGCGGCAGCAGCAGCTTCCAGGTTAGCGCTAACAGAGCTCAGAGTATTAAGTTAAAAGTTATCTTTTCTGTAGCCATTGTTCTATAAAAGTAAGTTTTAAGATAATTTAAGGTGAGAACATTGTACTTTAAAGTAGTAGGGAAGTCCAATTTCAACTTCAAATAATTTTGACTTAAACATGTATATAAATGTACTCTTTATTATTTAAAAAAAAAATCCTGTCTTAAAATCTGTTTTTTTTTTCCATTATCTTATGCAGGCCAGTTAGTTATACATCAGCCTGAACACCTAATTTCAGCCAATCATATATCAACCGTCATCTGTCAATCTAATTGTTTTGGTCATAGTATCTTGATTCATATGTTGCAGCTAATATACGCAACGGTTGAAATAAGAAATAAGAATCATTCCCTTTCCCATTGAGTTCCGTCCCCGTGTTCACGGGGATGGACGTCTGTGTTTTCTGCAGGCGTAGCGCTAACAGAACTGGCAGCGTTGCGAGGCAAGGGCTCAAACATGTACGGCTGTAATGCTACGTTCAGACCGGACGCAGCAAAAGCAGCAAAATCGCGTCTGCTGCTTCATTTTTGCTGCTTGTACCAGTTAGTTCTGACGCGTAGCTGAAGCAGCTTTGCTGCTCTGCCTGCGCGGTGCAAAAGTGGCTCTGACGCGCGTTGGGCGGAGCTACTCTATCCTTTCTCTGCCTTGCAGCTATATTTGCTGTGATCAGTGGGAATGTGATGGCCAAATCCATGGCCACACTCTGAAGTTGACAAAAGATGGGGGGGCCAGGGCTCAGCAAATTTGGATGCTGATTGGACTGCACCACTGGTCCTTGCTGGCGGGGGAATGTGTAGTTTCTTTCTTTAGATGAGTTTTTGCATTTAGGTGAATATTGGTATTTGGACTTTAATGGTTTTGATTTTCATTTTGTGAGTCTTTAGTTTAGTCAAACTTAGCTGTACTGTTATTTGTTTTGTTTGTAATTGTATTCTGTTTAGTTACCCCTATTGTGTCTAAATTGGTCTGATCGGCCAGTATATATACCCCTGTCTGTCATTTCTTTGTAGGTCAGTTATGTTTGTTTGTACAGCCAGTTTGTTTACATTTTTGCCTGAGTTCAGTTTTGTTTCTTTGACCTCTTTTATGAGCTCAATTTATCTTTTGTCATCTATTTTTTGGGTTAAAATAAAAAAACCTATTTTTCTAATTAATATCCTGTGACTCCTCCTGTTTTTTTAACTCGGTCCATCACATGTGGTGTCAGAAGTGAGGATTTTGAGTTGAGGAGCCAGGATTTTTTTTCTTTTCTCTGTTTTTTTTTTTGTGTGAGCAATTTTTCCCCCACCAACAAACTTTTTGAGCCATGCAGAACGGTCTGCGCCCAAGAAAAGGAAACAAGGTTGAGACCAAAGAGGCTTCCCAGCAATCAGAGAGGGAGGAAATGGAAGGAGGAGCTTCAGCAGCAGCAGCTGAAGCCACTGATGAGGAGGAGCCCAGAGAGCCAACTCTGCATGATATTGCTGGGATTCTTCGGGCTTTCATGGGACAACAGGAAGTTCGGGAGAAAAAGCAGAGAGAAGTTTCTGCACAACAAGAACAGCGCTTTAGGAGCTTGCAACACCAGTTTCGGCTTTTGCAGATGGAAATACAGGCCAGGACAACCCCGCCCCCTGAGCCCACATCAACTGATCCACCACCTGTTACAACTCAAATTGATCAGATTCAAGCAACATCTCAACCTGAGGATTCAGCTTTCAGCTCAACAGGTCAGTCTGTGCACCTTCCTCATCCTAAATTGGAAAAATTGACTGCTGAAGATGATGTTGAGCACTTTCTGACCACGTTTGAGAGAATTGCAATCGGACTGGGTTTTCATCTCATTCCTCTTCTGACGGGTAAGGCTCGCTGTGCCTATGTTAACATGGATGTGGATGATTCCCTGGAATATGGAAAGGTAAAAGCTGCCATTTTACAAAAATATGATATAAATCCAGAAAACTACCGACAAAGATTTCGCTGCCTTGATGTTCTTGATGAGAGTCCAAAAGAATTATATTCAAGGCTGAAAGAACTTTATGAGAAGTGGGTTCAGCCTAAAGATAAAACTGTGAAACAAGTTGGTGAACTGAATATTCTGGAACAATTTTTGAGAATTTGAGAAAATAAAGTAGTTTTAATATGTTTTTAAGTGGGAAAATACACCTGAAAACGTAATCAGTGCAGTCAGTTCATCCAGATTACCATCCTGCCTCCCAATGTTATTTCTGTCGGAGCCGCTGAGGCCCCCACATACCAGCGGTGCGCCGACAGTAGGAATCCTTTCAACAGCAGCCTCTGGCCGGGTCGGCACCTCGCTGTTCACCGCGGCGGCTGGTAGGTGTTTTTCATCTAAATAATCCGATCTGCAGGCACCAGAATAATAAAAGCGAACATATTCTGCCGGCAGAAGGATGCATTTTAAGTTAATTATGCGTTAATAAACTGTTTCAGAGGAGTGATCAGAGCGGTCTGTGTCATCAGCGCTGTGTCTCTCTCCCAGCCAGCTCCCAGATCAGCTTCTCTGATTGGTTGACGCGGCGCGTCGAGCAGCAAAAATTAAATTTTTCCATCTCGAGCAGCAACGCGTTTGCGGCGCGCCACGCGCGTCAGATGCTTAAATGCGCCCGACACGCTGCTTCAGCTGCTCAGACGCGCTGCGCCTGCTGCTCAAAACGCGCCGCGGGACCTTTTGCTGCGCCTCGACGCGCATCAACCATTGACTTTGCATGTAAACTCGCTGCTTCTGTCGCGCCAGCTGCGTCCGGTGTGAACGCAGCATTAGCCTTCTACACCAAACCAAGCTTCTGCTGCCCTGGCGTCCTCTTCTACAACATCTTTGTTCCCGCTTTCCTCCTCTAAATGAAACATGTATGAGGGAGGAGACTCATCCACAACCTCCGACACAAAACTCTCCTCCTCTTGCATGTTTCAGGTGTCCATAGCGTTCCTTGACAGTGTCGTTTCTAAGTCACAAATTTAGTGCTACTTGGCCCCAACCTACTAGCACTAAGTTGCTAACTGGTTAGCAAGATGCTTCTGACAAAACTGCCACAACCAAAATGCTTGCGAACCTTCCACTACAACAATCCCACCCCCTTGATAAACGACCAATCACATTCACTTTATTCACTCATGTAAAGTCGAGCACCACTCGGGAGAATTCGGAAATGCAACGGTTGGAACGGCCGTTTCCATATGACTTTAAGCTTCACTGTATGGCCCATTTACTGATTTAATGCATAGTCCTAAAATAAATTCCGATGTTGAGAGTACCGCGGCAACCATCGGACCTCCGAGGGTAACCGCAGCCAGAGCTAACCGCAGCCTATCTGCAGCAGCCCTCTCTCGGCATAGCCGGGTATGAAGTACCGCTGTCTCTGATGGCAATTTTTTTGTTTCATTTGGCAAAAAGTTCATTTCATTTGCGTTTATCTGACTGTATTCATTATTATTCCCAAACTAAATGAAAAAAGTAAGTATTTATTATTATCTACAGATTATTAATAACAGGAGGTGAAATGCAGCTCCAAACGAGTTGAGCGTGTGGTGATGTCATCAGTACGCTTCCGTTCCAATTGACCCATATTTATGTTGCATGTTCCCATTCTCCCCAAGTCCATACTTTTCTGTGTTCTTCTCGAGAACATACTTGGTGAGGACACGAATACGTACTTGCGTTCTCGTGAATTGATAAATGTCCTTAGACTTGGTCTAAGTCTAACAGCCTAAACCCCAGAATGTTTTGCTCATGGTCCCGGAGAGGCAGTCAGTAGGATTCAAGCCCTGCTCCAACCTACAGGCCAATGCTCCACAAATTCACAAGCCTTTTGGATCATTTTATGCTCCTAAATTTGAAAGATTGGTTTGGGATGGCCTCTCTCTCTGTTGCACCATGACTGTGCACTAGCGAGGTAATGCCACTTTGGTATGGGAAAAAAATTGTGGATTTTGCAGTTGGTTTTCACACATATTCTGATCGGTCAAGTATTGTTAAAATAAAAGCAAAACTCCTAAATATTTTGGAAACCATTTCAAGAAGAGCTGCAGCCAATATCAACATCAGCTGAATCCTGTAGAAAACAAACAAATATGTAGAACCCAAAGAAGCAAAATAAGTGTGGAAAATGAGCAAACGTCAGCAGCCTGACTGGAGGAACATTGATCAGACTAGATGACTGAATTGCAGTCGTCTGCATCTGTTAAAAGTTGCCTGAGGAATAAATCCATACAGCAAATCTAAGGATACATTTATAGAAAGGTGAAGGTGAAGTGATACAGTAACACACCGCTGGCGCCAATGTTATGCCGGAGAGAGAGAGGCTTTTGCTTTCCTGCCGTTCGACATGATGGATCGTTGTGGGGTCAAATTCACATTGAACAGGTAGACACATATTTTCTTTTTTTTTCTCCTCCTGCTGCCGAAGCATTGAGTTCTCCCTGGGAAGCAGACAGAAGGGGAGAAGTAGAACAAAATGAGAATAAAGAGGAACAAAGTGAAAAAGTGGCTGAGAAGAAGAGATAAAAGCTGCTGACAAGGACAAAAAAACCCTAAGTGAATGTGATATTAAAGCTTGACTTCACCCAAACCTGGATAAGAGCAGGTCATCTTTAGCCTGACTTGGCCACACTGTCCATCTGTACTTTAGAGGAATATCACTCCAGTTGGCGAGGGACACCGTCTCTGAGCTGACCAGGGAAATATAAGTCTTCTTCAGCTCTACAGGCTCAGGTTCAAAACGCATGTGCAGTTCCTCAGAAGTTCCAAACAAACCGATGTGAACAATTTCACCTGAGAAACAGAATGAAAAGAGAAGCAACCATGTGTTAGCGCCAGAGCTACCTTCCTTTTAAAAAGTACTTTTTAAAATATGATGGAGACTGGAAAATCTGTGACAAATGTGAGCCCATCACAGGGCTTTGCCTTGAACTAAAAAACTTGGAGCAATAACATGTTTGGGACATTTTTACTGACAATGTTTAAACTTTAGAAAACCTCTGCAGGCGCACTGACTTCTTTTGAAGAAGACAGATAATTAATAATTGAATGATAATAACTTAACTTTATTGATCTCACATTGGAGAAATTCACTCTGCATTTAACCCATCCCCTTAGGGAGCAGTGGGCTTGCACCTGATTCACATTTAAATATGAAATATTGCTTTGTGATATTTTTCTGTCATCAAGCTTAAATTCAAAAGGCAACACATTCTCATTCCCAACGATACCCACACTGAGGCCGTTTCTCAATTCACAAGAACGCGAGTACAGACTTATGTCCTCGTGAAAAATGTTCTTGAGAAGAACACAGGAAAGTGTGGAGAATGGGAGCACTCAACATAAATATGGGTCAATTGGAACAGAAGCGTACTGATGACATCACCACATGATCAGCTCATCTAGAGCTGCATTTCACCTATTATTAATATTCTCTAGATAATAATAAATTCAAACTTTTTTAATTTAGTGGGGGAACAATAGTTAACACAGTCAGATAAACACAAATCAAATGAACATTTAACCAAATAAAACAAAGAAATCGCCATGAGAGCCAGCGGTACTTAACCCACGTTATGCAGAGAGAGGGCTGCTGCAGGCAGGCTAAAGTTAGCCTGGCTGCGGTTAGCCTTGGAGGTCCACTGGTTACTGCGGTCCTCTCAACATTGGAACTTTTTTTTAAATTACGCATTAAATTGGTAAATGGTCCATATAGTGACACTTAAAAGTATAAAGTTATCACCTCAAATTATCTTAAAACATACTGTTATTGAACAACAGCAACAGATAACAGAACTTTTAACTTAATACTCTGAGCTCTGTGAGCGCTAACATGGAAGCTGCTGCTGTTGCAGTGCATGCTGGGACAGCTGTCACTCTCAAGAATGGACAAGTCTGCTCTGATGCATGCTGGGTAAAGAGGGAGTTGCGAGAACAACATCCGAAGACTTTGTCCATTCTCTGCCTTCTTGTTCTTGTGAATTGGAACAATACTAGTGCTGAGGTTGTTGACGTTTCACAAGTACACGAGCACATGAGAACGCACAAATGCACATTGAGAAACAGCCTGACCCTGGGTCAAAGCAGCCTGCGAATGGCTCTGACCAAGTGTCATTATTTGACACTTGCGGACATTGTATCACATCACCCTGTTTCTTTGGGTCTAGTGGTTAGGATTAGGGTAAGGGATGGGTTAGCGGCAAGTTTTTACTTCACAGTTCAAGAAAATTTTTTCAGAAGTTCCTGCTACAGCCTCTCACAAACCCTGCACATGAGTTACTGAGGAGAGGGGTATCCCTGGGGGTATTATCAGGCATCAATATGTGACGATTTGGGAATGAGAATACTTTGCAAAGGGATTTCTACAGAAAGGTTTCTGTAAATGTTACAACAGATTTATGCGAGTCTCACCAGTGTCGTAGAGCAGAAGAAGGTCTTCCTGAAAGTCTCCAACAGTCATGGGATGAAAAGCCACAGTAACCGGGATGCCTTCTCCAACATCGACCATACCAGAGGATGGTGTCACTGAGAAAGGACTGAAGATTCTTTATCATTATTATAATGAACTGGGTTTACATCTGCAGTGTAGAAAGTATTTTGGAAGAAATTAGGCCATGTTTTACTGGCCCTTACCTTTGTGTGCGTAGCTTGAACTTAGCCTTACGCTTCCCTATATTGGAAACAAAGTGGTTTTTTTCTGTGGATGCTTTCACTACACAAGGAGGCAAACGAATGTCATCTTTAAAGTCCAGAATGGCTCGTGGTCCGATGGCACGGACAGGAATCTCAAAACGTTCACTTGAAGTCACACAAAGCAGTCGGAGGCTGTAGTCCTGAATTGAGATAAACGCACAAAGTTAAAAAGACAAAGCAGCTCTAAGCACTGAATAAGTTAGAGAAAACAGTCAGCTGTCAAGAGCTTGTTAAATATATATTTAGGTAAATTCTTAAACACTCTAATAAGATCTTTAAAGACTTACATAGAGCTGATATCATCAACTTTAAAGATCTTTATTTGTACAAAAAACTAAAATTTTCTTGGCAGCCTTTCACCAAATTCTTCTTGCAACTTTATCAAATAAAGCAGTTGGGGAGAAAAAAACAACTTCCTAACACAATTTTGTCTGTGTTTTTGTTTTGTCACACGTACATGTTTGATATGAACCTATTCAAACTGACTTGACTCACTTGGAATATTAGCTCGCTTAATCTCCTTTAAAATAAATTTGTCAGTTCAGAGATGAAACAGAAAGTCAAACATTGTAGTTGTCTACTGTTGTCTTCTTAGTGTGTTGCACCAATACTGATACCAGTATCAGGCGGGGCCCCGATCCAGCACTAAAATGGTGGTATCGGCAAGTACCAACAAATAGGGCACCGATACCATTTTGAGAGCCAAAAGTTTATTCAACTATTGTCACCCATTCCAGGTAGGCAATAAAAAGTTCTACTGGATTCACTTTCTATTAGTCTTTTTCCTGCTTCGCAAAGGCAGGCAGCAGCTTGACAAATCCATGATGGCAATTATTTTACATCCTAGTAGTATGTAGTTCTTCATATATACACACACACATCAAATTCAAACAGATGGTATTGGTACGGTATCAGCCAATACTGCACAGTCATGTATCGTACGGGGCCAAAAAATAGCATCGACGCAACACCAAAGATAGGCTTAAAACTCTCCTTTTTGATAAAGCCTATTGTAAGAGCGGTTCAGGTAATCTCTATAGTTATGATGCTATAGGCTTAGACTGCTGGAGGACATAGGGACCCCTTTTTCATAATTCTGAATCATTCTATCTCTCTTCTCCCAATCTGTTATTTCAATCTCTAACGTTCTGCTCTCTCTGCTTTTTTCTCATAGAAGCTTCATCTGATCTGTTCCTGTTTGGCTGTGACTCCATTCTGGAGAGAAATATCAGCTGTGCTGCTGCCATCAACACCTTTGTTTATAGATGCTCGAGGTCTGTCTTTTTCTCTGACTGTGACTGGCTGGATGTGCTCTCTTCATCCTCTGACATGGGAGCTGGCTCAGAGCTCGTCTGCCTGGCTGTGTGTTTCCTGGACGGGGCCGCCTGTGGAGCTGGTTGACAGTGGCCTTCTGTATCTCTGCTTCTTTCTGTATGTCTGCTTCTGTCTCCTTGAACCCCAGTCAGCCTTGGCTGACCCCAGGCTTTGACCAAGGCCTGTCAAACCTGGCTTTGACCAAGGCCTGTCAAAGCCAGGTTTAAATACCTGGCTTTGACAGGTATTTAAACAGCCTCACTACTTAGTCAAGATGTGGGCGTTTATAGGAGAGTTGCTGTTAGTTGGATGGAGTTTGGATAGATTTTAAGAATATATTGGTTGGAAAAACAACCAATCTAGTTGGTTAAGACTAATTTGTTAGATTAATCAATGTAATGATAAAAATCTGAGCACGCCACTGGTTACAGTTGTGACATCAATATTAAGTAGTGTTGCTTTCTCAAACACTTTCACTGTCTGCTTGAGCTTATTTCACTAAAATGGCAGAAAAACTGTTTACCTTACATGATTGTTCTCTTCTAAGACATTTTAGACTCAAAAAAATAATTAACAATTTAATTAACAATAATTAACAATTTTAAAGAAACTTAAATGGGAAAAAAAGAAACAAGAAAAACAATGATAGATTACAGATTATATTACAAAATGTATTTATGCACATCACCAGTAGGTGGTGACATCTTCACATGAAGCTTCATGAACTGTTGAGATCGTTGAAACAATTTGCCAAAACGGTTCAATGCCTCATGAGGCTTCAGGTCACCATCACTAAACCAGGTGTTTCATTTTCTTTTATACACTGGAAAAAATCGAAATCTAGATAAGTCATTTTTTCTTTAAATAAGTGCATTTGTTCCTGAATTGAGGAGGTAAAAGAGACTATTTTGCCAATGGAACAAGACAATTTAGATTTAAAATAAGAAAACACAATTACGTTGTTTTATTTCAAGTGCATATTATCTAATTGTCTTATTTTAAGAGTAAAAATACTCATTCCATTGGCAAACTATCTCATTTACCTACTTAAAAGTAAGGATAAATGCACTTAATTTAAGAAATTCTTACTTATTTCTAGATTGTTTTTGCAGTGTAGTCAATTATTTGCAATTTTCAAAATAGTTTTAAATTCTAAAATGCTAAGCAGCTAAGAGCAACTACAAAGCTAAATCAGTTGTGAGTTAGGATTATGTCTAATCTGGTCTAGATTTGTGTCTAAATTCAAATGCATCCTCAGAGGACATTATTGCTCTTCATAGGTAAAACTTCCTGATTTAAAAACTGTTGCAATGAATATTGTTGAGAACAGTACCTTGTTCTCCTGAGGGGTGAAGAAAACCATAAAGCTGGCAGTCAATCCTGGTGCTACTTTGACCCTTCCATTTCCTGGACCCTTCACGTTAAAATATTCTGAACTCTCCGGCACCACTGTCACAGCATGGGCCTCCTTAAACAAAATATACATAATTTACAGTGAAAACAAGGAAAGTTCATGGGCAACTGTTTATGCTAGGTCATTACATCTGTTTCCATCTGGAATCAGCTTTTCCAGTCATTATCTGCGCACAACATTATTCCAATATGAATCAAACAGCAATACATTTGGTTCTGTTTAGAAGCCCGGAGGGGTCTTTTTATCCCTCCATCAGAAAATCTGTTCTGATTGACAAACTGGCCCCGATGTCGGTTGCTTATGCTCAGGTTTCCATGTGAACAAACCTTGTCATTGTTGAGAAGAAGCAGAGGCAGACTATAGGTGTGTGAGGGAACAAAGTTCTGGAAAACCAGTTCTGATGGATAAGGCTGGAAAATCGGCTGGCCTGTTTTTAACTGCTGAAAAATATACAAACAGAGGTTAATTTCCCAATGAATGATTTACATCTTTATATTTGTTTTCCTACTGAGCCAAACCCTTTACAGCTTTTGCTCCATATTTCACTGGGAATGGTTAGAATACCAAGACTGAATTACAGAATAATAAACTATATTTAATAAAATACTGAAAAAACTGTCATTTCATCTATTTATCTGTTAGGATTATTCTTTATAGTATTTTATTAACCAAAAAGTTAAGCTTTATAAGAGTCTACATCACTTCTTTGCCTGTCTGTCACCGTGCTAACTCTAACCTTTAGAACTGATTTCATCTAAAGGAATGATTTACTAACATTTACCTTGTGCTGTGGGCTGCTGTTTTCTATCCTCTCCAGCCTGAGGGGCAGGTGAACCTCTGTGGTGTTAATCAGGCGCTCCTGTGTGGACTGCAGCATTTCCTGAGTGTAAACTGTTGGAGTCATCTGCAAACACATCACAGGGTCTGTTAACCTGTCACCTGCCTCTATGATGTCTGTCAAACCATGCAATCAGAGGTGGATTTAGGAAATTTAGGACCGTAGGCAAAGACAGGAGGGGGCCCTCTGATTTGAGAAGACAACGCATAAATCAGACCCATTATACAGATACAGAAATTTTAATAAAATAGACATACATTATTATTTTATGATATATTTGTTTTCCTCTCTATGTTTTGTACTCAGCTGACTTTCCATGCTGTCTCAAAAGGAATGAAAGATTTTTTTCAAGCACTAAGCTCACTGAGCCGATTGCTCCTTCCTGCGTTTCCAAAAAAAAAAAAAAGCAACGGAGAAATTAAATAACCCAGTCCTTCTTTTCACTGTAGACAAGCCATGATCTGCTGCTTAACTGTTCTCTGTTTTTCATTTGGATGGAATCATAGCTGCATGGATCATGAAAGCAGACAAGATAGAGGAGAGCAGGAGGCGGGGTTACCAATCTAACAATCTTCACTGCTTTTATATGTTGCCGCCAAAGAGTTTGCTGCTGTCTGTTTTGACCTTTCTGAACATGTGCAGCAAATGGACTGATCCAATGTGGTGGACACTGAAGGGAGGGCTATGACACACTTAATATTATAAGCGTCCTGATGGCATTTTAGCAAAAGGATTTTTATCAAAAACATAATATGCACAGTTAAGGAATAGTTGTATTAACCATACAAGTACAGTTTTATGGGGCCCCCAGGAACTTGGGGCCCTAGGAAACTGCCTAGTATTGCCCTTGGTAATCCCCCCCACACCCCACCAACTCCATACAATAATAGGACTTTTACTATTATCACAGAAGGATGAAGAATGTTTAGCTCAACTGAAAACTTATTGATTAACGAGAGACACATTATGGAAGAAAGCCTGACTCAGAAAGAAACATAAAATCAAACTGCACACAGTCAATTTCAGATGAAGATCAAAGGGGAATTTCATCTTAAAATCTGGAATATTTATTTAGTGGAAATTAATTAATTATGTGATATTTAACAACTCACTGGTACGGATAAAAAAAAAAAAATCTATTTAGAAGCCATACATATGTTTTAGTGAAAAACATGACTAACACCATATGCTTGTTTGGAAATCGTGTATTTTGGAAAACAAGCAGAGAAGTAATTATCATCATTCATCATTATCATTATCAAAATATCCCATGTAATTTCTGGATGGTGCCATTGATGGAGCTACAGGTAAATTCACTTTTTTTTTCCTTAAAGTGACCCCTAGACCAGCTCTGCCATCTTGTTTATTTTCTCAACCTCCAACTGCTCACACCAGATGGCCAATCATACTGACTCAGGTTGTGTTTCAGGCCTTTACCACTTCACTTTCACTTTATTTTTGGTAAATTATCCAACAATAAACACAGGAAACAGTAACAGAAACAATAGTAAACAAACAAACCCACAATTTACCAAAAAAAAAAATAAGCTGAAGAAAAGCTTATTCTTGCCTACCCTGTTTTATACTTACAACCCACCAGGTTCCTCACAGTACGTATATAAATATTCTAATCTACATAACAACATAGGATTTTATCATTTTACATTTTAAAGCTCTTTTGAAATTCACCAAGAAAAATGACATAACTTAAAATCATAATTCAATTCATTCCAGTTTCACAGCAATAACTGAAACACATCTAAACTTTGGCCATTTCTCAATATGCGTACTTATGTTCTCGTGTCCTCGTGAAACATCATCAGCCTCAGCCCTACTACTGTTCCAATTCACAGGAACAGCAGACCCAGATCGGACAAAGTCCCCGGATGTTGTTCTCGCTCCTCCCTATTTACCCAGCATGCATCAGAGCAGACTTGTCCGTTTTTGAGATTGACAGCTGTCCCAGCATGCACTGCGGCAGTAGCAGCTTCCAATGGAGAGCTCACAGAGCTGAGAGTATTAAGATAAAAGTTTACTTTTCTGTTGCTGTTGTTCTATAAAAGTACGTTTTAAGATCATTGAGGCGAGAACATTATACTTTAAAGCATCACTATATGGCCCATTTACCGACTTAATGTGTAATTAAAAAAAAAAAATTCTGAAATTGAGTGGACCACAGAAACCAGCTGACCTCCGGAGTGTAATGGTTGCCAGGGCTAATGCTAGCCCATCTGCTGGTCTCTCTCATCATATACGTGTGTGAAGGACCGCTGGCTCTGATGGCGATTTTTTTGTTTTATTTGGCAAAATGTTTATTTGATTTGTGTTTATTATCATTCCCCTAATAAATTAAAAAAGTAATAATTTATTATTATCTAGAGACTATTAATAACAGGTGAAATGCATCTACAGACGAGCCAAGCGTCTGGTGACGTCATCAGGACCCTTCTGTTCCAATTGACCAATGTTTATGCTGCGTGCTCCCGTTCTCCCAGAATCCACACTTTCCTGTGTTCTTCTCAAGAACATTTTTGGCAAGAACAAAAGTCTGTACTCGGCTTTTTCTGGCTCTTCTCTTTTGCACATTGAAATATAAACAAACCTCGCAAATTATATTTATTCTCTCTTAACTTAATTCCTTAATAACGAAGGAAGACTTCTGTTCACTGCTTTATACATTATTCACAGTATTTTTATTTAAACAATATCTCTATGTTTTAACCTGCTGCCTTGAATGAAGAGTTTATCATTTGGTTCACGGTATCCCACCTTATTAATAAGCCTTATAGCTTTTTTTTGCAACTTAAATAACTTATCAATAGTTGTTTTACTTGCATTTCCCCATGAACAATAAGTATCTCCTTTTTTCCATGGTCGGAACTTGCTCAGGAGAATCAGTTGCTAAAGTCAATGACTCCCTGCATCTAACCTGACATCCTTAAACAAAGCCTCAGTAACGCTTCAGGAAACAGTGAAGGTGTGGAACTATCGGCAGTGATGGTTGTTTAATTCTCATCACTTGTTTAATTAATATGATGATTGCTTATTAGATTTTTGACATGGATAGATGAGAGATAAATTAAGGGCAAAGATAAAGCAGCACTTGCTTTGTTCTTGCAAACCAGCATCCAATGTATAAAGCAGGAAAGTAGGTAACTTTTCTAAGGATGATTTTTTTACATTAAACTAAAGGTGTCCTTATTAGGGGTGGATTTTATGTATCGGTCATCATCATTGTGATACATTTCTAGCCATGAAAACCATGTTGATTATTGATGATTAAAACTCAAAAAATGGGTGAATTGTGAAATTTAATATTTTTCTTCTATCATGTTTTTCCATTGGTGCATTGGAAATTTTGAAACCTGTGATTAAATATAGTTATTATGGGATGTTTAGTGATATAAATCACATTTCTTTGTGTAGTTGGTGTCTTAAAGAAGTCGATTTTAAAGCTGTACATTGATAGAGTTTGTGATTGTGTGGCTATGATTGTTGCGGCATTCACAGTTATTAGGTTATCCAGGAACAACCTAAAAAATTACTGTGTTCCAAAAAAGAAGAAAAGAAAAATCCACTGGACTTTGTTTCCAAGTTTGAAAATGTTTCGCTTTCATTCCAGGAAGCTTTTTCAATTCAAAATGTCAGAAATAGCACAGTCTTGTCCCTAGACCTCCTTAGGACAAAACTCTGCGGTACATCAACACATTTTGGACAAAGAAAGTAGGTGGTTTTGATGGTGTGAATGAAGCCATCTATGTTAAGAAAGAAAAACCAACCCTAAACAGAGGAGGTGGACTCAGATTTCAGTTTTCAAAAACCTACAATGAGTTGATTCCTTCCCACTATCATCGCAAACCCCACCCCTTCACAGGGGAACAGAGGACCCCGCCTATTCAGCCTATTCAGCGGGGCCAACGATTCCCTTTAACGACCCCCTTTAAGGCACTTAGACTAGTATTCCAAAGGGGAGGACCGGTTCGTCGGTTTCAATTTGCGTGTTTTCTAAGCAAAACCAAGGCTTTGTTTTTGGTCCCATCTATAAAGCCTCGAACTCAACGCTATTTCTGACATTTTGAATTTAAAGGGTTTTTTTTCTTTCTTTTTCTTCTTTTTATTTATGTATATATATATATATATATATATATATATATATATATATATATATATATATATATATATATATATATATATATATATATATATATATATATATATATATATATATATATATATATTATTATTTTTTTTTTTTTTTTTTTTTTTTAAAGCTTCTTGGATGGGAACCAAAATATCGTTTTTTACTACGTGGGTGATTGAGAATTTTCACCAGCATACTGAAGAGTGTATTATTGTTATTGTGGTGGTGCCACTAAATATTGTGATAAGATTTTAAGGCCATAATGCCCAGCCCTAGTGCTTGTTGACATTTGAATCCAGTTCTCTCAGAACTGCATACTACAGCATAAACCTTTAAGTAATTGGAAACATGAATAGAAATGAGAAACTGCTTAAAATGCTTTTTTTACTGCACAGAGAAAAGTCTAAATGAAAATATCCCAAAGTTTGGCCGTCATAAAGACTACAGTCTTGTAAAACTATCTCTCTTTTCTTCATTTGTTGCATTAATTATCTTTCCATCCTAGTACTGAACACAATTGAATAAGAAACAAGCGTCTCCAAAAACATCCTGATCACCTCTGCCAAATAATGTTTGTTGGTAGATTGAAGTATAAGGATTTTCCAGTGAATTAAAGAAGACATCTATCATTCATCCATCCATCCATCCATCCATTCATCTATCCATCCATCCATTAATCCATTCAGCTATCCATCAATTCATCCATCATCCATCGAGTAAACCATTCATTCATCCAGCCATCCATCCATCCTCCATCCCTCCATCATCCATCCATTAATTCATCCAACTATCCCTCCAGCCATCAATCCATTAATCCATTCATTCATCCATCCATAAATTCAGCCATCCATCCATCCATCATCCATCCCTATATCATTCATCCATTAATTCATCCATCTATCCATCCATCTATTAATCCATTGATTCACCCATCCATCAATACAGCCATCCATCCATCATCCATCCCTACATCATCCATCCATTAATCCATTCATCCAACCATCCATTAATCCATCCATCCATTAATTTATTCATCAATCCATCCACAATTTAATCCATTACGCTATCCATTATTCCATTCATTCACCCATCGATGAATCCCTTATCCATTCATTAACCCATTCATTCATCCATCCAGTCAGCCATCCATCCATCATCCATCCATCCACCCATTAATTAATTAATCTATCCATCCATCCATTAATGCATTCAGCAACCCATTATTCCATTCATCCATCCATCGATTCATCCATCATCCATCCATTAATCCATTCATCCATCCATCTATCCATCCATCAACCCATCCAGCCATCATCCATCCATCCATCCATCCATCCATCCTCCATGATCCATGCATTAATTATCCATCATCCATTAATCCATTCATCCATCCATCCATCCATCAATCCATCCATCCATCCATCCATCCATCCATCCATGCATTAATCATCCATCCATCCATTAATCTATTCATCCATCCAGCTATCCATTCATCCATCCATCTATCCATCCTCCATCATCCATGCATTAATCATCCATCCATCCATTAATCCATTCATCCATCCATCTATCTGCCCATCCATCCATCCATCCATCCATCCATCCATCCATCATCCCTCCCTCCCTGAAACAGGAGGATCTGCTTACCTTTCTGGGCTCGTCCTTCTTCACGATGGCTTTATTCTTTTGAAGCAGAGACTCCAAATGCTTGAGCTGAACTGCCATCATTCTGAATGAGTTCTGAACCCAAATCCCCTGCAAAAATTTAAAAAGGTCAATATTACTCATATGTGGTTCTTCTCTCAAATCTTTAGCCAGTCAGGAGCAGACGGAGACACCCTCCAGAGAGAGATCAAATAATTAGGACATTCATTAACAAGCATTATGATGATAGATGCATAATATTCAATCTTAACTGAATGTTTTCCAGCCTACCACTGTACTAAGCATATCTGGTCTTTGTTTGAAGTTAAATCTACCAAATGTCTTTTATATACTTCCTCAAAAATGAGAGAAATTCAAGGCAGAGTTCAGAGAAATAAAAACATATATCTTTTTTAAACTCATCAGTAATTAGTATATGAAGCTTAAAGAGTTAAAAACAGACATGCATGTAAAAGTGAATAGAGAGAATATTTGGGAAATCCCGAGAATTAGACGTTGAGAAACAGAATAGCCATATTTGGTAGTAAATGGCTGCTGAAAATGCTTTAAAATGTAACTAACGTTAGAATTAAAAAGGTTCATAAAGGCATAAATTAAACGGTTTCCTGCATTTATAACTATTTTACCAAAGAGCTAAGAAAACACCCTTTTATTGCGACCTTTAACATTGATAGAAACCTTTATTTTACGAAGTTTTCTTGCTCCTTTTAGTGTTTATATTAATATTGAAAGATTACCGTTACAAACGTTGAATTAAACCGCCGCGTTCACATCCCTCTTCGAAGTTCATTCTCAAACTCCGTTTTTGACTAAAACCTAAAACCGGGATAATAGCAACAGAAAATAAAACCAAACCCCTCTATTAGTCGTGTGTCTACATAATAAGTTGTTAAAGTAAGCTCTTTCCTTATGTGTAAGAAACGTTCTCGGCGAGAAACTAACGAGCTAAAGTTGATGCCGTGTCCATAGCAACCGGCTAAATCAAGAATTAGTGACATTCTTCCTGATTGGCTAGGAGCTCCGTCTCAAGTCTGACGTATAGCTTCGTTCCTTTGTTGAATTGATACGTGAAGGTGGTCGCCATATTGGGAGGGGCAAGTTCGCTATACAAAGCATTACAATTTATTAGTCTGTGTGTTTACTTGTTTAAGTCTAACCTATTTAGGACCGTTTTGGTATATCTACTAACCTTCTCATTTTTAAAGCTAGGGCGTCTGTTTAGAGGCATGATGTTAATTAACTTTAGGTAAAGGTTAGTGTTAGGTATAGTGATAAGTGTTTGAATAAATGTCAGGGCTGGTGGGGTTATTTATATATATATATATATATATATATATATATATATATATATATATATATATATATATATATATATATATATATATATATATATATATATATATATATATATATATATATTTATTTATTTATTTATTTATTTTTATTTTTTTATTGTCACTTATTCTGTTGCCTTTATGCTATCTTTAAGTTCCTTATGTCTGATTTTGTATAATCTTAATTCTATGTATTTATCTAAGCTATTATATAGTAGTTGTTTATTGTTTTTTGCACTACTGGTTAGTTTTGCATATTGCTGTTGCAAGTAGACCTAAAGAGGATAAACCATGTAACCCTTTTACTCTAGATAAACAGAATTATTTTATTGCTGTTAGTTACATTAAATGATGAAACCATCTGGAGACTGAAGAGCACTGCCAATAAGATAGAAAGAAGGAAAACAACTGAATTTAGACAGTCTTTCCAAACCTATTTTGGGAAAAGCAAAGAAGCAAATTTTTATTCTGGAGAAAGTACAAGATGGAAATTTGAAGACATGTTTAGAGTTATTATCACCAATGAGAAATATGATCAGGGTAGGAAAAAAGCACAGCCGGACGTGGCTGTGCTGCTTTGGCTTCGTCCGGTGGGGGAGCGGCGTGGTTCCCTCCGCTCTGGCTATGTGCTGCCCCTCGGGCTGCTGGGGGGGGGTGGTTGCGCCGACTGCGGTCTGCTCTTCTTGCGGTTTTGCGCCGGGCGACTTTTCTGCTGTTGGCGTCAGTCTTGGTGGGGTGGGGCTGCGCTTTTGGCCAGGGGGGCGTTTTGGGGGGTCCCGCGGCGCTCGCGGCCGGTTCGCAGCGGATGCGCAGGGCCCGGCCGCAGGCGGGGCCGCCTGTGTGTTCTTCCTGGGTGGTGCGGTCGCGGTGGGCGTTGCGGCCCGTCGCCGGGGCTTGGTTCCGGGGGGCGGGGCGTGTTTCGGTGCTCTGTGGGGCTGGGGCGGTTCGGTCGGTGCCATGGGGGGGGGCGGTGTTCGGTGCCTGGCCCTACTTCAGGGTGGCCGGCTGCCGGTGGGGCCCGCGGACTCGTCCCCGCGGCTCCCCGGGGCGCCGGCATGGCGGTGGCTGGGGGGCTTTTTGGTGGCTGTCTCTCCTCCTCCCTTGGTGGGGGTCTGATTTCCGGGGCTGGCCCCTCCTTGGTGCCTTCGCTTCTGGGGCTTTGGGTCTCCCGGCGCTGGACTCTGGGGGGGGGTGCCTCTCCGGCTCTCCACAACCACTATTGAGCATTTTTTTTATGGTTAAAACTTTACATGCACAAGTTCACCCTCACAAACAACTACAGGTGCTAGGCTTCAGGTACTTGGAGATTCACTTCCAAACAGAAACCCCACATTCATATCTTCAGGTAACACAGAGTACATGTCAGACTTAATATTATTACTTTAGCGATAGTTTCAAGGTGTTGCTTTATTGTATATCTCGTACCGTGTCTTTTGGTTGTGCTGTTCTTTTTTCATCTCGTTACAGGTGATGAAGCAGACTGAAAATGTTTTGTCATTGTCTCCTTTCTATCTCCCCTTTCTTTCATCTTTTTTTCTTTTTCTTTTTCCTTTTTCTTCTTCTGTTTTTCTGCTCTACTTACATTGCAGTGTCCATATGAACTGTAAAACTCCCTGCATAATTATAATAAAGCAATTTATATGCATGAAACAAGTGGAGCGGTATGGCAATTGCCATACCGCTACACTTGTGAAAGTAAAATCTGTTGGTCTCCTTTTGGCATCAAGACAATTATTCTTATTGCCACCTTGCCAGACAGGACACTAAAAAAAAATTAAATCAAAGAGTATATAAAGGAGCTGGAACCAGGTGGATCAGATAAGCAATGATGAGAAAACTGGTAGAGTGAAACAGGTGGGTGGAATGAGCAATCAAGCCGGCCACCTGTGCCAGGACCGTGATAGCTACAACAACTACTGCCAAAGTAACACCAGCCATTACCACCAATCAGCCCAGCATCACTACAACATCTGCTAAAACAACTACTGCCAAAGATACCACAACTGCTGCTGGTGGTGAATTTTCCAGTGTTGATGGTAATTTCATAAATCCCAATGATAATAACATATTCTATTAGTGTGTCAACAGAAACACTTTGATGCAAAGTTGTCCCAGTGGTCTGGTTTATAAAGCTAGTTGGAATTGCTGTGATTGGCCCTAAACATCTCATGCATCAAACAAGGCTATATTGTACTCCCATCAAATACAAAACATTTAACAAAAATATTACTTTTACTTTTTTAAATGCTGAAATTCAGGGAACATTTCTGCACCATGTCTGGGAGTACAGCATTACTAGGGGCATTTGGTCAGAATTTAATAAAATTACAAAGACTATTGCATAAATGGAAATTCTATTAGATATAGAAATTATTATGTTAGATTCATACTTAAAGGATCTTTATTTAAATGTCAACAAAACAAATTCATAGACTTTGCAAGCTAAGAGCAGAAATGTTCCTCCTAATTGATAATAGTCTGAAATTGTTTTGGTTTAGTCCTATCGCACAATATGTGGCAATTAAAACATTATTATATGTATTTGAATAACTTACATAAAAATATGTTTTATAATAATATTTGTGAAAATATTTGGAAGCCATTCAGTGATGTTATCATTACTTAGGACTATATAGGTTGATTTGTAGATAACATGTGATAAGGGATTATTTGTATTTGTTTGGAACTGGTATGATTTAGAATGAGGTAACTTATAATACTCAAGCATTGTAAGATATTTACTTTGCTTTTGATGCATCCTACTTTGTATGTATTCAGTTTTTGTTTCTTGAAATTTCAGGTCAGCAAAATGATGTTATGTTTTTGCTGGGTGATATTCTGGGTTTACATTTTGGAAGGCAGGGAACATCAGTAAATCTTGATCCATTTGTTTACTAAAGTCAAAGCTCAGGAAGGGCTCATTTTTGTGGAGGAAAGGTCACTTTTAATCAGGCTAAACACACAGTTAAATATTAGTTTTGAGCAATAATGTGTGGGTTTTACCACCCACTGAAAACAGCTGGGAAGGTAACTTTTAAGCATGTGTCATTTCATCTCATCGATTTATGATGAGAGGGGTGCGTTAATAAATGACCCTAAACAAATTAATTAAACATTTATAAATTACTATAGGAACCTTTATAACTCGGAAAGCCCTGTTAAGGTGAATGATATTGAAAAACATCTTTGAAATGTTACATTACCCTCTATGGAAAAAAAAGATAGTGACTCTTTAGAAGGCCTGGTATTTATACAAGAAATTCAAAATGCACTAAAATCTCTCTCCAACAGAAAAACACCAGGAAATGATGGATACACAATAGAATTCTTTAAATGCTTTCAAGATGAGCTCGCCCCATTTCTGACCATACTATTTAATGACATCATAAAAAAGTAATCTATGCCTCCAACTATGCGGCAGGCCTCCTTATCTCTTATCCCTAAACCTGGCAAGGACCATCAGATAATGAGTAATTATAGACCACTGAGCATTCTAAACAATGATTACAAGTTATTTGCAAAAATACTTGCTAAACGAATGGAAAGGATGATCCCTAAATTAATATATATAGATCAAACTGGATTTGTTAAAGGCCGTTTGGCCTCAAACAACATAAGGAGGCTACTACATGTAATGAAGAGGGCTGAAGAATATCAATATCCAGCGATTGCTGTGTGGCTGGATACTGAAAAAGCCTTTGACAGAATAGAATGGGAATATTTGTTTTTTGTTCTTTCTAAATATGGTTTTGGCCCAGATTTTGTTAAATGGGTTAAAGCATTATACCATCAACCAGTAATAAGAATCAAAAGTAATGGCATGCACTTATATCGGTCCACACGCCAAGGGTGTCCGGCGTCACCTCTACTTTTTATCCTTGCACTGGAACCCCTGGTTAGTGCGATTCGGATAGAAAAGGATATTAAAGGAATTAATGTCGCCAATTATGAATTTAAATTGAACCTATTTGCTGATGATATTTTACTAACTATAACAATTTTAGAAAAATCCATCCCAAAACTATTTCAATTAATTGAAGCCTTTGGCTATATATCAGGATACAAGGTAAACTATACAAAAAGTGAAGCCATCCCACTTAACAAATATACTTTCCAATCCCACCTTGGAACTGCCGTTTTTCAGTGGAGGCCAGAAGGTATGACATACCTTGGAATTAAAATAAAGTTTCCTATAGAAACTATGGTGAACTTGAATATAAATGATATTAGTAAAAAAATTAGAGAAAACCTTAAACGATGGACAATATTACCCCTTTCACTATGTGGCAGACCTGAGACTTTAAAAACATATCTCTTACCAAAATTGACCTTCATAATCTCATGAATTCCTCTTAAATGTCCTATAAAATGGTTTAAAGATATAAATAAACTATTCGCAGGCTTTTTGTGGAGAAATAAGAAACCTAGATTCAGTTATAAAAAATTTATTTTCAAAGCCAAAATAAAGGTGGAATTGGCTAACCAGATGTTTATTTATAATATATTGCTTTTAATTCAATATATCCTTTAAAATGGGCATATAGGAACTTTAGATAGACTTGCAGTTTGGAATGGCTCGAAGAAAAAATAGTAAAAGAATATAACTCAGACATGTCTATG